CCGAGGAGGAAAGTGCGTCCACTTTCCACGACGTCAACAAGTGCGTCTCATAACAACGTCGATATATCTCAGTCAAACGACAACGACCGTAAATCTTCTGGCCACAAACGAGGTTGTCAAAACCAGCCAAATAATAGTAAAACGAAGAAAAATGGAAGTCACTAGGGTGACAATTTCATGATTTCGTCGGTTATCGCAACAGCATCCATCATATACGGCATACGCCCGTTCGTTCGCCTATATACCTGCTACTCGGTGTCGACGGAAATGCAATTACGTAGACCCTACACTGTTTTCCCCGGATCCCGCAAGTTTCAAAAGATCTTGCAAAGTAATGGATTTTTTTTTTCCGTTGCTTTTATTTTTGCTTTGTAAGGTGGGGTAGCATTACCGAAACTAGTTATGAAATGCCCATATCCACGAGCATGCATTGTTTCTATATGACATTTCCGGTATACAAATATTCTGTTGTATATTTTCGCGTATTCATTGACAAGTGCAATGATGTGCGTGCGCTTAATCTAAAACCTTGCTAAGCAAAATTATGATTAATTTTGATACAATAAATAGTCTTATTAATTCTGATGCATGAAATCATCTTAATTTTGATACACAAAATATAATGTGCATATATTAGTAATTCGATAAAACTTACACGTGAAAGTTAATCGGAATCCACAGTTGGAATGTAGAAATAGACCTATCGCTAAATTACCCAAGCATCAAGGAGAATGCTGGGAATGGAATTCTACGCGCCGCACGCGCTCGCCTTGCTCATACAAAACATTCCATGGAAATAACCAAGCGCTAACGAACGCGCGTGCAAAATGCTATTTGTTTCTGGCTTTTTGCTTCAGAAGAGTTAGTTCTGAAGACGCCAGAACGAGCAGCGCGAGTAACAATACACTTGCAGCAAGCTCCCTGTTGCTTCACTCCCATAGAGGGAGTATTATTACACCCTTTGTCCCACGAAAGACTCCCCAAAATTTCAGTGAGACGTACGCACCGACGTCGAATCGACGGTACACAAACTTTCACGAGCGGCTTCATAGCCGAGTGGTACAACTTAATAAAATAGCTCATGTACGTGTAACTGACATTAAAAAATAATAATAATAATCGAGGTTTTCTTGGTCCTACTGCAAAACATCGGTGTTGTTTTTTTTTTTGTTTTATTTTTCCAATTTCGTTTGTCTTTGATACGTACTTTAGCCGTTTATCACGTTCTATCGCACCATTATCAAGCCCCTCGTAAAAATGGGGAACATCAGTTCGACGGCAGTGCGCTATGCGTCGGACTCAAGTTTTAGGGTGTAGTATATGGGACAAAGGGTGTACAAAAGGTGTAATAATACACCTTTTTTTCTTTTCTGAAAGTGTTTGGTAATTTAACAAAAGGTCTATTGAGACAAAAGTGATGTACACTACATGTGTGTGAATAAGAAACCACACGAATGAGCATGGTTATGTTTTATCTTGACCAGCATACAGTGAGCACCAGTAAACAAAACAGACTAGCAGCAGTATAATTAAACCCACGGGGCACGAAACATCCTTTTCTAAATACCTAAACGCAGGGTGTTAAATTTTATTTGAAACAATTATATAAAAAAAAGTCGCGAAAGCTACACTATAATGCGGTCTATACAGGTGAGTTTATACGGGCAAAGGGACATAATATAGGGGGCTAATTGTTAGGATACGCCAAATAATGAACCATAATGCGGATGTTTCTATCCTGTGTGGTGTTTTCTTGCTTGAGCCTTTTTTAATAAAACTTCAGTTGATAGTCAGCGCTTGTCCTGTGCTCTTCTCTCGTCGTCTTCGTCTTTTTGCGCGCTGTTTTCCAATTTCAGATATTCTTTTGAAGTCTGAAATTGCTTGAGATCTCTTGAACGTTGTCTTTACAAACAATATGAGTTCCGTGTTTTCGAATAAATCCGAAAAAAAAAAAAAAAAAGACGAAAAACACCTGCCGTTAAATATTTCGTCAATTCAGATTTATACCAAAATAAAATCTAAGAATTCCGAGGTCATAACGACAAAATAAAAGAAGCAAATAGACGATGTTTTACAAAAATGAACTTAATAAGAAAAGAGGGATAGTGGTCCTGAGCAGATGCCACTTCAGTTTTAAATCATGAAGTATTTACAAATGGGGTTTGCCTTTTTCCTCGTCAATGTTTCTTTAGGACAACAGGTAAGGGCACCCAAACTTTACTTGTATAATCATTATTTCTTTTTTTTTTTTAATTTTTGAACACAGTAACGAATTCAAAAGTTAAGAGAATTGGCGATCTAACAAAGATAAACACCGCAATTTTCAACGAAAAATAGACTCTGAAAAACGCCCTCCGAATTACATCGAAGCTCAACTGACCCTGACCGTGTTTCTCAGTGTGAGCGGTGGGCTTTGCATTTCCAGCGGGGATGTGACTCTGTGTCGCACGTTCTTTTACGTCGCAATTTTCGTATTTTTGCGTTCCCATTTTGCGACCGCGCAGTGCTCACGCTCCAGCTCTGTAATGGTATAACCCTCATGTTGTTTAGCCAGGAATTCCAACAACAGGAAACTATCCTATGGCCTATGATTGCTTGCGTGGAAACAGTTGGGCTCGTTCGATTTCCCTACACCGAAGCAGAAAAGTGTAGGGCGGTGTACTTCCGGTCGTATCTCAATTCCATACACCGGATGTATACTGTTCTACGCTTTCCTGCACCTGTGCAGGAGGTACAAGCAAATCGCACGATTCGTATCTAACCGATGTGGAAATACAATGCCTTCTCTCGCAAAAAAAAAAAAAAAAATGTTTGCATCCTACGTCTATGTTCCATGATACGATATGATAGTGTGGTATTTTGCTAGTACGAAAAAAATACGCAACTTTCACTCACGTGAAACCTAGAATACTATACAATACAACAGTACGGCGTTATTGCTAAAACTCGGCATTCGGGTTTTACAACTATAGGGCACTACACTCCGCGACAACTTTTCTTGGCAATGCAGTGGAAGGTACAGGCCCGCGTCCCCTCTCCCATTTTGAATGTACGCAGGCTCTCCTCCCCTCCCCATTTCCGGGGAGAGGAGGAGGGCCCGCGCACACTCAAAATGGGAGAGGGGACGCGGGCCTGTACCTTCCACTGCGCCAAGAAAAGTTGTCGCGGTGTTTGTTTAGCATAACTACGTTACTAAATCCTCCGACTTTTCTAAGATTTCCCTCAAGAGCATGCCAAAATCAAATGGGAGTGGTATAAAATATTTATACAGTCGTGTCAATAATGGCACCATGCCGTTGTAGACTGCCACGCCAAAATGGGCTTAATTTAAAACGAGCAACAGAAAGGGTTTGTTGCCGATATATTGAGTATTTACACACACCCTTCTCCTTTGCTGCCTAACCCTATTTCACACTCAAACAACGACGACGAAACGCAACATTTCAGGCATTACTAAAAGAAGAAGGAAAGCAATAGATCCTAGCGCCATTAGACGGGCTTTATCCAGGTGTAATAGTATCTAACAAACGAAGTACGTGATATGCGTGCGCGAAGATAACATAAAACGATAGCAATCACAACAACAAATGAAAGGCCGAATCGAGTGCAGGGAGAAGACGCAGCTGACAATCTCGCAACAACAGAACGAACAAAGAAATAAAATACACCGGCAATAACAATGTCGCCATACAACAGGACGAGTGCGCGTGAAACTATGAACTGCACGCGCTCGTTCCGCGCCTTGGCGAACAAGGCCGCAACGACATCAAACGAACGAACATAACGGGAACGACATCCTGCAGATTAAAGTGGAAACTGCTAAATTTAAAACAGAAAAACAGAAGAAAAAAAAAAAAAAGTTACGCTCGTATAACTTTTCTATTCTGGAACGACAACGGCGCCAGAAGTGATATAAAAATAACGAGGGAACGAAACTCCCGTAATACGATTAACGCTAGAGAGAAATATGTTAATGGTATTATCCTACCAATAAAAACTGATGTTGCAAGTCGCGAGTAATATGTTATGTTTGCACACACAAGCACTCGCGCGCATGCCTCTCTCCCTCCACGACTCAAAAACCTAGATTGTGTTTGTTTGTTGTCCCTTTGAAGCTTTGGAGGCTGAATAACCTGCATGGAAGCCCGAATCGTGAAGTATTCCAGCCATTTGAGTAGCGAAAATCACACTGAACGAGCCGCGGCGCGGGCTGATAATACAGTAAATCATGCGCGAATGAATTCTACCGACACAACCTGCTGCTATGAATTAGTGAAGCGTTTTATTGCATTCCCGGTCGCTATATCCGATCCTGATACGATTTGATCGGTTCAATCTTTAATCATTGTTGATCGGGGTTTGAGCCACGGGTAACGGAGTAGCGCAAGCACTGCTACAAAACAGTTGGAAACGCAGCGCTAACACACACACGCACACACCTCAGCAAACATTGGCTAATGTTTTCAGCAAAACCCCGAGCAAACGACCTTTACGAACAGCCGTCACCAGTACAGGCAGGTGTCCCTCTATCGTAATCTTTATAGACGACAAAGTCTGCGCTACAGCAACGAAATAAAAATAACAAATAAAAGAATAAAAAGAAAAAAAAAATCCGTCATGCCCCTCTGCCTTGATAACCGGCGTGCGGCTACGAAGCTAATCTCCCAGCGTGAGCGTCCCAGCTCGAAAAAAAAATCGTGTCGGTGCGGTTTCAATCTCCACGCTGTTTTCTTGTTTCATTTTAACCGACTATTTAAATTCGGACCGTTGAGTTGGGTTTACCGACGTTCAGGAGGTCAAGTTTGCTTTTATGTTTGGCTTTTTTAGCAGCTTGCGTGTGATCCGGGCCTGGCTCGCTCAAAGTTCTCGAACATTCAGAGATGCATTCTTTTTCTTTTCTTTATTTCCTCCCTCGAAACGGAAATCGAGTTAGCAGACGATCGAAAGTGCAGGGTGGGCGACGCGGAAAAAAAAAGGCAGAGACGCCGAGAGTCGCTCACCAGATGTAGCACTGTGTTGACCACCTCCTTGTTGGAGACCTGCCCAACTTCGACGAATCCGATGAGCACGGCGAATTTCAGATTGTCGTTCAAAGGCATCCTGATCACATCCTCGGGCCGTTTGGCCTGGGCCATCGTTGCGTCCGCCGGCGCATCCATGTTTCGAGACGGAAACGTTGTCACACAGAAATGGGGAAACAAATTTGTTTTTCACTAGACACTACATGCACCGAAAAAGGCGTATCCACCTCCCACCCTGGCGTTCCGCCATGTTTAAAGCAGAGCGACTTTCAATCGCAGACCCGCAGAAAATAATATCGTCGACGATTAACTTTTAACGCTAAATCTAAAATTTGCAACTTCACTCATTTTTAATTAATATTTTATACTTTTAAAACATTTAATATAATTAGAACTTGTTTCTAATGCTCCGGTGTGTGCTGCGGCGCTATAATCTAACTAATCGGGCGTATGCTTGGGGAGCGGCGCCAGCGGCGCTTTGATCGTTTTGAGTGGCTCCTCAGTTTGTGTAGCTAGCGGAAAGAAATTCAAGAGACAAAAGTTCGCGTTTAATTATTTATTTTGTGCCCGGAGCAGAACCTGTTTGATCCTGCTTCGGCAACATGTCTACCGTCGAAGTGGAACAGACGAACGTAAGTCCACGAATCGATCCCGACGTTCTCTCGCCGAAGTTTTGAAACCGGCCGCGGCGAAGTGTAAGCCTATCTGTCACTTGGCTCCTCGCGTTTCGCTCCGACCCTGCGCGAAATGCGAGGTTTTGCGTCGGAAATCGGCCCGCCTTTTTCACGGGAACTCGTCCAAGTGACCAACGGTTCTTGTTTGAGGTCACCGACGCTTCCACGCCCTTCGAAACGACACGCCAAACTGGAGCACAGGAAATGAGCCGAGCTCGCCTCATGATAAACATCCTCCGCTGTTTTTGCTATCCCCTTTGTTCGAGCGCCCGCTTTCTTGCACTTACCGGCTCGGCACGTTTCTTATCGGGGTCGGATACAGCATTATTTTAATGACAGCCAGCCGGAACGACAGTGCTCAGCATAGATGTCAAAACCACCGACGAGCGTTGACGTTTAAAGTGTTGATGTAAACGTCACCGCTGAACAAAAAAACAAAAAAAGAAAGAAAAGAAACGTATCACAAGAAAAAAAAAAACCGCGATGCACGGCTAGGTAGCGCAAGTTACCGCCCGTTATAAAGGGTACAGCTTTTAGCATTCATACGGTTTGGGCACGAGTGCTGCGTCACCTTTTGGCTGAAGCTCGTGTCGTCACTGATTGGAGACGAGTCTGAGGCGAACGTTGACGTAACACTCTTTTAATCCGCGCCCCGCGATTGCCCTTTTAGGAGACGTAGGGAATTCACCACTACGGCCTTCTGATGTAGGAAGTGCTGGTACAGCCTGTAACAGTAAGTGCCTGTGAGGCCCATCTACAGGGAGGATTGGTGTTGGGGTGATAATGCCCGTTGGTAACATAGTGTGGCAATGTGCGTTTATCGGTGAAATGTGCTTGCAGGGCAACTACATCGATGACAACATTCGGACCTTGAAGCTTCAGAGCCATGTCGGGTTCGACAGTCTCCCCGACCAACTCGTCAGCAAGTCAGTCCAGCAGGGCTTCCACTTCAACATTCTCTGCATTGGTATGGACTCGGTGCAGACGCATGAAACAAATTATTGCTTGCCGATAACAGCTGGTTGACACAAGCCGCAATGAAGGAAATCTATCCGATACGTTTTGAAAAACCAGCATGTAACAACACGCTGTTGCACGTCTTTGCCAGTACTCATTGCTTCAAGGCACAGCACAGACAAGTGGAGTACTGGCCAGGTCCTCAAAAGGGCCATTAACAGGCTAATTAAATTGTCCATAAGAAAAAATTTCAATTCAAAATACCTGCGCCATGGGAGCGAGCTGAAGTTTGCCCTTCCATTCAAGAGGAAGATTTTAGCACCTTCCATCGACTTGAAGGGTGGTTGATGTCAAAAATCAAAGCCCACTAGGAAATGCAGTGAGTGCGACTGGTAAATACAATGCACGTGCAGCAGCCAAACAAGCCACTTGCATTACCTGTTGGTGTGCCCTGGCAGCACCATGCCTCTGTTTCTCAGGGCTGCAACACTTCCTTGCATCTACTGGGGGGGGATCGGTGGCCGATTGGGTTAGCGCACCCCAGCTCAGAGCGCGTGGGGTGGAAACTTGTTCTGCAGAACCCAGGGGTCCTGTGTTCAATCCCAATTCCTGTTTGTTTCAATCTGGGTGAGCATCGTACTGGCAAGGCGGTCGTGTATCACTACAGCGCGCTTCACGTTTAAGACCCCAGGCTAGTGGTTGTACTGCACTGGCTAAATTTCTCGTCTACAGCTGAGACATCAGACACTCATTGCAGCTGACTAACTTCGGCTGTATAAACATACACACAACACACTTACTTTGCTTTTACCGGTACAATCTGTTTCGTAACAGATTCGAATACAATATATTTTTTTGAACACAGTGGTCTAATGACAGTGCTTAATACAGACCTAAAAGCTCTTGGGCTATCTGTTAGACTACAGGTTTAGCCACCACTCGTGCGCCGGTTGCACGCATTGTTTCTCTGCGTAAGTTTTGGCTTTCCCTTCTACGACAGTTCGAAATATGAGAAGAGCTGGGTTTTGCTGCAGTCTACTTCGCTTCTGCTGTGTAACTGTCAGCAATGCAACTCCTTATTTTAAAAGCGCCTTTCTTTCCTGAGCCCGATATCCGCCCTTTCACACCATTTTTTGCTTAGCATTCTAACCCATCTCTTTAGAGGTGTGCTGCTCGCGCAACTTTTTTTTATTTGCATAGCTCCTTGGTTACAGTAAATTCATGTTTTTTTCTTGCTATCTCAGAGATAATTGATTACTAAAAGGCTACGGGCGATATTTGCTCGACGTAGCTGCAAACTTCAACCCTGGCATATCTGTATGTAAGGTTCATTGACCCCATTCAACCGTCTTGACGAAGTGTTGCATTCTTCCACGCACGTGCCCAGGCGAGACGGGCGTCGGCAAGTCGACGCTCATGGAGTCCCTTTTCAACCGCTCTTTCGAGACTGCACCTAGTCCGCACAACCTGGCAAACGTCGTCCTCAAGCCCAAGACCTTCGGTGAGAACATTCGACTGCAACCTCTTCTCGGTGCAGGCGGTTCTAATCGCTGGGGTGCTGGGTTTTTTTTGTCGAACCGATGAGCACTGTGTCGCGGAAATTCCGAAATGGAGACCAAATGTTATGTTGTCGGTGATAGAGGCACAAAAATTTTCTTTCTAAAATCGTGTTGTAGATTTTTTGGCTTTTAAGGGGTATTCTCACGAGGGAGAGATGCAGAGGATTTCGCCCTGGCATGCGTATCACGCGACAAAAGCACAGCACTTTTGAGATGCGCAGAAGCCTGATGTTTTCGTCATGCAATGCGCGTGCTGGAGAAAAATCTCCTGTAATTCTCTCTCGTGTGGATATCTCTTTAACAGCTAAAAAAGCTAATGAACATTTGGTGGTAGTTGAACTGTAAGGCCAGATAAAACTGAAACGTGGGAATTGGGAGGTCTACTACCCAACTTTTACTCCCAGAAAGTGTCACTTTGCACAAATTTTTGCAACTACTTTCACAGATGACTGCTTGTTACCAGATCCTTGCTCCAGATGCCGCCAAAATATGCCAATCTCTAGAGAAGCCTAAAACTATGTCAAGTATACTCAAAATGAATGCTAGAATGTTTTTTTTTAATTTTTTTTACTACTAATGGCAAGTATTGAGGTGGCACAGAGGGGTTTACTCAGTTATTCCACTTGGTGCTACTTTCTATGAAAGGCAAGGGGAAAAAAATTGGGACAAGGGATGCACTAAAGAAATGCACAAGTGTCACTCGAAGCAAAAAAAAAGTGAAGCAATTTTCAAAAGCTCTCTTAACTTTCCATACCAATTCCCGACGTCGGCACGTTTTGTCTGCAGAGCTGGAAGAGAGCAACGTACGGCTCAAGCTGACCATCGTCGACACCGTCGGATACGGAGATCAGATCAACAAGGAAGACAGGTGAGAACCTACGACCTGTTCAGCACGAACCCGACCCAAGGAATCGGCAGAAGATGAGCTATAAAAGTTGGTGGTCGGCTCCGATATGAGTTCCGCTACCTTTAGTATGCGCTACTTCGGAGCGTTGCAGAGGTCGAGGTAACCGAGAGACCTTTGTGTCATTATTGGCCTCGAGATCGACCTAGAGGTGGCGCTACGGTCGCGCCATCCTCATCATCAAAGCGGGGATAGGAGAACGGCCGCCCCATAGGCTTTCCACACTCGCGCGCGAGACGGCGTAGATTCTTGCGTATAGTTTGTTACATACTATCGGTGAGAAAACTAATCTAGCGGTAGAAAATGTGGTACTGTTCGGTGCTTCAGTGAAGATCGAATGGTGTTGCCAGCGTGCGGCCTAAATTTATATAATCGCTTCTGTGAAAGCGTCGTCTGCTCTATGCAAACGTTGGAAAGCATGGATCACCACGACTGATGCCGGTTTCCGGCTGCACTGGAATATTTATGTTAAATATTTGTTTCTTTTAAAATGGATGTATCGGTTCATCAACGCGGGAATTAAAAGAAAAAACCATAAATTCCAACCCAGATAACATAATACTGGTACTGCGGGCTGTGAAATCGCAGCTTCTATGCTTTTATTTAAACTTCTAGCTTTTTCAGTAATATAAATATTTGGAATGAAGATAAGTTAGCGCTGTATTGGAAATTACAACGCTATTCAGTTCCTCTGCCCTCTTACTGTGCCATAGTGTGGGTAAGTTTTTTGGAGTCGGAACAAATCTACTGCGTTGCGACGAGGAGAGAGTGTCTCTTCTAGTTAAGATCAGCAAATTGCATGGTTGGCAGGATAACGGAAACAAGTGAAACAAACTGTCCTAATATATCTGCCGTGACTGTAAAAAACGAGTGTAACCGAGCAACGCAGCAATGTTTCTGTTATTAAATGCTTTCCTCGGTAGTGTGAGTTCACCCGCTTCAATTTTTTTGGTGAGGGCCGCGGATGTCAAGAGGCTAATACTATAAATTTCTGGAAAAACAATGTTGTGTTGAAACACGGTAGACTCTGCGACCCCAACAAACGACGCGCACCACGACATAGACAGCATCGGCCGCAGTGATACTATTTTACTGATGAGGGCTAGCGACCTTCACGAGACTTTCCGAACAGCCTCCGCCCTCACCTAACGTATATCGGGATTGGGCAGTTCATCGATTAACTTTCAGATTATTCAAGTAATGCTTCAATTGCAACTTTTTTTGACAATTAATTTTAGTCTTGCGGTGGAGAAAGTCAACAAGAAGTAAAAAATGCCTGCTTTAATATTCTTGACGTCTCTATTTTTTTTGTGACACAGGCTTGCACGGTAAACCACTTCAGCGTGCTTGTCATTTCACCGAGGGTGATTATACTGTTTAAATAATAAGTTAAAAAATACTTCATTTTAAAAGGCTTCCCGTGTTCATATTTATGTAGGACACACAACGTGAGGTTTAGAATGGGAATGCAATATGCCATTTATGACACAGTAAAACCAGTAAAAAATGTGTAGTTTTAACGTCTTTCACGCAATGTGACCGGCGAAAAATCAGCATACGGATTTATTGATTGATTATTTTATTAAAGGATAGCGATCAGTCGGGTTAACTTTCTCATCGAACCACAGCCCCACTCAACATCCAAGGCTTTATGAAAGCCGCGGTTTGTGCGAGATAACAAAAATACGTGGGACCAGCGATTGTATACAAACCAACACACCAAGATTATGGAAGCTTCCGACTTCATAATAATCGCTTTGCTGAATTTCTACGCATGGGAAACGATACAACACAACCTTTAGTAAGAAGAAACGGCAATAAAAGCATAAAACATTTAGTAAGGAATGTCAAGCTCAGCCTGAAACGGGCTTGCGTCGTCAATATCCATGCTTCTGAGCGTGCGCCCGTAGCAGACGACGCACGGCGGTATCCCCGCTTTCGCGCGTTTCCAATTTCGGCCGCACAGTGGCGACACGGTTCGATCTCGAGGCGAATAACTTTCCAGTGGCTTGACTTTCTTTTTTTTTTTTTTTTTCCGGCGGCAATTGTTATTGGGCAAGGCTCTGTGGCAGTCCACAAGGTGTGTTTTCGCTTAGGGTAGGGGCCCGCTAAATCTAGTGGAGAATCCCAGTGTTACAGGACAATGACGTCACAATTTCCTCGGTAAATTTAGCAGGTAAATTAACAATCAATGCTAAAATAAACCGAAAAAAGGCGAAAGGACCAGCAGACACTCTGCCCTATCCTTGCCATTAAAGAAAAGTAATCCAAACTTTTTTTAAGTTTTTTTCCTTTGGACGTTTTCTACATTTAATACAACATTCAACGTCTGCTGACCCTATGATGTTAAAGCGTTTCTTTCCTAAATTTGACAAAGAAATTTATTCGCCAATCTAGCAAGATAATTTCTTTGCGGCGAGAAAATTTTATGACGTCATGACTATTTGTTGACGTCGCTCTCATGCGACTCCGCACTATCATGCAACACCTTGATCACCTGCTAAAGATATTTTTCTACAGTAGGCTCGCGATAATTCACACTCGGATATTTCTTGCTTCTGATTCATTCAGACAAATTTCAAAATTTTGGTTGTCCCACTATGTTTTTAATGTATTCATAAGCCACTTAGATTGAACGTCATTTTCATATAATTTATACTTTGTTTTTTTGCGGCCTTCTTGAATGCGCTTTTTTCCGAGCACCAGTGCACTGCAGAGTGGTGACACCCACGAAGCTTGCTTCCGTGGGTGTTGCTTTTTCGCAGTGCACCGGTGCTCGGAAAGAAACACACTCAACGAGGTTCAAGCAGGCACACTTGAACTATGAAAACTTGAGGAATGCTTCATAGTCCGCGATTTGCCTGAGAATTTGCTAAGCACACCAACAAACATCGCCGAAATAGTAACCCAAATATTTGGCCACATTTTTTGCAAAGTTATTGAATTTACAATTTTGGTCCACACCGTGTCTTTCAATGTGGAAAACTCTACTGGCAACAATGAAAAAGTGAGGTCAGGGGAAGGCAGGGGTTCACGCTTTGGGCTGTAGACTTTGTTCCCAACTGATTATAAGCAGTTTCACAATGTCAAATGAATGCTTTGGAAGCTCGCTCCAGCTCTTGCGCAGCAGCACGAAACAAAGGCTCGGTGTAGTTAATTTTTAGACTGCCCACTTGACCCGCAGGACTGCCTTACCGTGACATCGCAGCATTGAAAAGTGCAGGTACATTTGAATCTTGGTTTTGGCATCATTTTCATGTGCCGATTTCACAGTAACTATTTTAAATTTTGCGATACTAAATCGCATACCGGTAAGAGTAAACGCCAGCAATTTTGAAAATATAGCTAGTTGGGGTGCTAAACAGAGTTGCAGGAGTACCCCTTTAAGAGCGGAACGCGATAACATGATAGCATTATCCAAGCCAAGCCAAGCCCTGCAAGTCTGTGCGTGGTCTAATCAGTAGCGTCACGTTTCACGTGACATCACACATGACTGTGACGTCATGATCCTATCGATCCGCTAAATTTGGCGAGAAAATTTTCCGCCAGGTTTGGCAAGAAAATGTTCCGCTAAATTTGGGGGAAGATTTTCCACTGGACTTGGCGGGGAAATTTTCTGCTAAATTTTGCCAGGAAAGTTTTTTTTTTTTGCCAAATTGAGCGGGTAATTCCCATGATGCAATGCGCGCAGCCATGTGTTACCCACGTGGCTGGGCGCGTTGCATTAAGGAATTTTTCAGTCACGCTGACACTGGCACCGGCGCGGTATTTTCTGCAACACGAGCTCCTAAACGCTATCACGTTAAAACGGGCACCACGCAAAAATTTCTCTCGCAGCTTTCTCGGACGCTGTGACGTGGCGGCATGGCGCACGTCCTCGTCACAACGTGTGCAGAAGTTTCTATGAAAACTACCGCGCTGTGCCCATTTTCATCGCTCATGTGTCCCTTACTTAATAGTCCACATTGACAACTTCTTGACTCGATGAACTAACTTAATTTCGTTATGAGTTGTCATATGCTCCCTAAATAGCCCGCAATAAACATTTTTGTGGGATAAAGGAACTTGTCATATATTTCACAAATGCCATGGGTTGCGTACCTGCTTATGATCTGTAGGCCTATGTAGAGGAAATAATCAAATGTCTGCCTTGTATATGTAGCCATTCATATGGCAAATCATAATTTTATCTTGCATCATATTTGGATTAATTTCTGATAATTCAAACTTCCGATAAGTCAATTGAAATTCATGGCTTCCTGGAGTTTTAATAAGTGGGAATCTACTGAACCTGCCTTGCAGCGAGTTTCTTTTCGCGGTTGATTGTGTTGACGTGCGCTGTCGTCTTGTCCCAGCTTCAAGGCGATAGTGGACTACATCAACTCCCAGTTCGAGAACTACCTCCAGGAAGAGCTCAAGATTCGGAGGTGCCTGGCCACTTACCACGACACCCGAATCCATGCCTGCCTCTACTTCATCTGCCCAACTGGCCACGGGTGAGCAATAACCGCCGTCTTCAGAGTTAAAACAATGGACCTTTTAGGTATGGGTCAACTTGAACTTGCTGAAACAGATGTAAAAAGGACGGGACAAGACAAAACGGCAGTTTTGTCTTGCCTTTTTGACATCCTTTCGATTTCTGTTTCTGCGAGTTCAAGCGTACCCATCACTAATATGTACCGACCAGCTCAACTAAAGTCTGTAATCAATGGACCTTTTGCAAAAACCTCAAAACACCACCTGCTAAGTCCTCTATGCTCCCCCTCTCCCACGCGTGACACTGAAGAGAGCGAGAGGTTAGCGCAGTTGCTCGACTGCCTTTGTCCGCTCGCCATTCCCGCGAAGGTCGCCTCCGTCGTCTGCTACAACTTGTAGATCTTGCCATTCCTTTCGATGCTGCAGACGGCGTTGCATGCCTTGCAAAAGGTGCATTTTTTGTAAATCTTCTCGTACCACTGCTCTAAGGCATAGACTTTCAAATCCAATCAATCAATCATTTTATTTACACCTCTACTAGTACAGGAGCGGAGAGGCAGACAAAATGCCAACGGTTGTTGACGCGACACAGACAGCAACGGTGAAGAGATAACGGACTTGTGTCTCAAAAAAATAGAATTATGAAGAAGAAAAATGCCGAAGCAACATTCATAGTTATTAATACGATGTTGTGAAAACACTCCTTACTGAAATGAGAGGCGTGTGTTCTACGGGAATGTCATTTCGTATGTAGTTGTTAAGCAGTGACGGTAGACGGCGTTTTAATGTTTGAATGTCAGTTTGTTCGACTTTGAGGAACAGTCCACAGAGAGGCATGCTACAAGTTGTAGGCATTAGTGTCAGTTAGTTGGAGCATGTTAAAGGAATGCTGCAGCAAAATTCTAGTGCCCATTTTATTGTCCAAATGTCAATTACGCTCTGGCCACATTACGGAGACATCAATTGTTTGCTCGAAAAGACACCAAAACTTCATCTAAAAGGAATAAGCCTACCATTGTTACATCACTCTAGACTCAGAAGTGGCGCCTCTCCACGGAAGTACGGTGGCAAGCTGCGTGCGCGTGGGCCCTGTCGAACCGGATTTCCCTTCTCTCTTGGCCTGCTCAGCACCTGCAAAAAGTGGGAGGGGGCAATAAAATGGCCAGGTTGCAATGGCCGACGCCAAGGGGCGGAACGCGTGGCCACGCCAGCCCCCGAGCAGCCTTGACCGTTCTGGACCAGTTGACGTCACGTCACGTCTCCCTGGATACATCGCGCTCTCCAATGACCAATCTTCGAGCGCTTGCTGGAATCGGTCCTCTGAAACGTAAAATATAGCCATCCGTTCAAAACACAAGCGTGCAATCGTCTTTAGCAGATAGAGTTGATCGCGTTTGTCTTATTTCTGAGCGTGAGAGGTATATTTTAGGTTTCGATTCAGTGTCCCTTTAACTTTATTTTTGGTTATATATTGTAGTGCTCAAAAATAATTTTAGGTAGATAGGAGCCGGAAAAAGGTTGGTGTTATGGAAGAGGGGTTTAGTATGAGTGTCTTTGTGAACGTTTGCGATGGCACAGATCAGCCTATCCAGGGAATGGACAGCCTGTCTGTCCATGCCCTGGATACATACTCTTGCAAAATGGGACTATGAAATGAATGCTGGCATCAAGGGACCGTGCAGTGACACGATGTATATTCTTCCAAAACAATACTAATAAATGCCCTGTTGCTTTTTTTTTTTGCCACTTTTAGTTTTTGAGTGTACGAACTCCAGCAATCTCAAATAAGCGAATCATCCGCCGTCGAGAGATATTCCTTTGTTTTGTTGAAGTGCAAGGCATTCTAGTTTAAGATAAGACAGGAAGCCAAGGAGAAAAAAAAAAATGTATAAGCCTCGCAAATTTATTTTTTTTCTTCAAAAGTTTAGTAGTATGTGTAAACAAAACTTCATTCTCGTTTGACGACAAAGGAGCCCGACTGGAGTCATCCAAAGGAAGGTGTCCGGTGCGTTTTAACTGCATGCAGGAACGAGGTGCGGCGTGGAGCAGCCCAACGTCGAGACTGACTGCTGCGCAGTGTTGCCAATTTAGCGGTCTCCCTAATAAATTTCTTGGCTTTCTTTGTTGTCTAGCAGAGAAATTGCTGTTCTGCGGCTGGCAAGATTTTTAGCAGCTTTTGCAGTGCTTGCTGTGCCTGCGACATAATTGCGATATTACTGAGGCAAGCATTGATATGTGCTTTGAACTGATGTGTGCACTGGTGAGATGGGCCCAGTGAATTATGTGCAACAATCCAGGACAAATGGGGACTATAGGATTCTAAACTTTCAGGCTGGTTACTGGAAGTTCCTAGCAAAATCAGACGAGTTAGATACTTCTGCTGGAGAATATAACTCACTGCAAAACTTTGCGAGTTTGTTCACTGAAACTTTGATCTGCCACCAAATATGGCGCGCAAGAGATCAGAACTATGAAGATGAACACTCTGTGACACTGTTGGTGCAAACAAGCCATCACTCTTTTTCTTTCAGTATTGAAGGACTATCATCGAAACCACTATAGTGGTGTAAAGTGTTCAGTTATAGTGTTCAAAAGTTAATTTTCAAATTTCCTTTTGCAGTCTTTTTTTTTTATTGAGTTGGCAACACTGCTGATGTGTGTCGCAGGTTGAAGTCCATCGACCTGGTGTGCATGAAAAAACTGGACAGCAAGGTCAACATCATTCCCATCATTGCCAAGGCAGACACCATCTCCAAGACAGAGCTCCAGAGGTTCAAGATAAAGGTGGGGGCCTCCATTGATGACTCGTGATCATTCACTTCTTGTGCAGGGAAATGTATTAGCCCCTTCTGCCATAACCGTCAAAAGGAGGTTAGCAGTATGTACTTATAAATATAATAAATAAATGACCTCAATGGTTGAGTCGCTTTTGAATAGGTGGTACCGGGGAACTTTTTCTCGCTTCTTGTAGCCGTCAGTAGCCAAACTCAACAACCTCTCTCCATTGAGCGTTTTCCTATCTCAGTGTTGTTTTCTTAAATTTGTTTGGACCCTCAATTACATAGAAAAAAGGGAAATGGCATATGTATGGCATGGTGTTTTGTCTTGAGGAAAATCTGAGATACAATAAGTAAGTGTATCTTGAAGTCATCTAACTCTGACGAAGCTCTGTCGCGACCCTGCACAGAAGCTACTTAGGGTTATTTAGGGCTTGTATTTGTTTACGTGTGAGATCTGTGACAAATAAAAATTGATTGATGGATAAAAATTAATTTTAAAGAATGGGACTAGTTCTTATTTTCAGAATTGCTACCAGTTGCCTCGCAGTGTTTTCAAGAATTTAAATAAATGTTAACAAGACAAAGAAGGACTTCACCCGAAAGTAAATTGTGTGTATTGCCACTAAAGCTTAAATGGTGCCATGCAGTTACTGAGCTGTTGGCTCAGTAAAGTCTTAGCATTGGGGGTGGGGTGACTGACTGACTGGTCTGGTGATTGAGCCATTACCGAATTGCAAATGATGCGTCACTTTTTGGCAACATTAAGTTTTGGGGATAAGCGTGAGAAGTAAAAAATTGTCTACAAGAATTAATGAAGGCTTGACAACACCATGTCCCCTTTTTCGAATTCTGTAAGAAGCATTTAGTGGCTGTCAAAACTAAAGAAGCGTGGAGCCCCGCTCGTTTCGTGCGACGCTCGCTCACACTTGTGTGACTCCGATTCTCGCAGATCATGAGCGAACTGGTGAGCAACGGGGTGCAGATCTACCAGCTTCCGACGGACGACGAGACCTCTGCGGAAATCAACCAAAGCATGAACGTGAGTGTGCGACATGCACGCGGCATGGGAGGACCTTATCTCGTGCACTGCTCCAGCAACTCTGATGACTGGTTTGCACAGTTGCTTTTGCTTTTGAGCGTCACCCAGTGCACTGTGCCTGCTCGTAATTGCTTGCGACGAGAAACCACTGGTGCAATGGCGCCGTCCGTCGAGTAACCCTGGAACATTCCCAATCTGTATATTTTCGTATGAAAATGAATGTGGAGCGGGTTGGGTAAAGGCAATTTGAAAAGCGCAAAAGAATAAACCGTGTAGGGACGAAGACAGTACAGTTCTTTCAACTGGCGACCGTCATTTAATGATGGCACCTTCGGAGTGTCGGCCATTTTCTTCCCTGGTTCCTGAAATCCCTCGGAGAAAGAAAGAAAAATCTTGGAAAATGTTGGTTGCCAATTGAAAGAACTGTACTGTCAGTCTTCGTCCCTACACGTGTTATTTTTTCGTGTTTTCCAAGTTATATTTTTTTATCCATCATTCTTTCACTGTGGGCCTGAAATAATTCAGATTGTGTCATAACTTGGTTTCGTGTTTTCAGATAAATCCTATAAAAACTGCAAGACAGTCACCGGTAAAATGATTGTGAATTCGGATTTATTTAAAAAAACTCTGAATTTCAGTGTTACAATGGCAAAGAAAACAAAAAGAAACATTATTTTACGAATGAGCTTGGTAAGAGTACAGGGTGAGTGTTCCTGAGGAAAGGCTTCTCCAGTTACTTGAAGAGATGAATGGGTATTAACATTCATCACTGCATGTTTTGTTCAGGACAGCAAGTCCCTGTAATTTCGGGTCACGACAAGGCCACAGTCGTATTTGGGCCACAGTCGTAACGCAGACCAGATCTCTTCCAATACGTTCTCTCATTGCAAGCGGGCGCAACGCACTTGGTCGCACTCGTCGCATATGTGTGAACCGTCCTTAGTCTTAACCTGAGCCTAACACCCTAACCAAGTCTAGCATTATATCATGTGCGGTGTCTATGAACATGGCTCGACCAGACTAAGGCAACCCAAGTATTATGTACACAGAAATAAGGAAAAGGGAATGTGCAAAACTCTGAGCGTACGTCGACGCCACGGTTTGCAGGCCCACATTCCTCTCGCCGTGGTCGGAAGCACGGACTTCGTGCGTGTCGGCAACAAGATGGTCAGGGCTCGGCAGTATCCCTGGGGCACCGTCCAAGGTATGTTCGTCCCAGTCTTTGATCGCCCGTACAGCAGCAGCCGTCATTGTCGAGGTTTTGCGGCAATCCCAGGGCTTGCGGATAAGTTTCGTGTAGGGTCGTTGTGGCACGTAATGCCGCAGTGTCACACAAGATTGTGGTGTAACGTTACCGGGTCATGTGACACAATGACATCTAGTTGAGAAATTTTCCCTCGAGCTTTAGTGGGTAAATACTATGTTCCACCACGTTTCCTTGCTATGTTTAGCAGCAAAATACTCGTATGCAGTGCAGTTACATGTAGTCGATGGGCAGCATTCTGTGGAGCAGCCACGGCTGCTGCCGCAGTCCATTTCTAGGTCACGGCAAGGGTCCAAAAATATTTTTATGGTTTAGCGTTGTTTTTGTAATGTTTTGGAAGCTGGGTGAAACGTTCGAAAGTCGGCTTACTTGACAACGCAGAAGTTTGTGCTTAGCCTCCGACGTCGAGGCACCTGCTCATAGCTGCCCTCACGGCCCTCCGTGCGAGGCGTTGAAAGGATTTCGCTCGCTGCTGCAGTGGAGAACGAAAACCACTGCGACTTCGTGAAGCTGCGCGAGATGCTGGTGCGCACCAACATGGAGGACCTGCGTGAACAGACGCACAGCCGCCACTACGAGCTGTACCGGCGGATGCGGCTCGAGCAGATGGGCTTCTCGGACCTGGGCACGGACAACAAGCCCGTCTCCTTCCAGGAGACTTACGAGCAGAAGCGCCAGGAGCACCTTGCTGTGAGTTCCTACCCTCTCTCTCTCTGTCTTTCTCTCTATCTCTTTTCTCCCTTTTCTTCCTGTTACGCTTTCACTATTTTGCCAATTTTTACGCACACGGGATTCTATGGAGTGCCTTCTCGATGCCCTAGGTTAACCTTCATTCGTGCGGTAGAACCGAAGTACTTATCGAGGTACAGCTGCGAGTTGTAACGCTTGCCTGGTGTCGTGTCACTTGGTTGCTGTGGTTACTCGCAGTCTTATCTTAACTTTTTCACGGGTTAAGAGCTCTGTGCCGAGTTCAGAATTTTTCTGCAAAGTACAAAAAAGATACCAGGGTGGGAAATATGCTTCCCATGGCCTGCTCAAAAAATAGTCAAACAATTTATTTTATTTCTGCAACTCAATGTACTCTCTTCTTTCTCTAAGCAGTCTAGAAACAAAAATATTTTATTCTTTCAAGAATTGAAGCTCCGAAAGCCGAGTGGAAGGAAGTTGCTCCTAGGCCACGGCGACTATACTCTCCAGTTCGACAAATACCGAGCAAGTTGCTTGCGGCCAGTGGCGTATCCAGGGGAGACATGCATTTTGACTCCTCCCTCTCCCCCTTCGCACCCAAAGTCATAAACTTCCCAAGACCCTGTCTCCCCCCACTTCCACAAAAAAACAAAAAAAAAAAAAAAAAAACCTCTGTACATCACTGATTGTGGCACATGTGCTTTCAAACTATTCAGATTCATTCCATTGCTCAGAGCGCCTCATTAGTAAGTTCAAAGGTTACATGCCTTGTAAACCTCCGGTCATCAGCAGATACCAGAAGCCAGCCTCACAAGTACAAAAGCCTGGAAACGCTGTACGCAGAAATTTTTCGAAAAAGTAGAGCTTTGTTTTTGCACTGCCAGATGGCTCTGGTATATTTTTCTTTTTTGACATTTGTTCCGCTAGATGGCAGCACAGTACAATGGTGGGAATTCGCCTTCCCTCGATCCCAGTACAGATCAAGTGTGGGTGGAAAGTATATACCGTATTTACTCGCAGAATGAACGCACTTTTTTTTCCGAAAAATCGATGCAAAGTTGAGGGGGGCGTTCATTACGCGAAGTAAAATTTTTGCGTCCGTAGTCCGTATTTACTCGCATAACGAACCGAGCTTTTATCCTGAAAAATCGAAGTAACTTCTTATCTCTTTGCGCGCGGCGCCCGACCCCGTAACCAAACTAAGCTGTGAAAAAAGAAAAAAAAAAAACTCCTGTTTTTTTTTCTTAGTTCCTTGGGTATTTTTTTTTTCGCCGCCTTTCGCAAGCTGTTTTGTTTGCTTAGGCGAGGGCTCTCCGCTTATCTTTCTTATCTCCTTGCGGGCGGCGCGCGACGCACGAACCCCCCCGTAACCAAACTGCGCTGTGCAAAAAGAGAAAAAAAAAAAAAAAAAAAGCTCCTCTTTTTCTTTTGTTTGTTTCTCAGTTCCGTGAATTTTTTTTTTTTTTTTTTTTTTTGCCGCCTTTTGCAAGCTGTTTTGCTCGCTTAGAGCGCTTTTCCCCTTCTCTTTCTTACCTCCTTGCGCGCGGTGGCGCGCGAACCCAAAGTCCAGACCTGCGCTGTGCAAAAAAAAAGCAACTCTCCATGTGTTTTTTTTCTTGCTTCCATTGGATCTTTGCGAATTTTTTTAACGCCTTTTGCAAGGCGTTGTGTTCACCTACGCTGCCCATGCATTCGCGACCTCGCTGCACCAGGATAGAAAAGTGCGTTCATTTCGCGCGCGTGGGGGGAGGCGGTCAAAATTTTGACCTCCGAGTTGGGGGTGCGTTTATTACGCGAGTGAAAAAAAAAAAAGTCGAAATTTTGAGAGCCGACTTGGGAGTGCGTTCATTACGCGAGTGCGTTCATTGTGCGAGTAAATACGGTATATCTCACTGCCCACGAAAGGGTCGGCAGAAACCCCCAGGGTAGCAAAGTGCTGCTATGTGAGCGAGCCTTCACCGTTGTTCTCTCCGTCTGTTTGTATGGCTGTACTGGATCAGACTAATGTTAAGGGGATACGCTCCCCGAAACAACTTTTTTTTTAATTCTTTAACTAGAGACATAAAAATTCAGCCCTTGGTATAGTTTTTCATGCAGATTTCAAATATGTATTGAGTTTTCACCTAGCTACTATAGTTATCGAGTTATGAAATACACAATGCAAAAAAATAGCACTTTTTCCGGGAAGTTTTTGATAAACTAAATTTACAAGAAAAGTATCATGCTGTATCTTATTTGACTCTTCAGAGATTGCAGAGTGCTGATATCTAGCCACACTTTGCACAAAAATACTAGAACTATGCAAAAAAAGTTTGTGCTCTGTACCTAATTATTTTCAGTCTACCTTGAAACAATAAATAAGAAGTTTCATAACTAATGCTGATAGAAAATTCAGTTTCAATTAGATATCAGCCCTCTACATGTCTTGAAGAACATCTGTACCAAATTTCGTTACTATAGGTTAACTATAAGTTCACAAAAGGCTGCCCGGAAAACGTGAAAGTTTCAAAAAACGTGAAAATGAGAAAAACAGGTTTGAAAGTTTGTGAAGTTTCTATTCATTGAAATGCAAAATGCAATCATTTGCATAAAATCTGGCCACAATGGCAAAATGCACTGACAAGTTTCTAAAACCCTCCAGCACAATAACTTTGTCCCTCCTGGCTCTTGCGGGTTGTTTCCTCACTCTGGGCCCTCTTCACTGTGCTGCGTAAATGTGCCCTGGCTTCCACTGTTTGCTAGGTGTTCATTTTCTTGATGCGCGTTTGATCGCAATGGTCACCATGCATGACCAAATCTTCAGAAGGAAGTACTCCAATCTCTTCCAGCACTCTTTCAAAGCCTGTATGGCCTTTGTTGTACCAAAGTACAGCAATCGCTGTGGCCGTCTCCACAGTATTTCCTGGAGGCGAACTTGGTTTTTGGGCACAGCAGCCATATTTTACTATTGAGCGGAGGAGACGGCTGCCGCCGCATGCGAAATGGCGGGTGGCGCGTTACTTTCGCGGCAGAAGGACGCAAACCACACAAATTTTCGCGACTTTTGCCCGGTTCTCACGTCACCACTGCTCACTTGGACGCATTTTTAGATATTTTCTTGTGCGATTTTCAGCTTGATATTTTCAGAAATGAAAGGTTATAGTCCAAGGTCGGCAATGCAACAAAAAAGAAAAAGTGAAATTTTTTCAGAAAATTGCGACTTTTCGACCCACGTCTCCCCTTAATGGCTATAGTCTGTTCGGGTGAAGAACCCAGCAGACCTTTCTCCATTGCGAGCTCTCCGTCTTCGATGACACTTTGTTGCACGTGCAGCAGACCGGCAGAAGGCAGCGAGCGCGTGCTAGAGATGGACTCGTTTCTTTTTCGTTTTGCCTCCCCTTTTCTCTCGTCATCCAGCTTCATTCGTCTACTTTCCTATCTCTTCTTTTCATCCGCTTTATTCTTTCTTTCTGTCTTTTTCTCGGTGCTCCCTCTCACTTTGCACAGAGGGGTTTGTGTTCCGCGTTGCAGGAGTTGCAGCGCAAGGAGGACGAGATGCGGCAGATGTTTGTGGTTCGAGTCAAGGACAAGGAGGCGGAGCTCAAGGAGGCTGAAAAGGAGGTTGGTCCTTTGTCACTGCTTTTTGTCTTTCTCCCCTCGAGCATTCCAGGTGAAACTTTTGACCCTGCTTTATATCAAAGTATCTAGAGTTACGGAAATGTTTCCGGCAGGATCGTATTCCGGTGCCTCTGCTGCGGACTTAAATAGAGCTTGCCAAGTGACTGCCCGCAGCCATTTTTACTCGAGTTGGTTCGGCTGGAACAGCCAAAATATATAGGTATGTTTGGATTAATGAATACGGCTAGGCTCTTCAAATCGGGCAACAGCTTTCTCCACCTAAAGGCTGTTGCATCCATTTCCATCAGAGTGTGACCGCTTGTGACCGCCTATGATGAGAAAACATTGTGGCGTCGTCTCCGGTAGACTTCAAATCTGCATCTAGATCAAAGGCTTTGCACTACTTGCAAAGTCAAATTTACTCAGCCCTTATGAGAAATGATCGCCCGTAACATTATCGAGAATTATGTCAAGCTCAGGTGAAAGAATGGTCTGCAGAGAAACGGAAAATGTGTGCGCAGATTGATTGGGGTTTCCGAGCTACTCGACAGATGTCGCCAGTGTATTCTCTCGTCTTGTCGTACGGGGCAACGAGCTTGCGCGACACACTGGGTTGCATGCAAATGTATAAACCAGATTTAAGTCGTGTGGCTAGCAATGGTAATGTCGGAGCTATCTTGTGACAGGGAGTGGAAGCTCTGCCCAATAGACCAATTTTCCCAGCCAGTTTCATTATGCTACCACAATACATAGAGGGTACTTTACTCTTTCCACCCGTGCGGCAACCTCGCTGCAACTCCCTGCGTGCAGAGGGCTAGACGGCGCGAACTGTCTCTCGCACCGCTCGCCTCCCGCAGAGTTAAGTTACAACGGCGTCACGCACGCGCCAAACACTCGGCTAGGTGGGCATATTCGGTAGCCTCAGGACATCTGGTAGCTCCAGGAGCCGGCGCAGAACTCTCAGTGCTAAATTTTGGACGCCTCACCGCAGCTCCACGCCAAATTCGACGCGCTGAAGAAACAGCACGCGGAGGAGAAACGGAAGCTGGAGGAGGACCGCAAGCGCCTGGAGGACGACATGAGGCGCCTGGCCGAGAAGAAGGCCATGGTGCAGCAGATGCAGACCCACTCGCACACCCTCACCCTGGGCAAGAGCAAGAAGAAGTGACTGCACCCCGGGCTGGCCTCCGCCCCGGGACCGCCCCGGACCACCCACTGGAACGCCACGAAGCGCTCCGCAGCTCAACGTTGGGGCGCCCTGGGGCGGGGGCTGGCGGGAATGGTGCGACGCTGGTTGTGCTTGCCGCGCGTGATGTGACGCTTTCTTTGTTCCTCCGTCTTTTTCTCTCTGTTCGGAAAGGGGGGGTTGTTTTCTTGTGTTTTCGATCGACCGCAAGGTTTTGGCACGGAAGCTACGCTCTGTTTCGTGTTAAGCGCAGGCGTAACGGAAGCCGTGAGAAAGGGCTCTGGGCTTTCGGCGTCATTGGGAAGCGCGGGTGCTTGTGTGGTGCAAGCGCCATTCCGGGCAGTATGCTCGCGCCTCTAGCTACAGCTTCGCTCGCGGATAAAGTGAGTCAAACCTTAGTCACTTACGGAATGAGAAGGGCAAGGTGTATGTTTCGAATGCCCGTCCTTCGACCAAAGCACGCCTTCCGTCGTGCTTTGGCTGCGCGCGTGCGCTCGAGGGCCACGAAACGGAAGCGTCGTCGAAGGTAGGAATTTTGCGCTGGAGACGGAACATTCTAAGCTCCTCTCTGCCATTCTCACCTTTTTGGTGCCTATACTGTGCGCCGAGAAGTTCAGGTAGTGGAAGAGGCGAGAGGCCCTGGTTTAAATGTTTAGTGGGTAGACCTAAAGCTAGCGGCCTTTGTCTTCACTGCACTTGTCAAACGCATTCGAATGCGAGAGCCAAACGCTGAATGCCAGCGTTCCACGCTCGAACGCGTTTGACGAGTGCAGTGGATACAGAGGCAACTAGGGGCGTTAGGTCCACCCACTAATGATTAGAATCGGAGCTCGTCCTTCTGGCGTCCCTGTGACCTCTCGTCTTGTCCTTTCCCTCAGTTTCTCTGCGCTTAGAGATTGAGCGACGTATCTGACGAAGTGAAGCGAACGTACGAGCGGTGAAGCCAGTGTGAAGCCGTAGCAGAACAGAACTGTGTATCGACACCTACTACAACACGTCGGTTGTCGATCTATCTTTATTATTTTTTTTCTTTCTTCTTTTTGATGCCAAAGGCCACAAAGTAGTAAACATAAGAGATAGCATGTTCTAACGATGCACACATTGTGCTGGCACTGTAGAGGTGATGACCATTGTTGCAGCCGTGTTTTCTAAGGGAAGGGTGTTCTCGACGACATTTGCAGACATTGCTAGGGTCTGGTAGGCAAAGGCGATGCTGATGTAGCACTGCTGGAAAGCTTGGGAACGACATTTTGCCGCACCCCGCTGGAAAATTAGAGTAGGCTAGTGTTGATTTGGAGAGCAGATTGTTCTGCACGGCCGGTTGTGCTCATTGTCTCTTTCAAGGGAATAGGAATGGTCTCCAAAGAATCTGCGCTTTTTTTGCGAGCTGGATGGGGCTTTCTTGGGTAGCTCACCTCCTAACACTGAAGTTCATATGGTGGAGCAGAACAAGAAAACAAAACTATAGTCCGTTGCAACCTAAGAACGAAGGGCGAGAACGAAGGGCGAGGGTAAGGCGGGCCAGGGAGGAGGAAGCAGACGGAACGCTAAAGAGAGAAGGAGGTTCCCCCTCTCTTCTCCAGCGTTTCGTCCGCTTCCTCCTCCCCGGCCCGTCTTACCCTCGCCCTTCGTTCTTAGGTTGCAACGGACTATAGTTTAGCAGGGTTATGAATTCTTTGCTCTTTTTATATAATATATTTTTGTTATGTATCGATTTTGAAATTGCACCCTTCCTTTCTCTTCCACTCTCATTTTGTTCGGCAATCACGTTATCGCAGTCTAGTGCGCTTCTTTGTTTTTCCTTTCGAAGCTTCATTCCTCGTTTTTGTTTAATGAGAATCCTCCAAGACTGTCTGGATTCTCGGCTTCTCAAAGCGCCGAGGAGTATTGTCGCCGGCACATGTGGTGGTGTTCTCGCACGTGTGTATGCCTCATTCGATCCGATCCTTTGTGTCTCAAACTGCCCTTTCCAAAGTTCACTGCCATCTAGCAATGATGTCCCCACCTACCTGAAGATCATAAATATAGTGTCATTCAGTGGCAGTAGCTTGGGATGACTCGTCCGAACTACGAGATTCGCTGCAAGCAAGGTGCGGACCTTGAAAGCTGCCTGGTGGGTTTTCAGAATGGGTTTAACGCAGTTTTCATGCTTCTTTAAAAGTGAATCGTTGAAGGGCATTTGTCTTGTTTTGCGTCGTCGGCCTACTTTGCTTTTGAGATTATTGCCAGTGTTGTTAGTCCTTCGAATTATGTGCCAGAGCTTGCTTGTCTATTTGCGCTATTTATCCTTTTTACCTCAACTCCTTCGTCTAGTATTTTTACATTCCCTTTTTTTGTTACCTCGTCAATTGCCAACGAGTTTGCAGTAAGCGCTAAGAGGATCTATCCGTCGCAGCGTCGTTGAAAGCGAGGCTGTACGATCGACGTTAATATTATCACGTCAGATATTCGGGCATTGTTTCGTTGGGACCGTGTTGCTTTTTGTTGTTTTGCTTTGTTTTTGACTGACTACAAATGTGAATTTTTGGTATTTATGTGCCGCAACGTTCAACTGGACCTCACTTTATCGGTAAAACCGTGCGTGGCACCGCTGGTTTAAGCGGTCCGGTGCGCAGACAGGGTTACGGAGGTTGAAAAATTGTGCGGAATATGTCCGCCAACCGCGACGGCTGCGCACTTTTCCACGGGACGCGCGTCGACGGCGATCTTCCGCTGCGTTCGTTTGGGGCTGCCCACCTTGCCGTTTTCGGGCGACAAGTTATGTAGCCCACATCGCGAGGTTACGTAGCCCACACCGCAGCCTCTCGACAGCGTGCGAACACCCCGAGCACGTTCAATTTACGTAGCAATATGTGCATTCGTTGTGATTGTGTATGTTTAATATATGTCTCGGTTTTTGATACAGGAACACCTCTAGGAACAAACGCTCGTGAATGTTGCTTCTGTTCACAGTTTTCTGCTTTGATCTTTTTATATGCGGTCAGCAACGAGCACAACGTCATACTTTGTTCACAGTGTTTTGCGGATGTCTTTTTTTTCGTTTGTTGGAGGATTCCAAAGGGATGAATTTCAATACCTATTGTGAAATTGTGTAATGGAACCATCTGTGGTTGCTGACAGCTTTGGAAACGCAGGCTCATTATGCTCTCTCTTCTTGCTTCGCGATTCGTTGTTCGGCCTTCTTATCGGCTAACGCTGCGATTCCATTGGTCGCGGAGCGATAATGAAATGCCCAAGGCTTGCCACACCCTTTATTTCTTCAGTTGTCAGCCACTATGGGATGCCTCGAAAATGGCACTCAGTTGCCTTTCGCTTTGTTTAAACTGCGGCGTGGATTTTTAGACTTCTTTTATCGAAGCATTCCCCTCAAGGCAGGAAGGAGTGCTTGAAATGAATAAAGCAATTTTCATAGCCATCTGATTGAACACACGAGGTTGAGATCAAAGTAGTGTAACAACCGGTCGTGAAGGAGGACTTTTTACCGTCCGTAACGTGCAGCATCGTGGTTTGACTAGATTATCCACCCGTGTCGAATAAATGGGATGGGTGCGGTGACAAATTTAAGTGACGATATATTACTGAGCTTTCAAAATGTGCCAAGTTGTTTGGCTTAAAGGGAAGCTGAAGCATTTTTCAAGAAATCCGATTTTGGAGCTAATGTCTATAGCTTTTTCTCCCGTGAATTCAGTTATTGCACTTATCTTGGGCAGAAGTAAACGTAACCCGCATTTATTTTGAAAAATATGCACAGCGATTGCCGCCGAGCGTGCGGCGATCCCCTGTGGCGCCTGTTATCTGTCCAGGGCGTCGTGACGATATAGTCGGCATCCCCGAACCAGTTTTGTGGCGAGCAAGGGTCCTTTGTCCGCGCTGATTAGGTCACTTTTGCTAGTTTTTCTCTTTCTCGCGCTTTCCTATCTTCACCGTGTTGCAATGGGCGGGTCTACGTCGAAATTTTTATTGGCTATTACGGCGCTTCTACTAATAAGATCGAAAGAAAACTTAAGATCTGTAATTATTAAGGTGTCTACATTACAACTTTTATTGTTTGTTCGAATTCAAGGATCTCTTCAGCTTCCCTTTAAGGATCAAGATGCTGCAGGTTGTATCAATGTGCTCCCTGAGTGTGCTCCCTGAGTGTGCGATTTAGCAATTATCTGGGGAGACTGTGAAAATCTGTGGACAAGTGACGGAACGCTTTGATATGCTGCAGTCCTAACGGTGGTCAAGTGTGGCCGCACGTGCTGACAACTTGTGAATGGTATCATTGAATTGTGTCTACTTCCATGCATGATTGCTGTGTGCACTTCTGTGTCTCATAAGAATTGTGAGTGCTTTTTTGAGAACCACACAAGGTTCGCAGTAACGAGAAAGAGTTGTACATGATGCTTTTAATTGTGTTTGTGCATTTATCAGTTTCCTACCTAGTAATCCAGTCTCCAAACCATTGTGCGTGTTCCTAAACCTTTTTCTTACCTAGTCAGTGTATCGCAATGGAATAAGCGACGATATTAAAAGGATACAAACAAGAATATGATGTCTATATTTTGGTGGCAACTAATTCTTGCATTCAGTGGCTTCTTCTCTGGATCTAATGAATTCTACTAAAATGTACACTGCAGTAATAACAAACAAGATTAAATATATGAATTCTCTTTTCACACACTGGATCAAAGGCAAGCGGAGGTGGCAGTACTGGAAATTTTGTGCAAAGCCTTTTCTTACTTGTGCTTTAAATCGGCTATTTCCACCGAGTTGGAGCACCAAGTGCATGGAAACTTTTCAGGGGCAACAGTTATGGACGTGGAGCTTTAAATATTCAACATGTAAAGTAAGTTCGACAACAGCCCTTTCTTTTTGTCAATTGTTTTTAGCTTGCTAAAAAAAAAAAATATAGCACCAGCATATACCCCCCCCTCCCCCCCCAATCCATAAAAAAAAAAAAAAATTGCGTGAGGGCGAGTGTTTTAGTGCTACTGGTCTTCATTGACACCTAGATAAGAAAGCCCAAGTGCTGAATTTTCCTGTGTCACCAAAGAAGGCCACCTTTGGCCGGAGATTGGACACGACTGGCGTGAGCGTTCGGCTGGGACTTGTGTTCTCACTAGAGGTGCCGCAAACTTTTTGCAAACCTGAGGTTCGAAGATCGAACCAAGGGGTTTGAAAGGTTTGCAATGTTTTGAAACAAACCTAATGCATAAAAAATTAAAAGGTTTTCGAACTTCCACATTTTGGCACTGAGAAATTCAATTGTTTTTGAGCTTCCAGTTTTTCACGCTATTAAATTCGCCATTTTCGAACTTATTACGCTAAGCAATTCAACAATTTTCAAACTTTCAGACCTCCAGAGTTCAAAAGTCCGACGAACTTCGAACTTCTGAAGAAAAAATCTACAAAGTTCGAACCAAGTTCACTGCCATAAGTTCCAGGCAACAAATATAAATAACGCAAGATGTCAATGTGTGAAGTGGAGTTGAAATTGCACTCCGAGTCTTGCCATTAGCAGATTGTGCCACAAACGGTGCTCTTTTAGAGCGCTGAATGATCACTTTTAGGTGGCCTCGGCCTCATACCTCTCACTTTTTTCTTTCGACTTCCTCACAGTATTTCCACCGTGTACAACTCCGTAGATGCCCCGAGGTAACCTGTAGGCCAACAGATCCCTAATCTGCAGGCTTGAAATTCAACTGAGGCGCTTCGCTGGGAGCGTCCTTCGTAGCATTTGTGGTTTTTGAATGAAAGTTCCTAATTTCTTGGCGTCAAGGCAAGGCGTGCGCGTAGAGCGACGCTGATGCACCACAGCGAACGCTGAATCGGCGCTTACTTTATTATCATTTGTTACCGGCTACATTTTAGAGCGGCAAATATCTACGTTTATCGAAGAAGAAAAGTTCTAAGCAGCGGCAATATGGTTGGCCCGATAACAACTGGTCGTGACGTGATCGGCTGTATTAGGCCGGGTGGTCCCCTAATTTAGTCTGGTTGCATTCTCCTCAACCTTGACCAATTGTGTCGGGTGCTGTGCCTGTGCTCAGTGTTTTCTCCATCCCACGGGTCATCCTGCCGAAAATAAATGCCCAGAGCAACTAAAAATTTTCGGGAAGCCTGGATGCCTTTATGTGAATGCGTTGTCCTGCATATTCAGTTGTCTTATGCCAGCATTGTATTTAGGCGACGTTTGATCGGATTGCTAGTAGTTTGCAAATAAGTAGTAAGTACATTCACCTGAATGCATCAGGACCTTTCAATGAACCGTTCAACCAGTTCAGCGCTTGTTTCATAAGTTACGACAAATAACGAGCAATACAGGTGGTACCGTCAGTACCACAGCACTGAGAACGGAGGAGTAAATTTATTCACGGTGTAAGAGAAATGGATGTTTCCAGTAAAATTTGTAGCACATTTCGCGATTTTTTTATATGCTTTCATGAAAACTTGTTGTAAAATGCCGCGTATCCGCCCATTCCACACTAAGCGCCCATACCCAAATTTGTAAGATCCGAGAAAATATGCACGATCATCCCCCTTTTTTTTTTCGTTTTTTTTTTTTTTTCCAATTATTTTTAAATTTTGAATGGGCATTTGCCAGTATTTTATGGTAGTTTGAAACTGCAGAATTTGATTTCCATCTGTGAAACTCAGACTTGGCACTTAAAATCTAAACTTTCGAACTTTTCAACCTTGTACCTAGAAAAAGATACTAAATATTTGATTTTTCGAATTAAATCTTTAATAAATTCGAAATGTCTGAATTTTTCTAGCTATCAATAAAAAAATTCGACATCTTCGACCTCGAACTTTCAGAAACCTGAACATTTTCGAATTATTCGAATTCGAACCTCAGCGGGGTTTTAAAGTTGCAACCTTTTCAAATTCGAACCTTAGCGAGGTCGAACTCGAACTTGGGACTACGCTCCACGCGGTAGGAAAATTCATCACTTTGGCTTTCTTATCTAGAAGGTGTTGTCTTTACTAAAGCCCTTCATGTTTTAAAAGTTGCTCACGGTGCGTCGATGCACGAGGCACGTGCAACGTGCAGCCCTCGAAAAGACCATGGCTCATTCGGTGCAGCGTGGGCGTTCGCTCAAACCTATGGCTCAAACGTCATTCGATCAAGTGAGTGCCTCCCGCGGCACAGCGCAGCACGGAGCCATGTTCTTGCCAGAAACTTTTCCCAGAATAAAAAAGCTGTAATCTTAAAAAAAAAAACAAAAAAAAAAACCACTTTTTTTTTTTTTTTTTCCACAGTTTTGGCGCCAATGTAAATGGGCGTGGACAACGTGGGTAAACAAAAAGTAGTTCTACGGTTCCACCGCGCAGAGACAGCCGAAAAGATCTGTCTTACGTTCTCGAATTCAGGCAATTTCTAAAATAATAATCTCAATTAATAGCAATAACTTTGGCGCGGATAAATACAGTGGGTACACCACTTTTTGGCGCGGATGAATACACAGTTTGGCTCATGGACACGGCGGCGTAGATTGCCGTCTTGAATAGCGGTTTCGACATCTCGACCGTGCTTCAGCTGTAAACACGACAACCGTCAAACCTCAAGCTGAAACGACAATGCCGGTCCTCGACGAATGGCACCAAAAAATGGACGAGTATTTGGCTTCACTGGGTTTCTGGAGAAAGCAGATAGCCGGTGATGGCTCGTGCCTCTTCAGAGCTGTCTCGGAACACGTGAGTACTACACTCGGCAGTGGTACTCTTCGTACAATCCGGGGAGTGTAGTCGTGTAGTCGCTGACGGCATAAGAACGACAGGGAGGTGTTCCAGTCGTCAGCCCGGTGCGCGCTTTCTGCCTTCGGGTAACACTCCGGTGTCTGGCGAGTTTCAACCGTGCACGCTCTGCCAAAGCATGGAGGAAATGCAGCGAGCACGTGCCTGGAGGCCGCCTCCTGGCATCCGAAAGAGAGGCTCTGCCGTTTCATCTAATCAGCGCTTACCCGAACCGTTTAGTCAATGCCACGTAACGGAGGGGGTCACTTGTATAAATTACTTCTACTGGTCAGTACCTAAGACTTACCAACAAACCGATCGACCGAAGGTGGATATCAGTTTTAAAGGGAATCAATGAACCCCGTTGCTTTCGATGGTGCTGCACCATTGCTGAATGTTGGTAAACGGAAATAGAATAGTGTCTTTATTTTCTTCGTATGTTTCCATGTTCTAGATTTACCACACGCAAAGTAAGCACGAGCAGGTGCGCCTTAGCTGCGTGGATTTCATCAGTGCAAACAGAAAAGTCTACGAATCGGTAATTTTGATCTCTACAGTGTGTCCATGCATTTTCGAGGGTAACTAATATTTTGTATGTTGGTTTGTTCGCAGTTCATTGAGACTGATTTTGATCAGTATGTGACCAACATGAGGGATGTGAAGGTGGGTGGTATTGGTGATCTCCAGGTAATTCATTGGTCGATCATGTGGTGATTTGAACTGAGTGGCACTGTTAGGTGCACTGTTAGGTGGCGCTTGCAAAGAACATCGATTGTTTAAGCTACCAGATAGGGCCAGGAGGTGCATGCATGTCTTTGTGATGTAATTTTAAACATTAAAACCTTGCGTGCTAAGTTTTGCCTCGAAGACAATTTGGATTTCAAAGCACCATCTTCTTCGGGACACTGTTTCCCTTTCTTTGATTTTGTACTGATTTCATAGCACCATCTACTTCGGGACACTATTTCCCTTTCTTTGATTTTGTACTCTTAAGTACAAAATCAAAGAAAGGGAAATAGTGTCCTGAAGAAGATTGTGCTTTGAAATCTAAATTGTCTTCGAGGCAATGCAGGCAAGGTTTTAATGTTTAAAATTACATCACAAAGACATGCACTTCCTGGCCCTATCTGATTTTGCACTTGACCTTAAGAAAAGTCGTAACATAGCGAGACGGAAATGTTTCCGGTTTGGAGGTATACAGGGTGTCTCCTTTCCATAGCTAAAAAAGAAAGCTGTGAGAGCAACACTTATAGGAGGCTAATCGTAACAATTAGTGTAGGGGGCTAATTGTAATGATCAATCAGCTAGTTAAGTAAAATTTGTTAATTACTTTTCAATTGGTGAAAATAGACATGGTTCCAATTAGAAACTTGCTCAGTGTCATCCAAAACCACTAAATCAATAATTTTTAGAAATACTTTGAGCGTATAATAAACATAGTGGTGCGCTTATTTTCCTGTCTGGAGCACAGCTACCGGTGCAATAAGACACCTGCAGGATTTTTCCGTCTTATATCATAGCCCCAGCCTTGCACAAGTGATACCTTTAATGCACTACTACGCTTTTCACATGCTCAGTCTAAGAATCATTAATTTAGTCGTTTTGGATTACGCTTGGCAAGTTGCTAATTGGAACCATATGTCCATTTTCAGCAATTAAGAACTTAACAAATTTCACTTAATTAGCCGACTGATCATTACGATTTGCCCTCTATACTCTGTCCCCCTGGCCGTATAACTCGCCTGCACAAACTGCTCAAGTGTAGCTTTCACAGCTTTTTTTAAACAAATTTATAAAGCTTTAAAAAGAAAATAAACTTTCCAAGAACTGCAATAATCTTTCTTTGAAATAGTTGCATGGGGTTTAAAATGGTGTCAACTGCTTTTAAGTATGGTGTTTTCTGTGATAGAACTATCCAAAGATTGGTCACATAAACTGCTAGGTCTTTACATTTTCACATAATAGTAACATTTTCTTATATATTTTTTTTTATAAAAGTTAAGTTTTTTGCCAATTAGCTTTGTTAGCAGGCAAGCATGGTCAGTGAAATTGGGACAAAAGATGAACTTTGTCTGACAGGTACGCCCAAATGTCTTAAAGCGTCGGAAGAAGAAAAAAAATTTATGAAGATTCTATTTATGTTTGCCATTATTTCACTTGCCTCCTCTTGGCTGTTACGGTGATGGTTTGCTGGTTTTAACTAGTTCCTAGTTTGTTGAGACTTGTGTTGTAATTAAAACTCGTCGCCAAAATGTTGTATTAAAGAAAATGCGGACACCCATGAAAATAAAGAAGAGCAGGGCTTGCGTGGGCCTGCGGAAAACGAGGGGTCTTACATGCCGAAGAGAGACAATGCGGCGAGCCGGGCGCGGGAGCCCCGGACGGAGAGAGAGGGACGTCCGACAAAGTTGGTGGTTGAATCGTAACTGTTTATTTAATGGTCAACAACGTGGGGGTTGAGCGCCACGGGGACGCAACCCTGATAACACGGGCAATGGTGTAACGGTGGCGCCATCTGGCTAGTGTGGTGAGAACTACTTGAATGAAAAAATTGAAATACTACAACTTGTTTGCAGGCTTCGTAGCATGCGACAGCCTCTCGTAACATTCCTACAATATGCGCCTTCTAATAATTCAGCCTCTACAATTTTCTATTTTACTTATAAATGAATGAACTGACCCATGTAATTAGCACCTGGGGCACTGTATGGTGCCTTTTCTTGTTCAGTATTTGTTTCCTGTACTTTTTTGTTTGTCTTAGGTGTGGGGTGGCCATTTGGAGATTCATGCAATGGCTGACATCTACAAGTAAGTGTTAGTCAATGTGGGAAAGAAAGGTTCTGAATCGGTTTCTAGGACTCGGTTTGATCGGGAGGGAGTTGAGCGACCCACGAGCTCATCTGGGGAATGTTACTACTTTCGCAGGAGAGACTTCATGATCTTCGAAAAACCAGGCAAAGATCCCTACTTGGCAACCAATAAGGGATTCACTGATGTGGTATGACATCTTTAGTTTCATCGCGAGAACCAGCATTATGTAGAAACGATCACATTCCCTTAGCCTCTTTGGCATATGTGCGAGGCACCATTAACCTGTGTTTGTAAAAAATTGGTAATTTGTATTTCAATTTATTGATGAAATCATTGTTTGCAGGTATAATTTTGTTTGGAGGCAACACTTGCATCCAGTCTGACCCTTAAAAAAAAGAACACTAAACCAAGTAGAAAAAAAAGATTTTCTACTTGGTTAATACAGGCATGTCTCAAAAAAAAAAAAAAAAAAGTGTGTTCCGAGTTTATTGGACCTCAGAGTGCACACCATCTGGGCACAAAAGCTATCATCATCATTCCACAGAGATACAATTCCGGTTTCGCCCACAAATCATGAAATTATTATTGTAACCTGAATAATTTTTTTTTTAAACAAACATTTATTTTAGGTTGAGCTTGTTCTAGCCAGATAGAAAAATTCATTTTCTTTCCTAGGTTCAGTGTTTTATTTAGTGGCACTTGCCGCCACATCTTTTGAAGCATTGCCTTGTGCTTTTGTGCATGCATACTTCTATTCTTTTTTGTGCTTTTGTTTTGCAAGGCAATGAAGGGGGCACAGACTGGGCCGGTGCAGTGTTGTATCGGGTGATTCATTCAACGTAGGTGTTTAGCAGGTGCCCGGCTCTACTGCCTTACCTCCTACTGTGCCACACTGTGCACGCTTCACACAAACACAAACTCTCATTCGGCTTTTGTTAGAATGCAGTTCAGCTTCGCAATGTAGTCACCAGACATAAGACTGTCATTAATCCCAAGGCTGGCTCTAACATGGACCAAGGAAATTGGAACCTGCATGTGGCGCTCTCAAATTTACACCAAAGTTGTATTTTAACGGTGCATTTTACTTGGTAAAGTTTCAAGATTTAGCTCCTTTCCCGCGAAAAATAACACCGACGGAGTCGCCAGGGTCAATGGCAGATGTCCACGATTTGCGCATGCGATATCGGTTCCCGTGTTGCCCCAGTTTGTAGCGGGTTCCTGCATGTATATCGCACTGTGAAGTTCAAATGCGCTACGTCCACGTTTTGCTGCCATCCCCGTGACAGGAGTTCACAGCACACTGTGAAACGCAAACCTATCACACCGTGGAACGCGAATTTGCCGTGTTGGCAGTATTTAGTGTAATTAATAAAACGACAATGAGTGTGCAGGCGAGCTGATGATTGTTAATCATGTTTGAAACCCAAGACTGTGGCAAGGAAAAAAATAGGAAACTGCAAAGTCGAAGAGTTCCCATTTCACGTAACTTGATGGCCCCCTTCCCCCCCCCCCCCACACACACTCACACACACATTATTTATATTTTCATATTGGGTGGGCGTTTTTTAAGGACTTTATGGTATATAAACATATCTAAGAGCCTGCTGGCATATGTTCACTTATAATCTAATCTCTGGGGAGAGTGATAACTATTCTACAGAATTGAACAATCATTTGGCATATATGTCCTTTATTTTTTTTTTTCCTTGTTTGGGGTGTGTGTTTTCGCAGAGACCGCTTCCGCATTCCTCAGTCATGTCGTAAACGTAACAATAAAAGCAATAATTGGTTGCATCATCAGTAAACCTTCTAGGAAAACCGTTGTGCTACAATGCATCCAACTAATTGACTTGCGAGGAAAACCTTCCGCATTTTTTTTTTTTTTTTATCAAACCCCTAAACAAGATTTTTTTTTTTTTTTAAATAGTCAGTTGTGCCTGTTTTAATAAGGGTTAATTAACTGTGCATGTAGGAGCATGGGTGATATCGTGAAGTTGTCAATATTTTGCATTTGTACTTTTCTCAGATAGAGTAGATTTGTACACTGTTGAGTATTGGGATACTTTTAGGTTTGCTAAACTGGGACTAGGAACATTTGTATTTCCTTGTAATGAAAACTGTAGTCAGTACCGAAGTATGGGGCTTTATTTAATCTTTAAAAGGTTAAAACAGCGCACACAAGATATGAAAAGCAGAAGGACACGTACACAGCGCTGACTCTCAACTGAATTTTTATTCGTTGTGACTGCACAATAAATGCTTGTTTGGTCAAGACCATAAAAAAGGAGATAAAACAGTCATGCATCAACACCACAACGGTTTGCTTTTTTGTTACTTACGCTGTAGGGGTTGTGTATTCTACCCCTTTGTCCTATGAGCGGCGTTATGTAGGCCAGGCTGGCCGCTGCCTCTATGAAAGATTAAGGGAACACTCCTATAATGTGACCTCTGCGGTATCTGGCCATCCTGGCATTCATCGCCGCGATTGTGTCTGTCATCCAGATTTCCGGCAACGTAAAATCGTGAAACGTCATTACGACTAACTAACCTGTGAAATAATCGAGGCGTTGGAGATATCTAGATTGGGCGCCGAGCGTGTTAGCTGCCCATCTATTTCCCTATTTAACAGAGAAATAGTTTATCTTGCTTGTCACTAGTGTAAAATGCATGCCGATACAGTAGTTTTGTGGTGTCGATGCTTGACTGTTTTATCTTCTTTTTTATGGTCTTGACCAAACAAGTATCTATTGTGCAGTCACAATGAATAAAAATTCAGTTGAGAGTCAGCGCTGTGTATGTGTCCTTCTGCTTATTGTCCCTCTTTGTTTGCGCTGCTTTAATCTTTTAAAGATGTTGCATCAACTAGCCCAAGCTCCAGCCTTAGCTTTATTTCATGCCATACTAATGCATCCTGAAATGGTTTTGTTTTTAACTTACGGTAGGACACCCGTGATTTGGGTTAAGTTGGCACAATGTTTTGTTTTCATAAGGCTTAAGCTGTGCCTTTGTTGACTATGCCTTTTATAGTAAACCAATCGGAGGAGTTAACCCACTACCAGGACAGTTCTTAATAGCTGCCATTCAAATAAATTGCAATTATGCTGTTTGCTTTTTATGTTATGGGCTGGGATATATTTAAGGAAAGGAGGTGCTTTTTCGTTGATATTTTTTTTTGTATTTAGAAAACCACATCTACACTTATAGCCCAAGTTTGACCTAGGTGTCCAGCTCCAAGGCTTACTTATACTGCTACAAAACTGCGACTTTTGTTGCCCCTGAGCTGTTCCAAAGCAGAAATTTTGCTGCTCCAAAGGGGCATCTTTGCTGCTCCCAGACCTGGTACAAAAGGCTGAAGCTTGCTTCCACCTTAGGAAGGGTGGCTTGTTATGAAGTCAGCGCAAATTGCTCTCCTCATATATGGCACCAGTGTGCCCTCTTGTCATAAGTGATCACGGGAGGTTTTAACTCGCTCATTCGTAAGTAGTCGCAAATGTGTGGCCCAAACTTGAGTCTGCTTGCTGCGAACTTGGCCGAAGGACAAGGGGCCTACCGTACCTTGCTCCCCTTCGGCTTTTCTTCTCTCAAACCTGTCAGGTGCCCGTCCCCAAATATTTTGCGCGATTGTTTTTACTTTTACGTGGATTCTTGCTTAGTATTTCATGGCACGTAAATACACCGCTGCATATTGACGAATACGTAGCATACCGTTCCCGACTCTGAAATTTTGTGTGCACGAAACATTCTCAATCAAGCCACACTTCTTGGAATTTGTGAACTATTGAAACAACTGAAAGTCTTTGCACAGTGGTGATAGCTTGGTAATTTAATTTTCAGATCATGCTGTGCTACACGCATGGAAATCACTATGACACTGTCTACCCCAGGACGATGCTGAAAACTGCAGCGCTGTGCCAGTGTGAGTGCCAGTATTCACTTCCGAAATGTTTCTGATATTATAACTCTAGTGATTAAAACATTATCTTTCAAAGTGGAAAAAAAAAATTAACAAGAGTTGTATGAATGTTTGAAAGGAATCTTTCTATCAGCATTGGAGTGAAGGGCGTGTGCATATTTATTTTAGAAAGAAAAATAAAACAACTCAAAACAAGACAAGCGCTGACTAACAAAAAAAACAACAACAAAAAAACGCGAAGTTGTTGCATATGTGACGGGTCCTTACTAAAATTTCAATTTCGGTGTTGAGTAATCGTAGCAAACTCGCAGGCTGAAGCAATAGCTTTTTATTTTTTGCCTGGGTGAACCTGTTATATAATGTTTTACTAATTTTATTCTTGCGTAGAAAAAATTCTGAGCAGTGGCAGAGGCTTTTTTGTCGACATTTTTAGCAGAGCGTGCTCTTTTTCAAGTGTAGGGAAACACATGTTGCAGAATGTTTCAGTCCTTCTCTTTCTCGATCTCAGACTGAAACATTCTGCAACTTGCATTTTCTCACACTTGAAAAAGAGCAGGCTCTGCTTCCAACGTCGATAATAAAGCCTCTACTGCTACTGCTCACAGTTTTTTCTACGCCTCATACTCTCTTGGTTAGGCATTGTTTATTTACACTTAAGATTTTTTTTTTTTTTTTTTCAAAGTGCATTTCAGAGCTGTGGTTTCATGCAGGATTTATTAGTGCCCTCGATCCTGGCAGTGGGTTGTAGATGCTAGTCAATCTCCACCTTTCAGCCTGAATCAAATGTTTGTTGTGAAATATTCTATTGAGGTTGTCGTAGCATAGTTCAGGGCAGCACTTATACTTTGCTCTCTTGTGTTTACTAGTGCTTTCTTTTTTTTTGGTATTGGGACCAGCTAACCTAGCTTGTCATCATAGTAGGGTGATTTCAGATAAGATCGAACAGGGGGTGGCTGGTCGACCTTTTTAATTTGCTTCATAATTTTATATGTTGTTTCCCGATGTCCAAAATGAACAAAATCAGAATTATTTTCACCCAGAAAAAAAATTGTCGAACGCAAAAAATCGTACATCACGTAGAGGTGGAAAGTCGCATTTGCTTGCATAGCCGGAGGGGGCAACTTTGGTGATTAATAACTAAAGTTATACTTCTTAGGTGAGTTTCATAATATTTTAGTATAATCTGTATGTACTTAGCAATGCGCAAAAAAATATTGTTATTGTTTAGTATGTTTAAAAAAATTAATAAAAAACATCAATTTCGGCTCCTTGACCGTTTTTCCCCCAACTTTGCAGGCCTGTATCTTAGGAAATAATTGAGTCACAAACGTCATATTTTCATTTAATACGCTACTCTTAAATGGAAGTACATTCACTAAAATTCAAGTTTATTTAGGTGCGGGTTGGGGAGATTTTGGCAAGCAAACACGAGACAAGCACCAAAATAAAAAAAATTTAAGGGCGATTTAAAAAAAAAAACCCGTTCTCGATTTTTTTTAAACTCTGACCGGTCAGTCTACTCTATTTGGGGGTTAATATACATTAAAAACATGTTGCATTATATTGATGGTGTAATAGATACAGCACCTCTACCGAGCCCCTTCTGCGAAGCTCGGCACGGTGTACCCCTGTGGTGCGACGCAGTTATTGCGACTTCTTACTTTGAGAGAAAAGTAATTTTTTTATTCATTCGAGTATAGCCAGTAATAGTTTGTCACATCTTTGTCACGTTATAATAAATCGAACATTAAATATAATAAATTGCACATAATATACAACAGATTCCGGCCTTCATAGGTTTCAAAATGAACAGATTTTGGCGCAAACATTTTCTGACGGTGTGCACCTAGAGTTTCTTCCAAGGGGATCTGACAGTCCGTGCCACTTGCAAGTCGCAGGTCGAAGCTTCTGATGTTTTGCATAGCCACACATGCCACGACTGAATACCAGGAAAGGCGCGCACTCCCACCCACTCTTCATTTTTGCGCTGACGGAATTCAACAACCTCGTCTTTGTCCAAAAGTGTGAAATTCACTCCTTTTAGTTTTTGGGAAAGACTGTTCACCATGCATTTTGCAGACTGTATGGCCTTTCCTGGGAGCTGTCTCAAGTTGTGAAGCGTTGCTTGGTGTTTGACGAGTCCTCCAACTCCGTCACACGCGTTTTTTCCGTGCCCAGTGGCTGAGAATAGCCATTGTGCTTTGGGAAAAACATTTTTTTTGGAATTCATGAAGTTGGAAGCGATTCTTGAAGTGACTGGCGGCACCGTCATTTACATAAGTCAAATGGGAGTACACAGCAAGGTTGTCATCGACCCACTCTCTCACTTTTTGTACAGCCAGACAGGCATGAGCGGAGTCATGGTGCAAGTCGTCACTGATGACGGCAAAACTGTATGTCGACTTTCTAGTAGTCACCACACACGTAAATATTGAGACCTGTTTTTTTTTTCCAGCGGTACGCTTCAATCTCGTCAGGAAGGATAACAGTCCAGTTTTCAGCGAAGTCGAAGTGGAAGACAATGCTACCACGCTGCGCGCACTGCTTTGCTTCATAGATGGCTTTGCCTTGCGTCTGTCTGATATGGTTGTGAATGATCCACCTTGAGACAGACACACGCAGCTCTTCCAGAAAAGTGACCGGATCTAAAGTCTTTTTCACGAGCTCGCCTGACTCCCATGCTGCCAAAACTATCTCTTCATCCTCGGAAATGTTGAGTTTTTCGAGTGTGAGAGACTGGCCTTTGGGACAATGGTCACATTCGCCTAAAAGGCACTGGCGCGATGGCGGGTTGCAAATGAATGCAGAGTTCAATTCCGCTGCGTCAAGTTGTGAGCCAGAAGCGTTTTGTAGAGAGGCGACACAGAGGTTGTAGTTTGCGCAGTGCACACAAACGCACGCTTCTTGCTGGGGATTGCATTTAACCCATCGGGGTCGCAGGGAGTAAAACTTCGTCAATCCGATGCCGGAGTCGGGATGGTCACTTTTATATACACGAAACGCTTCTCTGATTGACCGTGTCATAAAACGTTTCGGCTTGAGCGTTTTCTGGCCATCGAGCACAACGGAAATGACGTCTTTCTGATTGGGACTCTGCCTAGAACACTCTAACTCGTCTTTCATGTAGTACTCAACCGCTGCAGATATGTTTTCAGGGCTCACCTTACACCTTGTATAGGGATCGGGCACATACCACACGCCGTGGTCCTCCCTCAGCTTCCGGGACCTATTAATGATGTAGATCGATGCCTCTGGGATGATTGTCTGGACTTCATTTCTTGTCAAGGTTGATGGCAGGAGGGTCAGCAATTGACAGCGTTCCCGGGGAGAGGCTGTGGTCGCAAAGGCGCAGCGAATGTTGTCCGCCCACTCGGTGCATGTGGAGCACTTTTGCTCCGACGACCCCGATGCCACGTTTTCATCGTACGCAAGACGCATCCTGGAGCGCAAATTCTCAGTCACAACCTGCTCCAACTCCGTCTGTTTCCTCTTTACATAGGCAGGCCTGTCTCGACTTCTTACTTCACTTGGTGGTCTTAGGGGTGACACAAACGTTGAACGTACGCTGCGGTTTAGGTCTTCAATGGCCTCCTCAGGAGGCATAAAGCTGTCACCGCCCAACTCTAAGCTTCGCAAAGATATTTGCTTGGTGAAATGCGTAAAGCAATTGTAGCACAGGTAGTCCAGCTTGCTCACTTCCATGGAGCTGCCAGACGGGAGAATTCGCTTCAAACAGTCCACATCGAGCTCTCTCACACTGCGAAAATTTCGCTGCATCGGGATCTTCTTTTTGTGCTTTGCAAGGTAATCTGCGCAAAACACTCGCTCCGAGCTGTGTTGTCGCCATAACGAGCTCATTATGAATAAAAAGTCAACACGAAGTAAAGGAACAAAATTGCGGGTTTAAACTGTGGCTGAGCTGTAGTAACGCAGGTTAGTGACAAGTTGAAACAGGGAGGCTCCTTCGTTCGAAGCACACAATTATACACAGAACTACACAAATTACTCCCGCAACGAAGCTCCAATCGTCGCAAAGAAAGAAAGAGAGAAAGTCTTCGGGCAAAGGAAATAGACAGCGGCGAAACTATTCAGGGTCGAATGCAGATATCTATGTTTTCTGCTGAAAGGCGTCCTTGAGTCACACCGTCACTCGTATCGGTTCCCCAAAAGAAACGCCGCCTTTTCGCTATCTTCCCAAAACCCTGCTTCCCACTAATCCCTTTTACTTTGAGGGTTTGTCCACATCCAAGCAGATCCTAATCACCGCCGTCCAACTTGGCGGCAACGTTTATTGCTTCCCAACATTTTGGTAGACTCCAGATGGAGGACGAAGAGGGCAACACAGAACGATCACCAACTCAGCGCCGAAAGATTGTTGTCTCTTCCAGTTTATTAGGAAGCCCTAACCACCGACCTTCAGACGCCCGATAGACAGCCTCGCCTCCCCCTCCCCCCCCCCCCTTCCCCTTTGCTGGCTCTCCACATGCCAAGACGCCCATCACTAAGCAAGCCGGCCAACCCCTTTCCCTCCCCGTCCCCAAAACAGTTTCCCGACCGACACAGGCAGCCTAAAGTCCTTCCCCACCTCCCAACTTGCCCTTCCAAGAAAATACCGACACCGGATATCTGGAAATAATTCACCCTCTCTGCGATAACAACAACACATTTTTGTATGCTTTAATTTTTTTGTCGTTTTTTTTTTTTTCATTTTACGCTTTTTTACACTTTACGGCACTGAAGAAAAGCAAAAAGAAAAAAAAGAAAACGAAACGTTTAACCAGATTTACATCTAAGCAAACACATGTTGACCCTCCTGCGTCCACAAAACCAAGCAACACCCCACATAATACCCGCCAAAGAGTGGATGCCCAAAGGTTAACTTCAAACACATGAACTTCGAATATATTTATATATATTCTCTCTTTTCACAAAATAAGAAGTTGCAATCATTGCGTCGCAACACAGGGACACCCTGTGCCGAGCTTCGGATAAGGGGCTCGGTAGAGGAGCTGTATCCATTGCACCATCAATATGATGCAACATGTTTTTAATGGATATTAACCGCTAGATAGAGTAGAATGGCTGAGTAGAGTTAAAAAGAATAAAGAACCTTTTTTTTTTGCTTAAGTCGCACTGAAAATATTTTTATTGTGGTGCTTGTCTCGTGTTTGCTTGCCGAAATTCTCCCAACCCACGCAATACAGATTTGAATGTTAGGTAATTTACTTCCATTTATAAGTGTCGTATTGATTTAAAATATGACTCTTCTGGCTAAAGTATTTCATAAGATACAGGCCTGCAAAGTTGGGGAAGACAGTTAAACAGCCGAAATTGATGTTTTCTTGTGATTTTTTTAAACATAATAAACAATAACAATATTTCTTTTGTACTGCTAAGTACACATAGATTGTGCCTAAAAATTGTGAAACTCACCTAAGAAGTATAACTTCCGTTATTAATCACCAAATTTTACCCCTCCGGCTACGCAAGCAAATGAGACTTTCCACTTCTACGTAATGTGCGACATTTTGCGTCCGATGATTTTTTTTTCTGGGTGAAAATAATCTTATTTTTTTATTTTATTTCGGACATCGGGAAATAACATATACAATTATGACCCAAATTGAAAAGGTCGACCAGCCACCCTCGTTTCGATCGTGTCTAAAATCACCCTGTATTTGTTGTGTAATTTATTCTATATAATGCGCAATTTATTATAACGTGCAAAAGATGTGACAAACTATTACTGGCTATACTCGAATGAATAAAAAAATTACTTTTCTCTCAAAGTAAGAAGTCGCAATAACTGCGTCGCACCACAGGGGTACACCGTGCCGAGCTTCGCAGAAGGGGCTCGGTAGAGGTGCTGTATCTATTACACCATCAATATAATGCAACATGTTTTTAATGGATATTAACCCCCAAATAGAGTAGACTGACCGGTCAGAGTTTAAAAAAAATCGAGAACGGGTTTTTTTTTTTAAATCGCCCTTAAGATTTTTTTATTTTGGTGCTTGTCTCGTGTTTGCTTGCCAAAATCTCCCCAACCCGCACCTAAATAAATTTGAATTTTAGCGAATGTACTTCCATTTATGAGTAGCGTATTAAATTAAAATATGACGTTTCTGACTAAATTATTTCCTAAGATACAGGCCTGCAAAGTTGGGGAAAAAACGGCCAAGGAGCCGAAAGTGATGTTTTTTATTAATTTTTGTAAACATACTAAACAATAACAATATTTTTTTTCGAATTGCTAAACACATACAGATTATACTAAAATATTATGAAACTCACCTAAGAAGTATAACTTTAGTTATTAATCACCAAAGTTGCCCCCTCCGGCTATGCAAGCAAATGCGACTTTCCACCTCTACGTGATGTACGATTTTTTGCGTTCGACAATTTTTTTTCTGGGTGAAAATAATTCTGAATATGTTTATTTTAGACATCGGGAAACAACATATAAAATTATGAAGCAAATTAAAAAGGTCGACCAGCCACCCCCTGTTCGATCTTATCTGAAATCACCCAGTAGCTATCTTAAAAATTACAGTCTGCAAACTTTTTTTTTTTCCCCAGCAATCGTTTATGAAGTTTTGTACAAGAACGTCTTCGGCCTCGGAGACGACGTGGACATGGCCGTGAGGAAGATGTTGTACGACAAGACATACTTCAAGCACAAGAAGAACATGACATTCGAGCAGTGGAAAGAGAGGTTGGCTTCCGTGTTTTGGCTCTTTTTTGTCTCGATTCACGTCCACCCCGAAAGTGGGCATAAGGGGAGCTCTCTACCGAGGTTTCCTTTAATTACCATGTTTTCCGGTGTAGAAGTCACATTTTTTTCTTCCCCCCAGATATCCGTCTGTGCATTCGATACAACGATGTGAATTATGTGCATTTGCTTTTATAAGTGTATACCTTAACCCTGCAAGATATAGACCTTATCGACACTTATGACAAGGAAGGAATGGCAGAGCACCAGCAGTCCAATGCCTGCCCGAAGTGGTGTGGCATAGATTCGGCGGCCCCGGAGACTCTGTGTGCTATTTTTTACAGCTTTCCGTAGCTAGGTATAAAAAGGTGTGACAAGTATAGCAACTTTTTTTTTTCGAGAAGACGACTGTTTACAGAGGATGCGACTTAACAGACCGTAAAATATGGTAGTCTGCTTATAAACTATATGCCTACAAAGGCATGTTTAATGCAGTTAGATAGTGAACTACGTACATCTCTCGATAGCAGTCGGTGGGGCTTCAGTTCAACTACTTTAAGAGTAGCCAGTGCCCACCTGTAACGAATGCTACTTGCTGCATCTATGGAGGTGGAGCAAGCCAACCCTAATTTTGAAGAAAGTAGTTGAGCTCAACTCCTTTTCTTTTTCTTTTTTTTTTGTGAGTAGCCTTGCATTTGCATATGTGTAACAACAAGCTTGCATGCTGTATTGATGTAGCATTGCTCCACTCATTTTTTTCAAAGAATAAATGACCCCTTACATTTTCAGTGTCAGGTTTGGCACGGAAGTGAACGTCCTCCCCGAGGAGGAACAGGTACGTCGATATGACGTCTTCGCACTTTATTTCCTTATGTCGGCATGTTCACTCTCCACCAATGCGAAAGACCCACGCAAAGCATGCCCGAGGTGGTGGCGGGCAAGGGTACTTCACCCTTGCCCGTTACCACCTCGCACTTCATTTCCTTATGTCGGCATGTTCACTCTCCACCAATGCGAAAGACCCACGCAAAGCATGCCCGAGGTGGTGGCGGGCAAGGGTACTTCACCCTTGCCCGTTACCACCTCGCACTTTATTTCCTTATGTCGGCATGTTCACTCTCCACCAAGACCCACGCATAGCATGGCCGAGGTGGTGGCGGTCAAGGGTGCAGTGTGCGTTTTGGGCAGTTTTATGTCTCTGAGAGGTGTGAAATTCAATAGTGTAGCAAAGCTTAATAGATGCGCACTGACGAAGCACCTTTCTTTCCCTCGAAACGACGACGAATTGCCTAAGGTGCAAAGACTTATGGCTAATGGTTAACTCGTTCCTGTTAGCAGTTCCGTTTGGAAACCGGTGGTAAAGAAGCACATTAACCTTGCTGCTGCTACAGTCTTATTGCCACGAATAGCTGAAACGGTGTTTCAACATGGGCATCACCGCCGGCGTCTGCTCGATGTGCATTGCTTTGCAGGTTAAGGTCGTTTGCGGTATGAAATAGAGTGTCCATTCGTACGAGCGCAAACTGCTAAATCGATAAGTAAGTATTGTCTGTTATAGGTAGGACTTCTTGTTTTCGGAGCTTATTTTTTTTAGGAAATTCGGAAGTTGTTTTTTGGAGTTAAATTATCGATAAAAATTTGGGATTTATCCGAGTTTATTTTTGTTAGATTCCCGATTCTCCAAAGTTCAGAGTTTAATCATACTTTTTTTTTTCTTCAAAATAAAAATAATTTTAGGACACAAACATAACTTAATTCATAAAAAAAAAAAATAATAAAATCACCGGTATCGAAACTTCTTTTTGCACCTGGACTTCGCATTGACATATTTGCTATTAGCAGTATTAACTGTCCCACAACAAGTCTTGAAAACAAATGGTACTTTAAAAAACATCGCTACTTTGAGATAGCCAAACTCCTAGATGCGTAAAACCTTCAGCTGCCCTCCCCATCTTACGAAGTCTATAGAAACAGCCCCTCCCTCCTGTAAGAAGCACAAAAAGTATGGTTCAAAGTGGAAACCGGAACAGTGACTTTTGTCATGGTCCAGAAGTATGTTGACCCATTGCACTGATAGAACCTTGACGAGATAAACGGGAAACTCTTTTGTCAATGGCCCAAGACAAAGAAAAAAACTGAATTGGTCTTTTCTCAGCCACTAACTCTGTGTTCCGACAAACTATACTCGTAAGATGTCATCTTTTTTTATCTTTTTATTTTGCCATCATGCCCTTGAAATTCTTTACTTTTTAGATAAATCCACACTGTCAAAAATTTTACCGGCGAGTGTTTTTTGTGTGTATCCAAACACACAGAATCCCAGTTACAGGTTAAGGTTAGCGGGACAGGCTGCTTCCACGAAGCCCTCCACTTTTTCTGCTTTGTGTGTGAGGCGAGAGAGGGGGTGGGGCATGGGATGGGATGGAATGGGGATGGGGATGGGGATGGATGCTTTGCTTGTCCCGCTACTCTAAATCTGCAACATACTATGGACACGGTGCCTTAACTGCCGATCCCATGAATGACCTCAGGCGCTTTCTGCGAAAGTATGCATCTCTGACGTCGAATTTGCGGAGCAGCACAACGGCGTACACCCGGTACGAAGCGTCCGAGATGCATCGACGTTAACTGCGTGTGCCACATCTTCCCGGCAGGCCTCCAGCTCGGAAGTGCGGGTGGCGCTGGCAAACCGGATACCGCCATTCCCGTTCAAGGTGGCGAAGGCGCTCGACCCAACCATATACCGGAACGTCGAGTATGACATCTGGAACGAGGCCGAGAAAGGTTGGTGTTTATTCCGCGTTGGTCGATCGATAATTTTTGCTCTGAATCACAGCCTCCAGCGTTATGCCCGCAGCAAAACCGGGCTGTGGCACCATTGTTGTTGTCCGTCGTCGGCAATGCCTGTTCCTCGCGGCGACGTGGGAAGGGGACTATAGTAGCGCCTTGTATCCAAAGTATATAGACACAACACGGTTTTCTCATTCCTACTTTTTCAGAGAGGGTGAGGAGAGAGCAGTTTGTGGTTCCAGATTTGGAGCCTGGCGTGAAGTGTGTGGTGAGTGGAGCGGCGGTGTCCGAAGTGTGCTCAAATGACATGCACGACCTAAAAGAGGGCGTAGGTTATGGAATCGGAGAATCACCAGAACTAAGCGTGCGTGGTGTCTTCCAACAAAGAAGCCAGCGAAAAACTGCTAGCTCCTGCCTAGGGCGAAATTTGCAGAAATTTTGACCAGAGAACGGTGGCAACTTTTTTTTTTTAATGTATTTTTTTTTTTTTTTTGTGACATGCATAAAGATTGCCTTTGATCGTTAAAACATGCCACAGCCACTGCCCACCTCTTGAGCATAACATAATCATATGAATGATTCCTACATCAACCAAACTTAATTCATCCGAAAGGTAGCCAGAAAGATGTCAAGTTTGCCGTTATTATTGTCGCGTATTTGGTCTGTCCGTTTCGCCAGTTTAAACAAAAAAAGTTTGCTGAACTTAATCTATTTTTACTTTAAAATTAGCAGACTTCCTCTTTGAAGCAGCAACTGCGTCAAATGTCTTTCATGGTTCTTAGACGTCTGAAAGCTGACCGAGATTCTTTCCGGATTGGCTTCGCTTTTGAGTGCTCGATTTTTGTACTTTTTCGTGTAGAAACAAATAATCAGATTGATGGATTGATCCTCAGGTGCGCCTGACAAGGGACTCTGGGGGCCACAGTGCATCGTTTCAAGCGCACATCCAGAAAATGGAACCCAGTGAGGGTCCAGTCACGGTCTTCATCGAGAAGCTTGGCAAAATGTGAGGGTACTCTCCCGTCATTGGCACTAAGGTGACTCCAATTGCGGAGCAGAGCTTACTCAGTTTAGGCACTTTGAACGGAGGCTGCTGCTACAATTAAGGGGGCAGGCAACATTCCAGCTTCTGTGTGCATAGTCGCTCTTCCCGTAAAGGCAAGTTAGTGGAGTGGGGGTAGACGGATGCCGGCACAAGCCCGTGACACCAGTGTGGCGAGTGCCACTTGGCCGCAGTGTGTTTGTGTCTCCTGGGGAAGTACGCCCAACGTGTCTGAATGCGTACAAACTTCAGAGATGTTACAAATCATCAAGTACTGGTTGAAGAGGTTGAATCGAATGCATACTTATTCTAATCTGGGTATAAAAGTTAGGAATATTTGCACCTGTCTGTCCGAGTTCCGAGTTGGCCCTTCTGCGATTGTAGCTGAAACTCTAAATTGTCTTGTGTCTTATTACAACATATAGTAATGTTTGTTGCCTCAAGGTGCGGTAAGCCCCTAGTTTCAGAAGCAAGGGAATTTTGTTGACACATTATAAAGTTGTCCACTGTTTGCTCTGCGCATGTTTCTCCAGGTGCACGGTTCCGTACGAAAGCGTGGAAGCATTGCCTCTGCCTGCTCACAAAGGTAGGACAACGAAAGGATGCTCCCATTTGAATCTGCTGGCTCAATTTTAAGCTGCCTTATATTGCGCAAAGTTTCAATATGAACTTCATTTGTCCAAAGCTATGAGAGCTCCACATACGAGTTTCTTCCATTGTAACTAACACTTTCACACAAGCTGGCACTCAAATATAATGGTACTGTCGAGCCCACACTATAAACGTCCAAACTTTGTAAGCCGGACGCCCCACAATTGAACGTCGCCATGGGTTTATAAATCTGTTCCGCGGCCGACCAAAAAGGCAACGAACGCAGGCACAAGCTGGCAAACTTTCATCGTGCAAAAGCACCCTCGTTTTGGCTACCATCCGTTTCCCCAGTTTGGAGTTCTGTTCGCTATTGGTTATGTCTATTGTGGCAGCAGAAGAATGATTATGACTAGGGGTTTTTATTTATTTATTTATTTATTTATTTATACTACCGGCCGCCGTGGGGCGGCCAAGGTAGGAGGGATACATGGATCAAGTCTTACGAAAAAAGCAAGCACAGAATGTGGCAGCGCAGCAAAACAAAAAAAAACAAAAAAAAAAAAAAAAAACATTTTACATATATGATCACGAACACACAAAGAGCAGAAAAATATTCGTTTGAGGGGTATCAAGGCCTGAAACCTCAAAACTCTGGTAATTCGTTTATCAATGTTAGAAACAACGTTAGACAATTTGAAGAGACGATTTGTTCGGGTAACGCATTCCAGGCATGGATAGTACGAGGAAAATAAGAGTATTTGTAACAGTCGGTCCTGCATTTTATTTCAGTGATTGATTTACTGTGTTTATTTCTTGTAAACCTAGCTGTGTTGAAGTGAAAGTAATCTAGATAATCCAAGTTGTAGTTCCCATTTATTAGATTAAAAATAAATTTCAGTCGATTGATCTTTCTACGTTTTTCTAAAAGCGGAAGGCCGGCCTGTACATAAAGCTCCGAAATCGAGGTGTTTCTGCCATACTTGTTAAATATAAATCTTAATGCCTTCTTCTGAATTCTTTCTAATTTGTTAATATTACATTTTGTGTAAGGATCCCACACAACGTCGGCATACTCGAGTATAGATCTTACAAACGTTTTGTACGCCATTAGTTTCGTTTTGCTCGAGCAGTCCTTCAGTTTCCTTTTTAATGCCCATAATTTATTCATTGCTTTTCGGGAGATAAAGTCAATATGTGAGTTCCAACGCAGATCTGAAGTTATGATTAATCCTAGGTATTTGTATTCACATACGGTATTTAAAGCGGTTCCTTGAAGAGTATAATTAAAAGTCATTGGTTTTTTTTTTTCCTAGTTATCGTCATATGTGCACATTTTTGTTTATTTAGAGACATTTGCCAATCATCACACCATTCTGAGATCATTTCTAAACTCTTGTTTAAGACTACTTGGTCATTTGAGCATTTGACTTGCTTATAAATTATACAATCATCGGCAAATAAGCGAATCTGAACAGATCTGTCCACTGTAATGTCATTTATAAAAATTAGAAAAAGTAGGGGTGCCAGAACTGATCCCTGAGGAACTCCGGATTCTACTTTTGATGTGGATGAGCGGGAATCCTGTATTTGTACAAACTGTTTTCTGTTATTTAAATATGCTTCTAACCATTTTAATATCTGTTCATTGTTTAATAAGGAACTCAGTTTGAAGAGTAGTTTTCCGTGAGGCACGCGGTCAAACGCTTTTGCAAAATCTATAAAAATTACGTCCGTCTGATATCCGGAGTCAATTGACTTTGCGAAATCATTCACAGTGAGCACTAGTTGCGTAACTGTAGATAAATTACGTCTAAAACCGTGTTGATCTTTATTGAAAAAGTTATTCTCTTCAAGAAAAGAGACAATATGTTTAAACAAAATATGCTCAATCAATTTTGCACAGCTGCTCAAAATTGATACTGGCCGGTAGTTATTAACATGATGGGAATCTCCTGCTTTGAATATTGGAACTATTTTAGCAGTTTTCCAATCGTCGGGGATTTGCCCTAATTCAATTGACTTATTAAAAATTACAAGCAAGAAATTTGAGCAGGATTCCGCATACCGTCTTAGAAAAATGTTTGGGATCATGTCTGGTCCTACAGATTTTTTAGTATCAAGATTAAGCAATGCTGCAAAAATGCCTTCTTTAGATATGGTAACACTCGGAATGCTTTTCGGTGAGAATTCTATGGTTGGATTCTGGTTATTATCCGTGGTATACACGGATGCGAAGTATTCGTTGAATGAGTTGGCAATTTTGAATGGATCATCAATTTCTGTTCCGTTCTGTGTTATGGTATTAATTGGCTGTTTTGATTTGTGTTTTTTGTGTTTTTCTTTTTTGGTAAATACAGATAAAACTCTGGAAAGTGACATATGAACCTATTTCATCAAAATCGGGAAAAACCGAAATCCCTGAATAAGAAAAACCCACTGAAAGAGATCTTTATCTAAATATTAAGTGATGATCTTGTATGCTGCCCTCAGAACTGTCCTTGAGGCTGATTCTGTCTTTGGGGACCATTGTCTCTTTTCCTACTCTTGCGGTATCTGAGCGTTTCCCGAATATGTGGGTCAAGCGCATGTTCCTCGAAGTCTGAGGTATCGCATGAATGTGTCCCGTTCTCTTCGAAATATGCCCCCGATAACCTTCTATCCTTTTGTGTGACACGAAAAATGGATGCTGAAAGCATCTGAGTATGTGAAGCAAGAAACCCAAACAACGCAGAACCCTGGTTCTTGCCGGCGTCGCTACAAGTGGGTTGTTCCCTCTTTGCAGTGCTGGCCCTGCGTCAAGGCGTCGTCCCCTACAAGCTGCGCAACTGCTCGTACCACCAGTCTTTGCTGTCAAACTTTCGAGGTGACTTGTTTATTTCTGCCATCTCTACGTCACCTTTGAGGCTCTGTTAGGCGGTGAAATGGTGACAAAACTGTGCGCAAGTGTTTCAATTCTTGATTCAACTATTTTTTTTTGCAAGTTTCAGATTTTCAGAGAACACATCGCAGGCTTCTCCAAAAGGGAAAGACCGTGGTAAGTCTTACTTTTTTCTTTCTTAAATTATGTGACGTAATGACTGTCACGGAGGTTGTAATTACCGCAAAATACCGAGCAAGTGGCCTCTCAATATTGGGAAATCTTGAAAAACTGTTGGCTAGGTGCTCATTAGCTTTAGGACATAGTGCGAGTTATAGTTACGCATATATAAAGTACGGCCGACGCTGCAGTGCGATTGACCAGACAAAGTCCTATTTGCACACGCCAGAGTAGTCTCAACCAACAGTGTCTCCGCCGTCCAGACAGGGCATCCAAAAATAAAAAAAATAGTTTTCCATTTTGTTTTGGCACACGCTCCTTCTGCTCGGAGCGTCTGCTCTGACCTTGATGCTCGTGGGCTCGAACACTTTGCCAAAGATCTCTCCGCTTCGAGCTCCTAAAACTGTTATTGCCGCCATTGAGGCACGAAATTAGAAACAACAACGAAGCAGTGTCTAAGCAACACACTTAGCGCAGGTGTCCTGTTCTACACGACATCGCGCACCCAGCAAGCGACCTTAAAAATGAGCATGTTTCTCATAGAGAAGCATAGGAAACTGGGCCCGCGACGGGCTGCAATTAGCCGCATATCTAGGAGCCATCTCATGGTGCCGCTTGCAACCATGACAAGGAGAGAACTTTATCTGGCAGTTGCAAGGCGCGCTTTGTCCATACCTATGTATATATCTCGTACACTGTGATTCCCAAGCAAAAAAGTTGTATTTTTCGCCCAGAATGTGCAAAGAAATGAAAGTGATAGCTGTTGCACGGTTGCAAGATGCGGGTGGAACGGTGCCGTCACGTACATGAGGACGAAGGTGCAACGCGGTTAATTATCGTAGCCATTGTGGTTGGCATTCTGGATGCCACTGACGACCGCCACCAGTGTTTCGTGAAGTAAGTGGATAAGCGCAGAAGCGTGGTGGAAGTTTCTAAAATCATCTGACATTACACGTAGCAGTTGGATACTGCCAAAGTGGGATTTCGCCAAACGCGAGTAAGGTTTGAAGGCAAGTCTTTCAAGCAGACGACACGGAAGGCTCTCCTTTTGTTGCGTTTTTACTAGCGGTATGCTGGGGCTACTCATCTCCGCGCTTCACGGCCGACAGGGAGACCCAACTTTCCTGGCCTCGTGCCAAGAGCGGAAGGGTTTTTTCCGTAGCGGCAACCACAACTGTGCAAAGTGTTGCCCGTAAAGCGATCACTGCAGTCAAGCCCACACTGATAGTGTGGGCTTCACTGCTTTGCACGGGGGCACGTGGGGAAGCTGCTCATGAGGAGCATCTCGGTTAGCTAGGTCAGCTCAGGTTTGGGGAGGACGTTTGTTTGTTTGTTTTCATGCATTTCATTTCAAAAGTCGCGGGTGGGTGCTTATTGTAATCTGAGTGTATGCTCAATATTTTACGGTGGGTCACAAGTGTATGGTGAAGATTTGTCATTCATCAGACCTGTTGAAAACAACACCAGGGTTTAGTCTGCATCTAAAGATGTGAGGCTGCGGAGTGTCAAGTTTATGTTCTGCTAAGCTCCAGGGGACCTATGGTAAATGTTCATTAGGTGGAAACTTCACTGTAGGAGGGGATTTCAGCTGGAGAACTTTAGGAGGCCTGTCGTTTCTCAAATTTGACTGAAGTGGACTTCATTAAAGCTTCATTTCATCATATGTTGTGCAACAGTTCAGTGTGCTTTGAGCCTTACACAGGTACTTGCACAGGATCTTTCACCTCTTTCGCCGTGGCTGCCCCAAGTTATTGGTGGCAACTCCCTGCCGCTGGACTCTCCCTTTGGGCGCACGTGCGACATGGGCGGGTCGCCCTCCCAGGGCCTAAAGTCCGGGGAGCACTTCACCTTCGACAACAGGTGCATTTCCGGAAGCATTTTGAGTCGCGTTGCCTGCCGGACGATTGTTTTATTAGGCCATCAGTTTAGACTAGTCACACAAGCCGGTTTACCGAGCACTAGAGTCTGTTTTTAAAATGGAATCTTAGGGCTGGCTTTCAATCCTAGAGTGTCACAAAATGTACAGAAAATAGGATAACACTGCCAGTTGTCTTCACATAAGACTGTTCCTTTGCATAAATCGAACCACTGACATCTTGCTCCATAATCCGATATTCCGTCCCCTGCGCTGGCAAACCTTCTTTGATTTTTCGTGGTTATGGTTGCTTGTGGGTACTTGCGTCGCTGCAAAAACTAATCGCCCCAATGGCTGGAACAACTCGAAATATGCATGTCCCGGCTTTATTCGTAGCATTGCGATGAATTTAGACTCGCAATTACCGCACATAAGTGCAGTTAAATTTCATTCTTGTTTTCTCGTTCGTCCTCTGCCTGGCTGTTCCGATTTCTCCTCGCGTGCGGGGGTGCAAAGCTTGAGGTTTGTATTTGTAATTCAGTCCTGTTCGAAATCGCAGCAGGACCTCTTCCACTGCATGGAACTTCAATCTTACGGGAGCAGCACACAACGTGCTAGCCCTACCAAAAACTAATTGGGTTGCTTTTTTTTTTTTTTTTTTTTTTTTTTATCCAGGAGTGGAATTTAAGATGGCTGCTATTTCTAAGCACTTGTGCCCCCTTCTCTGGTGTTCCAGGCCGGGTTTCTCAATGACGCCGCCTCCTGTGGATGCTTGCCAGGTGCTTTGGGGTCAGACCAGTCAGGCTCTGACTGCGGTCAGGCCATACCCACCATGCAGTTCGTCCCAGGTGGGCCATGCGCTCTAATTTCTTCCTCTTTTGTCCGGACGGTCGTCGAGGGCAGACGTACAACCTCGGTTTTCGACGAGGAAGATGGTTCTCTTGATATCGATGTGATTAATGGGGCTAGTTGGATCATAGTTTAAAAAGTATAAAGCGCCGGAAACAACGAGGACCAAGAAGGGGTAAGACAACACAAGGAGCACTCGCAACTGTTGCCCATTAACAATAGGCATGTGCGAATAGTGGGTTTTGAGTCCAAAGCGAATGGTGATTTTGGCCAAATATTTTCTAATCGAATGTTCGATAGCCTTTTACAACCTGTGCTTATAGGCGCATCTGCATACATGTTCTATGCAGTCTAGTCTTTACAAAAGGCTTCAAGGCACTACTGTCTAAAATAGTTCTTAAAAAAATTAGGCGTTTACAGTTCTTTGTAATGCGAAACTAGAGTGTGGCTCTTGAAACGGGCGGGCGGGCGGGTTGTCTGCTTGGGCAGTTCTCACGTTTTTACAGTCGAATCTTGTTGATTCAAACTCGAGGGGGACCAAAAATTTTTTAGAATAAAGGAAAGTTTAAATCACTAGGAGTCTCCCATAGAGACTCATAGGATGGGACCTGAATGTTAGTTTGAATTATCCGCAAGTTTGAAATAATGAGAGTCAACTGTAAAAGTAAGACTGGTTGGGAGGAAGTTTAGACAGTAAGAAGTCTGTCTGCCTTCAAACAGATGTTTCATGTCTGCTCTATTTGTACAATAGACCCTTTCCAAGAGTGTGTGCCATCTTCTAGCTGTTGCTCCAATTATGCAATTCTGCCATCGGAGCACACAATCCTAGTTTCTATTGGACACGGGGACTCCCTCGGCATTTGGCTTGAACTCTGTTCTGCTCATATTTAGAATCAGTGCTGCGTCGGTGTTCGGTGAAAGCTCTGACCCGGCCGCACGCTTCTGGGCTAAAAGAAGTGGCAACCGCCGACGTTGCCTGACGGCAACGTCGGCGGTTGCCACGCTACGGGCTGCGTTGCCTGACGGCAAACGCAGCCCGTAGCGTTTGGACTGAAAGCTCGCACCACAGGAGCCAGGGATTACCTGCCCATTTTTTGCCTGGCTGTTCCGATTTGGATGAGCGTTGTTCCGGGTTGCAGTATGAAGTGCAGGATTCACTGTGCTCGCCACTTGAGGGGTCAATTTCTCGAGCACGTCGCTCAAGTTGTTTTTCTCTCTGCACGGCAACAGCAGCTGGGCTTTCCGGAGCAGCCACGGTGGGAAAGTAGCACCATGTTTGACCTCAAGGGCACTGCCGGCAAGTCTCTTTTTAGCGTCTTGGTTCGGTACCAGCGCGACGTGTAGCCGCGTCGCAAAGCAACTCTTTTCGTGCCTTCTTTCTTTTTTACATAAAATAAATTACAGGGAAGCTATGGAAAAAAAAAGACAGACGTGAAAAAGCAATGTGGAAGAGATGCCGTCGGCTTCACGTGACCGCGTTGCAGGGTGCGGCCCGAGTCTACGAGTCTTGGTATAAACACTATAATACCGACTTTAAAGATACTACAACATATCCTAAATATTTTCTAAGCCGCTGGTGCTCCGTCCCAGCAATATCAAATGCAAAACCCCACTACAGCAGAAACACTGCTCTCCCTTTTAGAACAATTAGAACACGAGCGGTCTCTTTTAGAACACTGGCGTCCAGCTTCACCGCTTTGCACCGGAGTGCTAGGAGCAGCAGCTTATGTGGGGGAGCACCTAAGCTAGCGCGGCAGGCTTGGAAATTGTGATCAATGCTATTACTGGTCTACCTTGCTCGATCATGGTTGTAGGCTAACCTCTCATTTTAAAAAGACTGTTCAGAGAAATAGCGGATATGCATGTTTTTCATGGCATTTCACCAAAATTATATTTACGGGCTCGATAAACTAACAGAGTGTAAAAGGGTGAGGGGGATGAGGCTTTATCCCAATTGAAGTGTTGCTCTATAATTCGTTTTTCAACCATTTTTTTAATCCATTTTAAATGGAACCTTCTCTAACCAGAGAGTTATTTCTAAAAAAGAAAGCTCTTTTAGTCACCTAATGGACACATACACGAATAGGAAAAAAAGTAACACATAAGCTAAAAGGACCTTTTAGTGTATCTGTAGTTTTTACCCGCAGTCTCGTTTTTTTTTGTCATGCTCTGTGTTCCTTTACACTCTTTCAACTCTTCCTGCTCTTATTACAAAAGGTAATAATATGCTCCAGTATCAGAGAGGAGCCCTTAGTCATTATCGTAAATAGACTCGCTTAACAATGCAATCATTTTTTTTTTTTTTAATGATGTGGTAACAGGTTTTAGCATCTTCATCTAAAGTGTCAGTGACTGCTTGAGTCAATGAATTGCTTGCTACAGAACCTGCTCCAAAACGTCAAATGCTGCTTTCATCACTGAGGGTAGCAAAGACATTTTTGGTTTATGTTTCGGAAGGAAGTTGGCTTAACATCCATGTAATGGGTTCTGGCTGTTTTAATGGAAGTGCATTTCTTAAAAGGAATGAAACACCTGTGGAGACTTTAATTGGTTTTATAACACGTCGCAGAGCTTGTGAAAATATTCGGGTAATATTATATTCTTGCAATCCTTATTATTTGTAGGTATGGCAATTTGAAAAATGTCAAAATAGGGTTCCCGGAAAGGTTAGGGCGACTTTCGTGGCACTTATGGTCGCCGCATGATGGTTTGAATTGTGCTTATTTTTGTGCACACATCTCTCTTCTATTGTAGGAGTTTCAAATGGTCTGGAGTCTCCAGTAAGAAGAAACTTCTTGGTGAGCTATTGAAACTTTTTATGGCTTGCCATGAATTGCCTGAATGATGTGCCTATAGCAGTTCGGAGGTTTTACAGTTGCCCTTGTAATTGTACGATTGGTAACTGCTAGCGATCTCAACTATGTTTTCGTTCCTCCATACTTCTTTGTATTTTAGCATTGTATCATTCTTTCGGTCGAGATCTGCGGCATCGCTAAATGTCAAGGTCAGAGGTCACTGAGCGACCTTGGGTTTCTGCGGTGCTGTTCATCTTTTGCATTGCATCTCCTGAACTGTAAGGATAGCAAAGGAGGAAAAGATGGAAGTAATAAAGGAGGGCAACGTTTTGGAGAAGGATGTTGAAGTGGAAGGGAGGCATGCAAACATAGAAAACGGGCAACTGTTTGTTGGCTTTGAAAGCTATTTCTTTGTAAAGCAAATCTTTTACAATTAACTCTGAAGTGATAGAGTGGATCTTTTGAGGGTAGCTTACAGCATTCCCCGATCTTATCGAGCTAAATTACATTACTTGTGCTAGCCAAAGTTTTCGTTATAAAGTACTTGCCTCGAAGTGATGTTTTGTTTTCTTTCATGCTCTTAGCCTTCAAGGTGGGGTCCGGGTAAGAAATTTCTCAACCTCGTGGTTGCTTGCTACACTTTTTCGTTGCTTGCTTGTTATGGAATTGGTGCAGCTTGTTCCACTTTAGATGCTCTGCTAGTTAGCACTTAACTGCCTCTTGGTCTTGCACAAGAAAATGACACCGTCTCAGCACATTCGTATTAACATCTGTCACAACGAAAGGGTGGCTTTTCTAAATTTTATTTTTTCAACCTCTATGCAAGCTTACAGTTACTGTGAAAATAAACTGTGAGGAGGTTGAACAGCTTTTGCATTGTGGGTCAGTAAAGCTTCTAAGTTTCACTTTCAGGTGATTTTTTTTTTTTTTGCCATTACTTGCTGTTTTGGTACGACAGAGAGCGCTGTTCTTCACTGCCACTTGGCCTAATTATGTTGCATATGGCTTTCTTTCCAAAAGTCTTCAAGGCTGTAATAATGGCCTAAAGGAGAGACGTTGCTGCATCTTCTGTGGTCTGCCTTGTTCGAATGTTGGTGTGACCTTGTTGTGATGAGGGGAATTGACTGTGCTAGTGGCCCCAGCAACATGTTCTCTGACTTTGCCTGACCTTGCCTGTGGTTCCTTCTGTCTCTAGACTTTAACAGAAGAATCACGCATGCACTTTGGAAAAGAAGCAGCCAGTTTTGAGCAGGGAACCGAACCGGTCATTATTCCGGTTCAGTTTAAGTTTGGGTTCAGTAGCTTTTCATTTTGTTCCGGTTCAGTTCCAGTTTAGCGATGAATACAAAATAAAGGCCCATTCACACAGTTGCATTCGGAGCGACCACTGCGCTTACGAACGAATGCAACCGGTTGGAACGACGATTTACCGACCGAAAAAATGTCCAAATAGAGCAGTTCAGAAAATCGGCAGATTAAAAAACTTGCCTTTCTTACATCTAAGCAGGCTTAAAAAAGCCGTCAATAGTGCCTTGCTTCAGGTTACGCCTCCGCTTGCGTTCGGTCACTTTCTTTTAGCTTGAGAATCGCTGCCTTTTTTTCTAGTGTTATGGTCGAGTACTTTCCGTGCTTCTTAGCTACACTTCACGGCGGCGGAAGAGCAGATAGGGCCACGATGTCCAAGCCAGCATAGTCCGAAAACAGGATTCACCGAGACGAGATGAGAGGTGCAAGTCCACGACTGCAAAATGGCGAATAAAAAAAATGATGATGAATGATGCGCAGCTAGAAAAAAAAAGCCATAGCATAGTGTCATCTAGCGGTAGGACTTGGCAATGCTCAAGTAGTGCTGCCAAATGAAGCCAATGCATGTGCAGCCAACATAGAATCTAAAATAGCGGCTTCTCTGTAATGTTTCCCGCTGATCGCTCGCAGCGATCTTGTCCGAAGAATCAAACTTTCTAACTTTATGCTGTCCGAAACATTGGTCAAGATTGCGCACTATTTCTATCGGGTAGGTCACGGTTCCTTTTCTAGGTCCGACATATCAAACGAGTCCAAATTTGAAATTATCGGTGTCCGAAGTATCGGTCAGCGACTGTATATAGGTACTATAATAACCCACATAAACAAAATGGGCGATCTCTCAGAGGAGGGGCTGACGTTTTATTACGATGAACTGTTTTCCAGTGAACCGGTAACCGCCAGATGAGATTACTGTTTTATTCCTGTTCAAGCTCAAAATTTAATGCTTGATTTCAATTCCTTTTTTTAATCTGGTTCAGTCAAAAAAATAATTGATGTGGTTTTCGGTTTTGGTTTGGTTGGGCACTTTGGTTTTGAGCCAAACCCTAGTTTCGTTTCCTGGTTGACTGCACTAGCTCTAGGAGCTGCAAATTTTTTTTAAAGGGGAGACTAGACAGGAGTTTGTGTAGACTGATAATTTTTTACGACCATCAGTAACCATTTATATTTTTTTGCTATTGGCAAGTTTTAACACATGGCTGATTAACTCAGGAGACACCTACAATCCAGGGCTCTTTATTTGGTGTACGTCTTGCCATAATTAGAAATGTAGTGTTACATATGGTATAAAGCCTGTTGCTGTATACGGGCCTATGGTGGTCATTGGTGGATTCCAGCAGATAAGAAGCAGCATAGAGATTCCACTAAGGCTTGTCTGGTGACCAATGGTGCGTCTCTAAACTGTTTTTTTTTTTTTAACTCTTGTTCGCTGCCTAGTGTTCTAGTCTTGTGCACACCTTCAGTGGATCCAGCCAAACAGACGGTGCCACATGTTCAAAATTTCGCACAGTCGGGGAAGGGTCTTGAGCTAACTCGATGTTAACCAATTAACCAACAGGTTCCCATGGCGCGTTGCAGATAAAGGCGGAACCTGTCACGTCCCAAAACCATGTGCCTAAACAAAAACTGAATGCTGAATTTGAGCAGACTTGGTTCCACAGGGTTCTGTTTGCTGATGTGTCTATGTGGATCGTTGTCACCCTTTCCAAAGTTTGCTTTTTTGCTTGCTTGTATTCCCATGTGAAAGGATTTTTTGTACCTACTGAAAGACATCATCTAGACATCTTGGCAAGGTATTTCATAACCCTGCAAGGTCATGTAGCCCTCTTGCTAGCTCAGTTACGGTGCCGCTATTTTTTTTAGTTACAAGACGTCTTGGGAAATGTCTTGATGTCTTGTAGAAATCTGCAATGGACCAATCTCGCCAGTTAGTTTCGTTCTGCCACCGCTGCCGGCATGGATCGTGAGAACCATAGTCTTTCTGCACGCGCAATAACCCGACTGAAGCTCTGCACGAGCGACGGCATGAGCCACGTCGTGCACCGGTGCCTGTCCCTTGTAAACTGCGGTCTACGGCGGCGCTACGCATGCGTGGAACACCTAGTGAGATTGGTCTATTGCAAGAGCCTGTAGTGCTGAATTCGCAAAGAAACAAGCTTAAAGGGGTACTTCAGTGTCTTTTTATGGGAAGTGATTTGCCTTAAAATTTGCCTCAACACACTGATAAACATGACTCTACCAGTCTCCCAAATATTCTGTGAAAATAAAAAAAAAAAAAATAAAAAATTGTAAAGTTATTTAATTTTTTAATTTCGTTCTTATCGTGTTCCTCAAACCGAGAGCCCCTACTGGCAACAGCACAGTGTGACGACAGAAATGGTACAAAGTGAGCAGTAAACCACGTTTTCGACTGATTACAAGACGTTGACGGTGGAAAAAGAATGCTTAGAGGCTCATTCACCGAGAAGCAGGAAAATACGTTCGACATACTCTGTTTAAGACTAGCCTGTGCGACCTGAAAGTCTGTACCATTTGTGACGTTGCTCCACTGGAGAGTGCGCTGAAATTTGAATGTCGGTTTCGGCATCTTCATTTACAGTTTTTTTGATGGCTATTTCGAATTTTGAGACAATAGATAGCATATCGGGAAGTTTGAAATCCGAGTATTGAGAAAATGCAATTTTTTTGGTTAGCTCAAGGTACAGCCGGGGTACCCCTTTAAGTTCCGCATACATTCTTAAGGCCCGTTCACACTCTTGCAACCGAGTACGACCGAGAGAGACCAAACCGGTTTTTAAGCCTCTTGCGATCTCTTAGGACCAGCTCCGTTCAGCGCATCCGGTCCCAAGAAGTCTTTCTCGGTCGTACTCGGTTGCAAGAGTGTGAACGCGCCTTTAACTCTAGCGGAACACTTGTTCAGGAATATTGAGAAGGAGCATTTTCTTCTGCCAGTCACGGCGATATATCTCGTGAAAGAGTAGCCAGGTAGACCTAAGTCAAGCGCTCGAATGCCCGCTCTATTTCTAAGTGACGTGATGCCGGTATATGAGAAAAATTTTCCGGAGAAATGTGCCTTAGTGTTGCGTTTTGATTGCCGTTTATATACTGTATCGCCAAGGTGCCTACAAGACGTCAATACTCAGTTTCATCTTGCGATAAATTGCAAGGAATGCCACGAACTATCCCATCCAACCTAGAGCGGGGAACATGTCGAGCTACTACGCGCCTTGCAAGTCTCCACTCCACCCTCTTAGCTCACAAAAAGCTCTCAATGTGCCGTAAATGCTTCGATGACTCGGTGTTGTTTGCAATTCATAATCCATCATAAGGTGAAACTGGGTGTGGCTCCAATAGCAGCAATGCATCTTCAACTGGTGTGTTTAGCATCCTATCTTGCTTCCTTCCATGTGTCGAAAGTAGCTTAGAAGCGGGAGAAAATTGCGTCACCGGTCCCGACGTACCCTGCCGTTGGTTTAGTATCCCTGCGGTTGGTTGTAGGAATGCCGGCAAAAAGGGCAAACAGCCACGAAAGGCTCTGTCGTTGCGGCGTCCCAACCGGCGTCTGCTTCGGTTTCGTTGGCTGTCTGGCTGCAAAGCGACCCGCAGCTAGGATGGGGAGGGGCGAACAGCACGGCACCTTTACTTTGTCATCGGGCCGAAATCCAGGCACCGCTTTTGAAGATGCAGTAAACGCACCGGTTGAAGACTCGCTTTGAGCAGCATAGCATACCAGACCTTTCATGGACATCCACGGATGTGGATCTGATCTCTCGCCGACGGCGCCGAGCAGGAGTCTTCGGGCATGGTCAACGCGAGGAGCGGGCCGATGGACGCGCACCTGGACTCCATGCCGTACGCCCACCTGTCCACGGTGTTTGAGCAGCAGCAGCAGCCATCCTCGTTCGCACAGCCTTCCCAGATGGTGGACTCTAGTGTGTGGGCGAGTCCGCCCCCCCAGGTGCCAGCCTCTCCTGGACCCGGCTACGACTTCGTGCCGGCCCCTTCGTTCGCCTACGTAAGGAGGGCTTCTCCTCTTACTTTTTCATTCTTGAAACGGCACTTGGGGACCTTGTACGGTCGCCGACAGATTACGGAGCACAAGTCTGTCTGCTTCGTTCACTGGGGTTGCGATAATGTCAGGACGCCGAGCTCTCGTCGGCCGATTGAAAAGAAGTAGTGGGTAGACCTCGAAGCATTTACCGTTGAGGTCTATCCGTCTGCCCTTTCAATCAAAGCCAACCAGAGCTCGGCACCATTTGGACATCTGTGCAACTCCTGTGCAAGAAGCAGGCGACTTGCTCTCCGCATAGGAACGGTGAGGAGGAGCTTCAGTTGTCTTGCCTCCACTGCGAGCTCCTACCTGCGGCTACGCTTCGACGTCTCGGGCGTCTCGAGCGCACACCCTGGAGGTCAGGGAATGCGCTCGAGGCGCCCGAAAAAGACTACAGTTCCTACGATGGATAGCGGGAGCAGTGGCATAATGAAACTGGCTATGAGATCGGCCTATTGCGAAATTCCTACTTTTCAAGCGTTGATCACGGTGGGTTATTTCATTACGCTCCACTCACTGTTAAGCTGAGACTAGAAGCTCTGCCTTCAGCGCGAGCTTTCTGCCCTTGCTAACACTAGTGTGAACACACAGGCGTGCACAACCAAAGCACTGCAGAAGCCAGTGAACTTGCACTGAAGGCAGAGCTTCTAGTCTCGGCTTATGGGTGAACCGAGTATAACAAGCACCGGGGCACTGTGGAGAAGCAACAGCCACAGAGCTCGCTTCCGCGGGTGTTGCCTCTCCGCTGTGCACCCGTGCTCGGTAGGAAGCAAGCCCAACGGGGCAACCTGGCACGATCAAAACTTGGAAAAATGCGCATATCGCAGTTCGTCTTGAAGCAAGCATCAAATAGAGTAGCATATTATTCAAAACTGCTATTTGAAATTCTGAATATTCGTACAACACTTGCCGTAATATCCCGAGTCATCGCCCACCCTCCTGCCGCCTGAAGTTCATAAAAAAAGTGGGATGGGCCATGTCTCGGTGGGTGAGCGCAAGAAGTTCAAAAAGGTCGGGGAAAAAAAAACTCCCATTTTATTGTGCGTATCTAGCGCGGCTGCAGAAGAGATACATTGAACTCAAAATTCGGATAAGTTTTATTGTTCTACACAAAAAATGCTTGTGGAAGAATGTATTACTATAGCGAAATCCGTTACTTACATACGTGCCACGAACACCGCCGATCGGCATACAGCGCTAAGATTTGTTCCGTGAAAGCACCTGACACCGCTATATTCTCCTCATTAGTAAAAAAAAGAAAAAGAAAAGTCTAGAAGAAAATAGAAAAACCAACCAGGCGCAACGAGCGAGCGAGCGGACCAAGGAAGTGACGAAGAGCAGTGTTGGCAAGGCGGGAAAGCCGGTGATTGCATTGGCAAATACTTTGGCGTCAGGTCAAGTTGGTTGCCTTGTCAATCGCAAGGACTTTTGCAACTCTCTTGTTTGGTGCATACGTGCGTGCATTTATGCACTGCATGCTATAAATGTGGGCTAAGGTGGCGTTGCTGTGTGGCATGGTCGGCACCACGAACACGGAGGTGGAAACGGGACGCTCTACAAACGTCTGTGTGCGGCGTTCCAGCAAAGCTTTATTTACTTGTTGGCTTTGTCTTAAACATTGCAAAACCACCATTGTGACGTGACGGGAGAAGAAGCGACAGTCTTTGATTTTACACTTCGCAATTACATTCCAGGATATGGGGTGTTCACTTACCTCGCAATCCCTGAATGGGTTAATACTTCTTGTGTTATCTTTCCAACTTTTTTTTTGAAAGCAAGACAAGTTTTTATTTTGTTATTTCCATTGTTTTCTTTTCCCACGGATACATTGTGAATTTGAGGTCGCTCGCGGAAGAAATGCGTAACCAAAGAGGAGTGTCTTTCTCTCCTTCGTTTTACTTTTTTTTACGGACGTCCTCCAACTGGGCAAGTTCCGTGGCCGCGTCATTCAGGTAGGATGAATGTTTGCGGATCGCGGAGTCAGCTTTGGGGTATTTGAAAGGATGGGCGATGACTGTGTGTTTTTTTGGAAATCGATATTGGCCCAAAAAGTGGGGTGTGCGATGACTCGGGGATGGGTAGTGACTCAGGATTTTACGGTATATTCAGATCCAACGTTTTCCAGGGTTACCGTGTAGTTGGCGCCAGTATGCAAGTGTGTTTTCTTGATGTGAGCGGTCACACGCGGTTGCAACGCATGACACTCGCATGACGTGTGAACGAGCCTTTACAGTACTCGCCTCCGCTTGCAGGCAGTAGCCACTTCGCCGGATCACAACATGATGGCAGACGCCTCGGCGGCAAACAACGGCGTAACCGACACCTCCGGTGCCACCATGGCCATGTCTCCCATGAGCGCGTCGTCGTACCAGGCCATGCCCTACACGAGCATGATGCTGCCGTTCGAGCCGCCATCGCCGACGGTGAACCTGCAGGTGCCGCGCTCTGCCGACCCCGATGGCAGCGATCTTCCCAGCGGTGGGTGGCTCGGTCTCTCTGGAGTCCTGGGGTGCGATTTGGGTCGCCGCGAGAGCATAATCTAATTTGCCTCTTGCGGAGCGAGTGATGGCTGCGTTTATAGACTGTTCATCTGCTAACACAAGCGAAGAACATGGTTCATCTCCTAACAGATCGGAAAAAAGAGTTGGTAATCTGCTATAAATAGTGCGCCGCGGCAAAGTTAGGATCGTACAGGGGCTGAAGTCGTGATTGTCTGCTATTTCTCATTGAAAGTCAGTGACCACCCGTGCTTCTTTTGCAAACCTCAAGTTAGTCTGCTGCCTTACGCAGGCTAACATCAGCCGGTCGATGAGGGAGTACCAAAGATGAGCGTATCAGAGGCTGCGAGACGTTTTTTGTTATTTGTGTTTTGAGACATTCTCACCGATATATTGCCCGATTATGAACCTTTGTACAGGTCTAAGATGTCTCATTGGTTGATTACGTGCAAGCTGTGGCGCCACGTCCAATCAGCAGCCGAGAACGCTTCGACCTTGACCGAAATCGGGTTTCTGGATTGTTTCTCTAGCTTCTTTCTTATTGCTCTTTTTAATGCGTAACATTTATTGGCCCATTCTTAAGGTTTTCGTGTCCTTGCCTCGAATGTAACTTCGATGGTGACGTCGCAGTGTTCACAACGGTTGGTGTCGTCGTGACATTGCGCAATACAATAAATTTTCCTTAATTCGACCTCGACGAGACCTTGAAACTTGGTTGAATTATCCGAATGATTGAATTAAAAAAAGGACTGAAAAACGATTAAAATTAAACTTCCTTTTATTGTCCAAAGTACTCACGGTTGGTGTGCTGCCGTCTGCACTTGAAACTCGTGCCCTAAAGCATGCTCCGGAGAGCAGTGTAACTAAACGTCACAACCCAAAAAATCTTGCCCTGCAAAAAAAAAAAAAAAAAAAAAAAGTAAGTTTTACGAGTTGATTTTGGCACCAGGCAGCGAGAAAAAGGAAAAGATAGTTCTCGCTTTTTGGCGCGCAAGATGGACTGCACACGATGCTACAAAAAAGCGCTTTGAGAGGGCGCACTCTCTCCGTGGCCGATCACGTGCTATGTTCTCCACGCTACTCCACGCCAGATTGGTTGCGCTGGCTCGCATCATTCCCTACGGTCGATCTCAGCGGCGTAGAGGAGCAGGCGCATATTTGCGCACGTTCAACTTTGCAGCAAGGGGCCCGTGTTTTGCCGTACATTGGTGGTTTTTCTGCCGTGGGGCCGTGCAATGTGAGCCCGCGCGCATTTGCTCGGGACGAATTATCCGATGCGGCGTCTTCCCGAGTTCAAACTATCAAACTCTTTCTTCCAAAGAAATGTATGGGCACTCGCCGGGACTTTTGAACACGATTGAATTAAACGAAAAGTCGAGCTAACGAAAGTTTGCTGTACTAGAACGTTCATGACCACATGCTTTTCTGTTGGTCGTGTGATGTAATTCTGTCACGTGACGGGAATGCACACTGTGATGGCACAAAGGGCCGATAAATGCTGTGCATTTGAATGATTTTTGGGATATACCAAGGAAACATCCTTTTTTAATGCGGAGTGTGTTTTATGAGCCGTTTTTTATGAGAAGATTGTCATCAATGAGCACCTTAGCGAGCATCATGAACGAGCAACACGCTGGGCGTGTTAAAGACGTTAAGGACGTCGAGCCCCGGCAAAGCTCGAACCAGAGTCAATGCGGTGGCAGTTGGATACTACAGTCACTGATCTGCGTAGTACAGCTGGTCTGGAAGGGAAAACAATTTTATTTGAGCGCAAACGTGCCAGCGAGAGCGACACGTTTTGGACGAAAATAATAAAATAAACTAGATAGCAAAATACAAATAAAGAAAATACATAATAGAATGGAAAATTTGCACGAACGACACACAGATTGTGGCTTGTGAGGGACGCAGTCTGTGCTGCTTGTAACAGCATTATCGAGATTATAATTTTCTCGAATCTTTTTCATTACATAGAGGCAGGTGTGAGGAACACTCTAGACGATTAGTCTCGATTGAGGTGATACACCGTTTGATTATTCTGTTCGATTCCCGATCACACTTCTTGTTTTCCTCGTCATCGAGGGGTGCTGGAACGGGAGGGGAACCCACACTTTGACACACATCCTTTACCTTGTCCAGAGGGGCTCAGTCCACCTGCTTGATCGACTAGCGCCTTCGTGTGTTGTGGATCCGCTTGGGGTTGTGCATTTTGATTCAGTTGTGTCGATGCAAAGACGTGTTGTCAAGCTATAGTTGTGTATTTTTTACTTTCAGATGCCTCGACGTTGCGTTTCTTCTACAACATTGGCTGGGACGTATGTTTGCTCATTGATTTGCATGGAAATTCTTGATGCCCCCCCCCCCCCCCCCCCCCCCAGACTGAAATCTTTTAGTGGTTCTTAGAGATGCCAAACTGATACCATGCTTTTTGGTGTATAAGTCGCAGTATTTTTTTTTAAATTTCTATATGTGTGTTTTATGCAACAGTACAACTTGCATGCTTTTTACTTTACAAGTATGGACCTTAACCCTTTAACTGCTGGGTTTTTTTTTCTTTGCCCTAGCATGCACCCTGTGCCAAATTTTTTGTTTGCAGCAAAAAAAAAAAAAAAAGTTAAGATGCAGAGACGGGGTTGCATGCTTCAATATGTACATTTATTTGTTAGATTATGTTGCTGTACTTTCAGAGAGTTCTTTACCTTCTCATTTTTTTCAGATTAAGAAGCTTTCTTTGTGCGTTATTCCTCGAAACACGGTACTACACAGAGTGGCACCTTGCATGCTGAAAACATGTACCCCCATCACTGTCGAAAGATTCTAAATTTGTTAGCAATTCCTGGATTTCGGCTTCCATCAAGGAGCGCGAAGTTGAAGCACATTGGTTCGCCATTCCAAAACAATGTTGACTCAGAAACGCATACGTAGGAAGTTGCCTCCACAAAACTCTCGACCTGGCATCAAAAGGCAAAACGACAGCTGAAAAATGCCGCTTTCAGGAAAAACGAAAAAATCATTTTTGTCAGCCTAGGTTAAGTTGGGTGCGGCGGGGAATAAATTGAAAACTCGCAAGTATACTCGGGCGCGGCATTCAAAGTGTTAACTGCGCAGATTTGCCGTGGAAGTTAGATTTTTCGTTCGATTTGTTTGCAAGGATTTTGTAGCTGTTTCCCCGCTTGCGATCACGGTGTGTACGCATGTGGGGGCGAATCGACGCAGTTTTGCCACGCCTGCCGTATAAATACATGAATGCGACTCGTTGAAAGGTATGATTTATACACAAACCTTTGAAAATGGTTGTGTATGCAGTTGATCCTCAATTTAACGAAGTCACCGAAACCTGCTAATTATTACGTTAAATTGGGAACTTCGTAAAATCGGGGAAAGTCGTTCTTCGGGCATAGGCTGCGCGGGGAATCCGAATTTGTTCGTTAAATCAGGAAATTCGTTAGATCGGGTTTCGTAAAATTGAGGTTCAACTGTAGACTGAAAAATATAGTGCTTACAAGCTAAAAAGACACACTGGAGAATGAAGGAAAGAACTTCATTTGGTGCAGTTTAATGTAACTAGGAACTTGCATTTCTCAGTTCCACTCAAAGAACTTCTACCCTTGTTTTTTGTTTTAAATTAGTCCTCCGTAATGGCGATTTGATTGTAATTACGGTGTAGGTGTGGACGTCCACACGGTTCTTTCTTTGTTTGTTTCCCCATTCCGGTTGGACCATGCAGCACTTCCGGATGTACGCGACCCAGTCGTTCATGTACTCTCCGATGCACGGCTACAACGGCAACTTCAGCTTCACGCTGTTCCCCTACATCGCCGACCCCAACGCCATGCTTCCCGACATCCAGTGCAGCATGCCGGAAGGGCCGGCCACAAGCACTGCTGACACGGCACCCAACGGTACACCTCTCAATGGGCCTTTTTCCAGTAATTTTCTATGGATGTGCACGCCCTCTCCCCTGGGGCAGTTGGCTCATCTTGCTGCCGCGGTTGCGGCCAAGGGGGATTTTTATGTCACATGACAAGCTCCATGGGGACATGGAAGTACTTTGAGTCCCCGCCTAATGGCAGAGAAACCCGTGTCGCGTCGAGTACAAAAGTTCATTGCGCTCGCAGAAACTGACCGCAGAGGCTTTCAAATGGAGTCCAATTAAGTGCCTCTTCATACGCTAGAAGCGGCAGGTAACGTTACGACCAGGAAAGGTAAGTATGAGCCAAAGTAAAAGAGAAATCTCGCATGATAAAAGTGATGGCAGTGTATTTATGTATCTGCGCCAGCAACTCGACTCAAGCCCTTTGTTGTAGTCAAGAGGTAAGAGAGCCAAGACTTGTCGTTGCGGCGCGAAAATTCCAAATTCAAATCGTTTTGCAATTTTTTTCTTTATAGATTTTTTTTTTTTACATCACTGACATTGTTTTATATTGTCACCGTGTGTTTGTTTTAATATGTTCACTTTGGTTTGATTGAACTGTGTATTTTAGTGAGGATAGCTTGTTATACTTGGCTTTCAAATTGTCGTTCTTCACCCCACCAATATTTCGAAATGCCCATTCTCTATAAACCCGAGATCAAGTTCTGCATGCCATCAGATAAACACGAATGAAGAAATATTGCCTATTTTATTTATTTGTGCACTTGCTGCCCCACAAACACTTTTCCTGAAAGCATGTAAGTTGGAGATAGTCCGCACTTCACCCTTGCTTCATGCCCCGTGCAAAACCTACTGCGTAAGCAGTGGCCCCCCCACCCTGCCTATGCCACTGTGTCTCGGCAATGTGTAGGCCATTGTTTTCCCCAGATATCATCCGTAATCCGAGCTGTCTGTAGTAACCAGGTGAATGTGCCCGTATTTATCCAGTTTAGTCACGAAAACCGCATCAATATAGCGGTGTGTCCGTATTAACTGGGTCTATATTCACGAAACATCGCTGCACTCGCGAGTGCTTTTTTTCGTGAGGGCTGGCCATAATGAGGTAGCAGTGGGTAGCTATCTCACAAACTTCCTTTTGCTAATTGGGGGGAGCCTCATATTACCTCTTTTAAACCCGGTTTCGTCGATGAGGTCGACTTTTGCTAACGAGCGGCAGAGCCGACTTACCTGACCCAATTTTGCTTGTGAGGTCAACTTCGTTCCACCAAAACCATTGGAAGTGTCCCATAGCTCATTCATTAGCTATCATTGTGTGTGTGTGTGTGTTGCGTAGCTGTTGAGCTTCACAAAATTAAGATGACCTGGTCTGTCTTCAAAATTCAGCAGATGGAACACCGGCAGCATCGAATGCCTTTGCCGCTGCCGAAGTGGCAGTGCAGAACGGACATCCGAACCCGCCTTTGCCGGGCACTCAGCAACGGCAAACGTCCGGCTGCGCCTCTGCCCCTGCCAGCGTAAACGCCGCGCAGTCCCAGAACTAGTCAACGATACCTTGACGGTGCCCACAAAGCACAGACTGCGTTTAAAACGGATTGTTTCCGATGTGCACTGCAGCTTCGTAAAGCCGACCTTGACGTGTCCATTTTCAGACGTGTTACCCTTGCGGTCACTGGTTTTTACAAAGTTCCGTTTGCAGTGCCTTAGTGCCTTTGGTATACCTATTGCATTTATACTTTCTTTTCTTTTTTGACTTTTTTTTTGTTCTAGTCGCGTACTGTAAGCTGGAGAAGTGTTTTGGACATTCTTTTCTTCAGTAGTCTTCCTTCCTAGTCATTTTTAGTTTTCCTTGTTTCGTCAAAGGTCGAGCTTTCTCAACCAATGGCATCTCATTTTTACTTGTCACTCTTCTGTCGTTTTTTTGCCACTCACATTCCTTTTTGTTCTCAGTTGTGATCCAGTTTTCTGGCTAAAGATGACTGGCGAGCATCATGCAGAGACTTGGCTATGTGTCTGGTGCTTTTTCTGAAAACTCATTTTCTCTAGTTTGCTCGCTTTCCTGCCTTGCCGGAGAAGCTTGTAGTCTTCTTCATGTCGATGCGGGTCGAGTCATCTGTGTTTGCCGCAAGTGTCGGTGCAATCTCCAGTTATATACAACCACACAAATTGTTATCCTATACTTCGTTTCACCTTAGGTCCGAGCGCAGCGGGCACTGCGTGATAGCAGGGCCAATTAAGCAGCGACGAAGGTGCAACGTCACGGAGTATATCGTTGGGAGATCCAATCAGGTGCAAAAAATGCATCTTGACATTGCGCTTCTGACGCTGCTTGATTGGACCTGTCCTCATAATGTCCGCTTCGCTCAGACTTAAAGCGAAACAAAGTATAGTGAATTTTCTTTCAATCTCGTTTGGAGTTACTCTCGCTTAAACAGTGATGCTCAAGTGTTGCGTTGACGCAGTCATGTCACAAACACATTTTAATTTATAGATTTTATTTATACTTGCTCTTCTAAGCGAGAAGAACAATCATGCTATAAGGTTGTTTCAATGACCTGTATATAACATGAAGGCCCTCGAAAATTCCTAGAATGTTGTTGGTTGATAAAAAAAAAAAAGAAGCTTTCCGAGAACAAACTGTCAGCCACGGGAACCGTCAATGATTGCAAAAGGTATACATATTAGCTAAATAGTTAACTTAAATTTCATTATCTTTTTAATTAGTGAAAATAAAGATGCAATTCCAATGAGAAACTTGCTAAGCATCATCAAAAATCACTAGATCAGCTAATTTTGGAAAGATCATGTAGATTTTTGGAAGAGGCAGGCACAGCATTTTATAGCGTTCCATAGAAACGCTCAATTTGGATGCCTTTGTAGGTTTCGGTTTCCTCTCCGAGCGCACCTTTGCACCTGCTGTCCCACTCCCCAATGGCCGGGGTGCATAACACACTTGCGGGGAGTAGGGCCACTAACACACCGGGGAGTAGGACCACTAGACCACTGGCGCAAAAATGTGCCCCCCCCCCCCCCCCCCCCCCCCCAAAAAAAAAAAAAAAAGTTTGTTTAAAATAAGCTTTTTTTTTTTTAGTTTGTAAAATGCTATTTTTGTGCCCTATGTCCCTCTAAAATTAGTTCATGTGGTAGTTTTTGAAGTTGCTTAACAAGTTTCTTATTTGAGACATATGTTTATTTTCACAAATTAAAAACTTGTTTATTACATTTTAGTTAATTTATTAGCCGATTAGTATACGCTTTTTGCAATCCTCGATGTCCACCGTGGCTGGCAGTTTTTTTTTGTCAACCACACTAATTATAGGGATTTTTGAAAATCTCTACTTAAACACTCAATATATTCTTTTTTTTTTTTTTCTGGTGCAATATTTTTTTTTGTGTGAAGTCTCTAGTCGAGAACTTTGTTATTTATTGCTTGTGGTGATGTTCAAGCTGAGCGTTGTCATATAAAGTTAGCCCAAAGAAGAAAAAAAAAAAAAAAGTTTGTTTTGAGTAGCACACAAGGATGTCTGACAAATTGTACTTGAAAAGGGCGTGTCATTTGTAGGGCGGTGCTCGGTATTTATAAAGGCTCGTTGCATGCCTTTGGGTTTGTCAATGGCTGGCACCATTTTTGACAAATAAAGCCAGTTCACCAACTTTCAAGTGCTTCAAAGTGACATTTCTTTTTTTATTTATTTGAAGGGTTCCTCGCGACTAATTCTCGTAAATGCAGGCCACATTTTTATTTTATACCAAATGCCAACTAAGTGTTGAACACGTCTTTGTTTTTTTAATTTTTAATGTGGTGAAACCTGGTCAAAAGGAGCTAGAACTAAAAGTATTCTTGAATTGTATTCATGGGTTGATGTCACATTGCACACTTTTGACCACCATGTAAGAGGAGAGGGAAGCTGCTTTTGTAAGAATTTCGAGTGACTGGTTAATCTTCGATAATCTTCTTGGAAGGGAAAAGCGTCGTCTGTGCAAGTGCTGGAGGCACAAAAGATGATCCTGATAAGAGGGGGCGCAGCTCCTCCTCTGGTGGTCATTGGAGTGCTCTGAATGACGTCTCGTGCAATCCACGTATATGGATGGGAGTCGGAAATTAGAGCAGCTGACATAGGCTTCTGTGTCATTTATTTTTAGATGATAGCTGTGGGGGTTGAATGCACCCTAACAAATTTCTTGCGACATATTTTGTGATTTAGTATTCCTCTAGAGTTCATTTTCTCAAACTGGTCAAAAATGGTTTTGCACTATGTGGTAAGTTTGCCACTGTGCAAGGTGTCGGGTGTCTTTTCTTGGTAAGTTCAGAATTTAAAAACAAATTTTTGGGTCTTTTTTTTTAGGCCGGGGCGTAGCAAGGCGGAGGCAGTTTAGAAACGAGAGCAGTGGGCCCGGCAGCGGGGCAGGAAACCTAAATATGTGTGTTTTAGAGCGCAGCTCTTAGTCGCCCGTTTCCGGCTTGAGCGGCGTCGCCGTCGGCGTAACCAAGGTCAACCCAAGGTCACGTGACGCCTCTCGAGGTCACCCCAAGGTCACATGACCCCCCGAGGTCATGTGACCCCTCCCAAGGTCACGTGACCCCCCCCTCCCCCAAGATCACGTGACCCCCCCCCCCCCCCCCCCCCCGAGCATATTAAAGAATGAGGGGAGGAGGAGGAGGAGGAGGGGTCTGCCCTCCCCTCAGTACACTTCCCTCCTCCTCCTCAAGAGCTGCGCTCCAATTCGGCGTTACAGGGAGCTGTAAACGGCTTTCACTTTTTAAAAAAGAATTTGTGTTCTTCGGCCCACGTAAATAAACTATGCATCAGGAACCTGAACCTCTGCAAAAAACGTGGTGCTAGCGGTTGGGAGGGAATACGGAAGAGGATATGATGCTACCCGAATCAAAAGATAGAAGAGAAAGACTGAATTTCACCGTCCGCCTCAGCCCAACGACGTAGCCGGAATTCTTTACTGAAAGAAACAAAAGCATCATAAGGACCCCCCCCCCCCCCCCCCCTTTCCCCCTACAAAATGCCAGAGACTACCTTTTTTTTTTTCTTTTTGAGGGGATGGAGCAGAATAGACGGATGGATGGATGAATCTGGCTTTTGGTTCGGGCGGTAGGTAACTTATGCCACCTAGCCATTTTGTTTATGGCGAAATTCTTTTTTGCACATCGTAAGCGTGCACCATAGAGTTATTATAATGTACATTATAATAACTATGGCATGCACCAATTCATTTGTTAACAAAGCGGCGTTACCGCTTCCCCGCAGTGCATCCGTCCCGTGGGGAAAGCCGGGGAAGCGGCCTCAACTTCGAATTTTTTCAAAACTCGCATTGACATTTGGAATTTGACTCAAATTCACAAATGTGTCTCGCTATCTATTTAACAATTAAAAAGAGAAAAAAAAAAAGTAGCTTTTTTTTCTTGATCAGCCAGCTGAAAGGGTTGACTCTGGGGCTGTGCGGCCGAAATTTCACCACCCATACCAGTGGCCCATACGTGCTTCTAACAAGTATGGGCAAGGCGCGCCCATACTTGTTAGAAGCACGAGGAGCAGACGACGCGGGAGGCTGGTGCGTTTGTCGTGCTGGCCTCGCGCTTCGCAAAGTATTGTACCGAATGCAAAAGGTACTCAAATGTCTAAGCATCATATTAAAGGGGCAGTGCAACGGTTTGATGTTGAAAGAATTGCCAGTTTGAACTTTTTATAATGTTTATACAAGCCCAAGTGATTTGGGTGACGAAACCCAGTGTCTGCCTCGCACGTGAAGCGGTTCCTTGGACGTGGCGACTAAAATCGAGGCGCTCGTCGAATGCGACTTCGAGCAGTTTTGTGTGAGTGACGCGAGAGTTCGGTGCCACCTATTGTAAGGGGTGGTGAGTGTGAGGGCTTAGCCAAGGACAGGCTGACTGTCATGCTAAGGCATTTTGTAGGGTTTAGTGGGAGGCTGTGTGTCGCGGACCACCTGTAACAAGCATCGAGGTCGTTTTGAAGGGAGGTGACTGCGTCCTTGGAGATTCCTGGTTGTATCAGAGAGAGGTCGTCTGCGTATATTATTGCCTTAGATTTCAGTCCATCGGTGATGTCATTTATGTGCAGCAAGAAAAGTGTAGGGTCAAGCACACTGCCCTGCAGCACACCGGCGAGCACAGTACAGGGAGATGAGAGATGACTGTGAAAGGCGACTCGCAGGGTTCGATTCCTGACGAAATCCATTAGCCAGTTGGCCAAGGAACCCTCAATACCCACTTTCTTGAGTTTTTTTAGGGAGAAGTGTGTGGTCGATGCGATCGAATGCTTTTGAAAAATCCAATTGTACTATGAAAAAACAGTGAGTGCGCAGATGAGCTGGTGGATATTGATCATGATGTAGAAGACCCGAGACTGTGGTAAAAGCAGAGAAACTTGGTTGAAGGAGAAAGACGGGAAAAGTTGAGACACACTTTTCCCCTGTCTTTCTTCTTCGACCAAGTTTCTCTGCTTTTACCACAGTCTCGGGTTTTCTACATCATGATCAATTGTACAGTGTACTAGTTGGTAGGGGATGCGCTCGTTTAGGTGTGAGCTAAGCGTGTGAATTGCTACTGCCAAGGCAGTGTAGCAGCTGCGTCTCCTTCGGAATCCTTGTTGTGCCTGATTTAGCAGGCCATTGTCCTCCAGGTGGTTCCGGAATTTTGTTATTTACTATTCTTTCCAGTGTATGACTCGCAACTGAAGTGGAGGCGATGGGGCAATACGAATCAATTCTGTCGGTGTCAAGTCCATTTCCCTTGTGGATGGGCATTATGATGGATCTCTTCCATTGAAGAGGTACAGTGCCAGAGTCGAGTATGCGTTGAAACATGTGGATCAGCTAGGATGGGCTTGATCAGGGGGGCGGAGAGCTGGAGAAAAGCAGGATGCACTCGGTCTGGTCCAGGGTTCTGTGCTGGGCGAAGGGAGGTCAGTGATTCTTCTAAGTCTTGTTCGGTAATGGATAGGGATGACAGAGAGGCTCCAGGTGGAGGGGACGACTCGGGATTAGCTGGGTGGGAAGGTGAGGCTTGGGGAGGTACGGGAAGCATTCGGGGTAGAGGTGAGGCGGGAGTCGTGTGGGGAGACCAAATTGAGGAGAAGTGTTCACTAAACAGAGACGCTATAGTCTGATACAAGTTTCTGGTTGTGTTTGAAGACTGGGTGGCCGGGTGAAGAGGACTTTCTTTGGGATTTGACGTAGGCCCAAAACGGCTTGGGCTCTTTGGCTGCTCGGGCTGCAATGCTGGTGACATACTCTTGATGTGATTTGTGCACCAGTCTCTTTATGTCTTTTTGCAGTCTTCTCGCTTCGATGTAGCTAGATGTACAGTGTTGCTTTTGAGCACGATTGAAGAGTAGGAACTTTCGTCTTGCGAGGCTGGTGAGTGAGGAACGCATTCCGTCTGGATTGCAGTCATTCGGCTTGCCGCCTCGTTGGAGCACGAATGATGGATAACAAGCGGTTTATTAGTGCAAGGTATGGGAACATTTGTTTCTTTTCTGGGTGCTTACGCTGCATTAAAAATGGGCGGTTTCTGAAGCTTTACAAAAGAGAATGTTTTGGGCGGTCAGCTCGAAATTCTTTGTTACCCAGTGTAAGGGGGTTTCAGTGCGGAAAAAGGCGTGTTTCAAGCATCTAAAAATGAACTATGGATTTCTAAAAGCACTGACTTGCCACAGTTTACCACAATTGCCATAATTTACTTTGAGATTACTGGCTTGTCATAATTTACCTTTGAGATTATTAGCCTGTCATAATTTACTTTTGAGATTATTAGTTTGCCATAATCTATTTTGGTACTACCACCTCCTGCAACAGTAGCCCTGGTAGCCCGCCCGAATCGCCCACGGACTTCCACGAGACCCGCAAAAGCAAGTTCAAATAGGATCACCGAAGTCGGTGATCCTGCTCATCAGTAGGACACAATGTAACTTTAATATAGCGCAGCATCACGGCAGTAGTTTGATATCAACCTTCAAATATCAACCAAGTTGCCGCCGCTGGCGTCCGACGGACGCCAGCGGCGGATTCAAAATCCAATCCAATCCAATCGGCTAAAACCGGCTACGCGCTACGCCATCAGCTGCTCCGGCGTACGCAGTGTGTTTTCATCGTTCTAAATTTCGCTGGCTCTTATTCATCAATTACAGGCAGCCCGGCAATGTGACATGTTCGTGGAGCGTGCTACCGATTGCGTCGAATCGTGCTACGTGACGACATTTTTTCCCCAGTCGTGTCCGGACCTGTCTCCGCGACCGGCGGTGAACACGTGCGACGCCGCCAGACTTCTGTGTCGGGCAACCGACTTTCGATTTTCACTCTGCGTTCTCGTCCCGTGAGCCTTGGTACTGCTCTTCTTACGTCCGTCGTGTCCAGTGTTTGCATCGGCGTCCGGTAAGTATTTTAAGTTAAAACCCCCTTCTTTTTTTTTTTTTTTTTTCCCCTTCTCTTTCTGTGGTTTTATCTGAGGTTGTCTCGAGTGCGATGGGTGCCTCCGCGCGTCCCAAATCTGTTTTTGTTTTCTTTTTCTCGCGTCTTCTATTTTTCTTTTATCCCCCATGACTCGTCGTGATATTGTACAGAGCGCGGTTCCTGTTTTTGTGCCCCCCCCCCCCCCCCCCCCCCCCTTTTTTTTTTCTAGATGCTAAAAACTGCTATTAAAACCGCTGGTGTGAACTAGCTGGTATACGCGTACACAGCTCTTCCGCGTTCCCGTGAAACGCGGAAAAGCGGTTGTGCGATGTACTGCGTTACACCCTGTGTCACATAAAAGCCTACTCGAGCCAATCAAGATCATAATGAGTGTGGCCGCAAAGGGACCACAATTCGTTCGAAGGGGCAACCTAAGAGAACATGTATACCCCGGCGTACCCCGTCGGATTACGTCATTTCGATCTCTGTCACGTACTCGTGGATCGAGTGGTAGGCGGGTTTTTATGCTTTCCCGAAGCCGTTCAGAGAGGACAAAAGTCGTAGGCTCGGTCAACGGGAAAGAAAACATACTGGTGCATATCGAATGAGGGGTTCAGTTGAGCGAGAAATTAGACTCCGAGCAGACGCGAAAATTCTTCATTTTCCCGTAAACAGTACAAGCTCTCTCAAACGCAAGGAGAAATAGATCTAAAGTAATAGAGAAAGAAAAAATAAAAAAGGTAGGGACTGGCAACGCACTCAGCAGTGGCATTTGACCCAGGTGACTTTAGTCAAAAGGGCTCGGTGTAATTTTCTGTATGAAGCATTTATTCATTCACCAACATCATTTGTTCAGCTACAACCTCATAGCTTCCTCACTACAGTCGCAGAACTTCCAGTTTACCAAAATCACACAAAAAATAAAGCATTCACACGCATACATAAAAGACCACAATAAACGTTTGACTTTGACTCTGTCACCAACCCTCAACGTCCCTACACAGAAGAGGAGGATCCTTAAATTGAACTGCTCTCAAACTTGAAACCTGTGTGTGCCCTCCTTTTTGTTCCTCAGTCTCGTGTCTTCAAGATATTTAAAGTTCACCAGCTCACCTGTATATAATTCCTCTGTTATTTTCTCAATGCAAGGAAGGTGACTGATCATATATATTGTAGGGGTCTGGGACCATATGTCTCTATGACATATTGTAAGATCAGTGTTTGATGCAGTGACTACAGTCTATCTCCTTTCCTTTTCCTATCTTGGATTCTCTTTTTTTGTGCCAAAGTCTTGGGTTACGTCTCATTGGGGTAAACTTTGCATCAACAACTGTACTTTAATTAAATGGACATTCTTCAGTGTGACAGAAAATAATGCCTCGTCCGGTTATTACCATGCGAGACTTGTTCCTTTGCGCAGTAGGCGAAAACATTATTCTCTCACTTAATTTCTTCTTTTTGCTCAAAAGAAGTTTCAACATGTTTTGTTTGTTTAAAGTTGAATACATTTGTGTCTCCTGCACGCCGGTAGAACAACTTGTAATTGGGCTAATCGGTGAAAGTTAGAAAGCATGGTGTAAGGTGCAAAAAACAACAAACACAAAAGGGAGAAGGCACGAGCAGGGGCGTAGGATGCACGGTGTAAGGAGCAAAAAACAACATACACAAGGGGGAAGACACAAACAGGGGTGTGTGTCTTGTGTCCATTGTTTTTTGCACCTTACACCTTGCTTTCTCGAGGCCTTTTTCTAAGGCCTTATCAAGGTTAACATGTTCCACATTTTCAGTGAATTCACAAAAAAACTATTATAACCCAGAAAAAAATTCACCGTTTTATTATTGTTCCATTGTAGATGTGTTTCTCCGGGAAATGATAGCGTGCTACATACGGGAATAGAGACAGACAAACAGATGCTTCTTTGTGTGAACTAGCATTTTTGTGCAGATCGCCTAGATACCACAGCTGCCATCCCATATTTCTTTTTTCCTCTCCATCTATATGGATTTACTAATATTAATTTTTTTTTATTCACCAGTGTGAGGTGTAACACATGATAAAAACACTGATCAAAACCTGCTTACAGGGAAGAGTATAAAGTTTCATTGGAGAGAATTATAGTGTCCTGCTCTATTTTTTAATGTGATTGCCCAACTGCATCTGGTGTGCCAAATGTGAAATTGTAACTCTTTTTTTTTGCTTCAAAAGCGAAGCATTACAAAGCTGTTCTCTTGCACGAAGCTGCACATGTTTTGTAGTTAAGCGGAAAGCATTTTTTTTTTGCATGGGGGTCTGATGTGAAGTATTTCATCAGATGTGCAAACGACTCAAAAATGTAGGCCTGCAGATTAATTGTGAAATCATGAATCATAATCTTTGTCACTCTCTGTGTGCTGGTATGAAGAAAGAAAAAAAAAAACAGTTTTATCTATTTTTAAACATTAAACTTGATTGCAGCACTAGAAGAAAAAAAAAAGAGGAGGAAGTTTCAACTTCGTGATGAAAATATGAATTTTGTCATGAGGCAATACATTTCAACTAATGCAATCTTTTTTTTCAGTGGAGGAGTATTTTCCGTGTGTTAAAACAGAAAAGGAAAATCATGTACTCAATTGCTTGAGCTAAATTTTATTTGGCTACAACTTCAATTTGTACCACTTTAATTTTCTGCCGGTTCTGCCTCGCTCTTTGGCCCTTGCCTGTTTGGAGAGGGGTAAAGTGGTTTCCTGGATTACACTCGCCGTGACATCGCAATGAGTCCGTGAGAGCTTCACAATTTCGTCAGGGTCTTCGATTGCTTCATGCATTCGTGCAGCACATGCTTCATCGAGTATTTCAAAAAGTGAGCACTGTTTCAAATCCCTCCTCTGAGTTAGTCCAGTCAGTGATAAGGTGCGTATCACTTTCCTGTTGACTGGCAACTCCTGCTAGAGCACCAAAAAGTGAAACGGGAGATCTCGCAAGCTGGATTTGGTTGCATAGTTGTTGCCTGACTCCCTGTCACATGATCTTTCAGTGTGTTTCTTCATAAGTGGTGAGACAAACCAGAACTAAAAAGGCTCGAGTACACCTAAGCACTTTTTATGAGTTGTGAATGCGAAAGCACACACATCATTCTTCGGCTTCCTTATTTCATCTGCAGCATATTAGCGTCAGCGGTAGAGTGTGCCCTCTCCTCACCACTCTGACCTTGGTCGTTTTGTGTTAGCAGCGCGCTGATGGACACGCAGCGCCATAGGTTGGCGGTCGTTGAAACTGACGCGCAACGGCCAATGGAAGCCTCGTCGACGCGTGCCAGCCAACGGAACCGAAGCCGAAAATCCATCAGCTTTACTCCGCTCCTTTGGGATCTGGGAAACTAGGTGCCGTTGTCTAAGCTTTTCGCGTGGTTTTATAGCTGGGAGCTGGCTTCACTAGGAGAAAGGATTTAAGGTGCCGTTTGGTGCGACTTCAAAGCTGATGACGTCGGCTTGCTTCATGGCACAGTTAATGCTTTTGCATAAATAAATGCAAAGGATCTCAGCTGGCTGTCAACGCGAAATTTGTGCGACTATTCCACTTTGGCATACGTGAAGCTGATTTTGAGAAACACCTTCAAACAGGATTGGTGGCCAAGTGTGTTGACGCACTGCAGCTCTGAGCACGTGGAGCAAAAGCTAGCGCTGCGGAACGTGGAGATCCTGGGCCCGATCCCCATCCTTGCCCATTTCGATCGTCATTTAAAATACCAGGTGTCCACCGGGCCTAATTCCCGCTGTCTAAACGTATATGCATGTTACAGATACCTTCAAATGGAATAGGATATCATTGCGCTGCAAGGAAAACCCACATCTGTGCTTCATTATCAAAGTGGTAATCAAGGTGGTTCTAGGCCAACCCTCCACCCTTGGAATATTTTTTTCTTCTGCAAACAATAGGCAGGAAAAGTATCTGACAGCCACAAAAAATACAAGAAAACGATGCTCCTTTGTGTTTTGTGAAGAGACCTTCCTTATGGAACTGAGTCAGAGCGAAATTCTTTAGCGTTGACGAATGGTCTAGTTAGTAGTTTATTTTAACGGGTGAAAAAACAGTGCAGGGACACGGACACAGTAGAAGACGGTGGAAAAACACGGCGATGACTTACAACTGAGTTTTAATGGACCTGACAATGCGTATAAATATAAAATTTGCCCGAACCAAACGCAAAGAAGGCAAACAACACTTTCGAAGGACGACACATGTTTCTAGGGTCATCTGCTCGCACTGCTGTTCTCCGGTCTACGAAGAAACATGCTCTCCTTTACCGACAAGGCAAGTGAGGGGACACTAACACATTCAGGCCCCGTTCCTCCGATAGCGCGCACTTCTATAGTGTCATCAGGGTGGGAACGGTTGCACCATTTTGCGCCAGACGCATTTGTCTGCGCCATCCTGCGCCATGTTGCGGAAACTGCACCACAACCAATATCTCACTCCATCATGCACCAAAACGTGCACCAAAAACGTTTAATTTTGTCTTGGTTACAGTTTCTATCTACTCGATCGGCAAGAATAAGCGCATTTAGCTTGGTCGGCCCTGCAATCCTCTCTTCTGTTTATTCTCACTGTGTGTCCAGAGTCAGAAGCGCACGAAAAATCAAAATCATTTTTTTTTTCTAATTATCCGAGATGATTGAAAACGATGCCGGGACATTACCCTTGATATTCGAAACTTAAAAATTCAGCATTTCTGAATTCAAAAAAAAAAAAAAAAAAAAATTCGAAATGCCGAATTTGAAGTTTTTGCGCGATCCGCGCCAGTGCAGAGAGTCAAATTTTGCGGTCTCCTGTGACTCGACTTTCTTTCGGACCTCTGCTCCATGCTACGAGGCAAAGCGCCGTTGCCATTGCTACCCGAAGCGAGGAGGAGGTGAGCAGGCGGGATAGAAGGGCGCCGGCGCGGGAAAAAAACGGTTTCTTCCCTGACTCGCCGATCATCTTCTGCTCGAGCACCGCCAAGTTTTCCGAGGGAGTACACAAATCCAGGAAGCAACATCTCACCGAACTCTTATTTTTGGTATTTCAAAAAGAGGGGCCGTAGTGCATTCACAATTGCGTTAAAAAACATGTTTTACGATTGCCGTTATTAAATGTTACAAAAATGTCGCCTACAAAGCTTCTAAATTTCTTGATTGATGCAAGTTGTTGTCTATGACTACAATTTGCATCGTTTTAGACAATAAAAAAAAATATGACCTTTGGGGTGTCAGTGCCCCTTTAAGCAAGTCGTCCAAGGGGAGGTCGAGTCGTCAAGCATCAGATTGCCCGAGGCTCTGCGGCTCAAGATTTGGACGTCAGCCAGTTGAAAGCAAATGAGCAAAAGATTTCTTTTAGTACTTCATCGCTAGAAGTTGGAACCGCTTTCCCGCAAGATATATCGTGGTTTGATAGAATTGAAATGCGGACCGATCCGAAACCTTGCCGGCCAGCAGCTCTCACGCGAGCGGTAGATCTGCTCAAAGTACTCGAACCTTGCTCCTGCTTATCGCTTCGAATACATTAACTCTGTTAATCGTAGCCTGCAGCTTCGATATTGAGTTGCACAATAGGATAAACTCGAAATCTGTTGCCCTGTTCCTCTGCGCAACTGCAAGTCTGTTGCTTACGTACGTCTTGGGTTCGCACATATAATCACTATGTCGAGCACGTGTGGGTTGTGCAATCATACTTGATTTTTAAATTGAACATCAATTTAACGAAGCCACCGGGACCCGCAAATTATTTTTTAAGACGGGAACTTCGTAAAATCGAGGAAGGGGGAGACCTCGCGCATGGGCTGCGAGGGGAATCCGAATGTGTTCGTTAAATCGGGAAATTCGTAATATTGGGTTTCGTTAAATCGAGGTTCAACTGTATAATATATATGGTTTTCTTTCTTTTTTAAGCTTTACAGATTTGCTTAAAAGAAGCCATGAAAGCTACAACTATGTGGTTTGTGCAAGTGAGTTATATGGCCAGAGGGACATCAAACAGGGTGCTAATCGTAACAGTCAGTTAATTAAGTGAATCATCTTAATTACCTTTTTAATTAGGGAAAATCAACATATGGTTTTAAATAGAAACTTGCTGAGGTGATCAAAAACCACTAAATCAAATCTTTTTAGAAAGATATAAGCCCGGGGCCGCATTTTACGGTGTTCCATAAAAATGCTCAATTTGGACGCGCTCCTAGGTTTCGGTTTCTTATTGGAGCGCATATCTGTGCCCGCAACCCTGCTCCCCAACCGAAACCTAAAAAAAGCTTCCAAACTGAGCACCTTTTTTCAGAACGCCGTAACATGCTGCCCCTGCCTTATATCTTTCTAAATATAGTTGATTTACTGGTTTTAATGATGGTCTGCAAGGTTCTCTTTGGCACCACATTTTCATTTTCACTAATTAGTTAATGAATAAATTATATTTAATTAGTCGACTGATCGTTACGACTAGCCCCCTATACTATGTCCTCCTGGTTGTATAACTCACCTGCACAAACCGCATAGGTGTAGCTTTCACAGCTCTTTCTAAACAAATCTGTAAAGCTTATAAAAAAACACCATTATATATTATATATAATTTCATTGTTAGTTTTTATTTAAACCAAAATTAAGTGCTCAGAGGCATTATTCACATTTTAACCGTATGAATATGATACAGGTAAATAAAGTTGCAGAGGTCCACAATAAATGTTGTTTTATTGTCACCCTATATCAAACACGTCAAATGGATTTTTATTGATTAAGCTCAAGCAGTCGGTCAATTTCGGCTTTAAAAAAAGCTTACACCGTGGTTATTTGGCTGCCTGTCGTTTCAATACATTATGCAATTAATCTGTTTTGTGCTGATGAATGATAGGGTCATATTAAACCGTCATTTGGTTTCCTGAGTGCAACGTAAAATTTTATTTTAATCATGCATTTCACTCTCGTCCTTTTTTCATTCATTACTTTTCTCTGTACTGACCTACTTCATGATATTCTCAGTGATGTGATTGCTGCGCCAATTGCGCCAAACTGCGCCAAGGGGCGAACCCTGCTACATCCTGCTACATTTTGCCAAAATATGGGTAATCTGCGCCAAGCCTGCGCCAAAAGACCAATTTTGGTCGTCTTTCAAAACCGAAATTGAACTGAGTACCGTAATTGAGCATGCATGAGCTAAGTAGCGCAAGCGGCCGCACAACAAAAAGTACCCTGTATTAATCGTCCATCCGGTCTTGCATAGTTTTTCCCGCCACCTCTCATTCCACGCTCTCGCGTCTTTTTAAAAACAATTTCAACGATAGACGCGGGCCTGTGTTGGCGCTTCAGTGCTTCAGTCGTTGTACAAAGCGCTCCAAGTACATTTTTTATCTTGACTCGCGATGTCTTGTTTTGACCTGACTCGCTCAAGTTCTTTTTTTTTCTGTGTGTTTAGCTTGTACCTCGCCTGCTGGCCTGGCAAGCACTTGCCGCTGGACTGTTTTTTGTAGTATGCTGGACAATTACATTTTGCATATAATTTTGGGAACCAGTTGGCGACGGAGCGGAGTGGCATGGTGTCTGTTTCGATTGAACAGCCACCTCCGCTCGCGCGACGAAGCACTTGCAAATGCAAGCCTGCCGAAGTTGCCCTCATGTGCGTGCGAACATGACTGCACGACAGAGGCACCAGCCGGGACGCTTGCAACCCATTGTTTTACGTTTGCTTACTTTTGACGAAAATCTGGCACGTCGGGAACCAGTAAAACGGTGGCAAGCGGTTTTTCGGAATTGCTCGGCAACGGCCACAACACTGGTCACTTGTGGGATGTCTTGATGTCTCTTTGGAGACATTGAAAATGGGAATTTATTACTAGCGAAAGGCAAAGCGAGGCTTGCAGCAGCCTTGTAGAAAGTTTCGAAAAGCAAAAAGAAAAGCACCCGCTAGTCTTAATGCAGCTTACTTGTGTACAGTTTCGGATTGCAGTGCAGTAGTCACGTGTTTCATCAGTCAGAGACAGCTTCCATTTATTATATTATATAACTACGGTAGTCAACCGAATGCTGTGATATTTACTAATAAGCTGGTCATTTTCAAATAAATTTTAATATGTGAAGTTTGGTTATTTATCTATAAACTATCTATATGCATAATTTAAGTGGAGCCTTGCAAAATGTGTCGTGTCGTTGGCATTTCAGTTACATGTTGAAAGACTCCCAGGTGGTCGAACTTGACCATAATTTGTTTATTGCAACGAGCGAAGTCTCCTTCGTTCGTCCTGCACTTAAAACAAATATGTTTATTTCTTTAAGTATATCTGCTCCAAAAGCCACTTTTGCTGCTTCTAAACACTGTTTTGGCTGCTCCAAAAGCAACTTTTGTTGCTCCAAAACACTGTTTTACCTGCTACAAAGGCCGCTTTTGCTGCTCCAGAACACCGTTTTAGCTGCTCCAAAAGGTGCTCCAAAACGGCTTAGGCCAATCACATCACTGTATTCTTATTTCCCCTCAACAGCGTAGCATACCCGCAAATTTTTATCTAATATTTACTGGCTAATGAATGGGTCTATTTTCTCGCGTGCATGAAAGGAAGTCATATTGTGTCTACTGTTGAAAGCATGGTTTATTTTTGAATGCCTCGCTTATTGTTGCACAGCTGTGTATTATTTGCAGTCCCCACTGCACTCACCGCCTGTGCCTCAAACCTTTACACATTGTGTGCGAAATTGCTTTCGTCGGACAACTTCTTTTTAAATTTTAAATTTTTATTTTTTGTAAAAACTTATCTGAATGCGCTTTTTTGAGGAGTTCATCATCGAGAGAGTAACTGACTTTGAAAAATGTTGGTCTGTGTCTCATTTTGGTTATTGCAAGGCATTACAAACTCCTATATTTAAATTAATACATATTAATGTGACCTTGAGGTATTTTGTATGAGATGGAAAAGAAGCGGTGACTTTTTGTTTGAATTATGCGTCTTTTCTTCAGTAAAGAAACCAGACATACTTTTCTTTCTTTCTGATACATTTTCCTTTAGGGAGGCCACTCAAGTGGAATGGAGAGCTTTTGCTTTTATTTGTTTGCTTCACGTAACTTTTCCTGTAACATGCTCTCATTTTGACGACTTCTGCGTTTTTTTTCCCCCCAATCGTGGCACCAGACAACCGGGATGAGTGTATGTTTGGGGCCGTCGGTATTCTCCGAGTGTAATGACGGTATCTCCTCCAATCCGTGGGTGTGCCACTTGATAGATACCAGTAGCTCTGTAAACAGTCGGCTTCATTGTGGCCTACTGACAAGATTTTCTCTTTCTTTTTTCCTTCTCGTCTCAAAGGGCTTCCTGAGATGATCGGAGATGGAGAACTTTTGCAACACTTCGCTCTGGGTACGTCTTTCCACGTGTCTCGCCATCTTCTAGATCAGACGTTGTCCGTTCTTTGTATATATTCTAAAAAAAAAAAAAAAAAATTGCATCCATTAGTTGTATACAAAACAAGCCATTTCACCTTATACAGAGTGTATGGGCAAAAAAAAATCAAATTGATTGGTAATGAATAAATTTATTTATTTATTTTTATACATTATAGTCTTAAGAGTGTCCGTCAATAAAATGCTTCAGTCAGTACTCCAGCATTACGTTTTGATATAAGCAGTGGCTGGAAGGCTGTTTTTTTTTTTTTTTTTTTTTTTTTTGGGGGGGCATGAAATTAATATGGTATTGTCTTGGCGGCTGCTGTCCAGTCTCATTTGTAAACAAAAGAGCTCGATTGTGTTCTGCTATTCCACCTTTTGCTTACGTTATCAATAGAATATCTATTCTCGCCGTAAATTCTGCTGCGCACCTTGTGCCTGGCCTTCTGCCCAGATCTTCACAAAAACAAAACAATCTGTATTTGCAAACTGATCGCATTGTCACCTACTCCGACGGTTCACAATCGGGTTGGCCAGTCACAATAATCAGGCCGACTTTCACCATTCCAACGGGGCTGGTGTTTGGCATGCACTATCCAGTGGGTAATATAAGGGATTACATTTGCTGACCTCTAACAATGAGATGCATATGTACAGTGTGGACTGTAAGGTAATTAGATGCCACCAATCCGAATTTTAATTTAAATTATACAGAGTTAAGGGAAGTGCCTGCTTCAGAGATCATACTTCTGCTGGTCAGGTTCTTGTTTGTAGGCGGTAGTTTGTTTCAAGTACTGCTCAATCTGACCAAGTTCGGATAATCATTGTTGTAACAGAACGGAGTGTTGCGATATACATGCTTTGCTTGTTCAACTTGGTTTCGTAACATACCTAATATCGTACCCTTTGGCTCACTAGCGATTGGTTTCAAACAGTGCTGTGCCTGACTCATTTTGAGGAGCCATTTTTTTGTATGATATGTTAACGCGTGGAATGTAGGTTCGTGCCAAGACCTCTCGTGCTGTTGCCTCTCTTCTGCCAAGAAGCTTTTGGGCGCGTTGCAAACTGCTTCATTATTACTTTGGGGCATTTGCTACGTTTCAGAACACAACACTTGCTTGGGATACGGACGTCCCAAACATCACACCCTGCTTCCGTAGCACCGTCCTAACGTGGGCGCCATGCTCTCTGACGTGGTTCTTCGCCCTCTTCGAGATTTCAAATCTGGCAAAGTGCCGAAGAAATCCCAATCCCTGGAGCTGGCTCTACATCCTTAAGCTGGTACTGTCATTCGCATTTGCTTAGTTGTATTCACTCTATTCAAATGGGAGCGAAGTTTGAGCGTTGTATAGATAACCTACACTCTGCAGTAAGGTAGTAAGCTGGGAAAGTTGGCGGTGTTAAACATAATGAAAAGCAGCGCCTCTTTGTTCTGTGTCCCTTCTCTTCATCCAGTTCTTTTGTGCACTGTTTTTAATTATATTTAACCTATACTCCGTTTTCTACTTGGCGTACAACGCTGTCAAAGCTGTTTGCATGAGCACGTAGCTTGACCTAGCGCCTCGTTCTTGCAACAGTGCATGGAAATGAATTGCAGGATCAAGCCACATGTCAGCAGTTTTGACAGTGTTGTATGCTAATTATGAAATGGAATATAGTTTAGGAAGTGAGCTACTGTGAACAAGATCCCAGTGTTTTCTGAGGTGTTTAAACTGCATTGCTCTTGCAGAACAACACACTTTGTTATGAAGGGTGCGGGTCTGAACGATAAAAGACGCAGGCTAATTTCATTCTTTGAATCGAAAAGAATTGCTTTAGTGAGGTCAGGTCAACCCTCAGTAAGACATTTTTCTGAACAGTCCTCAGTTTTAAGGTGAATGTAGTCACTCTTGGGTTTATATACTAGTTTATTTATATCCTGATGAGAATATTTAGAGTGGGCGTTGGCATTTGAACCTAAAAGTCTAAAATATTTCTTTTTAGGAATGCAGTTTTATTCTTGATATTAAAATCCAGAGTGTATGTATTGAAGTGTCTTGGCTAATTTATTTGGCTTTACAAGTTGACTTTTTTTTATTCATCTTGAAATTCAAAGTTCTGCAGCTGTGTGGTGCCTTGGCTTTCTAACTGTGACTGCTAATTTCTTGCAGGTCTTTCAAGTGCTCACATACGTCGTGTGTCTAGCTCAACTTGCAGCATCATCCATTTCTTACTTGCAACATGAAGCCGACTTGGCCGAAGTTGCAGGGGTTACCATCATTCTGTGTACACTTGTGAGTCCTATCTCTATCCACCTGCATTGATTTTCTACATGTAGGGAACATGCAATGGGGACTCTCGACTTCTTTCAAAAGTCGGTCTCTTTTTCGCTTTCTCTATTTGGAATGTTTAGTAAAGATGATTTTGGTCAATACAAGTACATTGGGACAAATACCACGTTTATAAAAAGTGCAGTATTATGGCAAGTAGCAAAGGCTTTTTCAATACCGATGCAGCCTACAATTCCAAGTGGAGGTCCAGACAATATGGCCATATTTCGATGACTAGATTGATGCAAGTATTATAAAAAAACGAAACTCTTGCTGACATTTACTAAGCTGTGGACAAAATGACACCTTTTACTGGTCAGTTAGAGTACCAAGCAGGTGGCAGGTTTGCTATCCATTATTGTCCCAACTTTGCAGTGTTCAAGGGCTCTTATGCAATAAGTGATTCCACTCATTCCCGATTCTGACTTGGCTAACTTCTGAAGCCAATAACATGGTGATCTTTTTTCATCCTTGAAGTTAAACACCTAAAGACAGGGACAGAAGAAAATAGGTGCTGACAGTAATGAAGTTGAAATCTGAGCTTGTTCGCATTTGTTTACATGATGAACAAAAACAATGCAGACGACGAGGTCAAAAGAAGAACATACACAACAGGACAAGTGCTGACTCGCAACTACCGTAGAATACCGCGCATCCGCCCATTCCACATTAAGCGCCCATTACCAAATTTGTAAGATCTGAGAATATACGCACAGTACATTTATATGTAAAATTTATGACCAGACAAGCGCCCATCCCCCATTTTTTTGCGATTATCTCCAAATTTTGAGTTGGCGCTTGCCCAGTATTTTACGGTAGTACTCGGTTTTTTACACGTGGAAAAGAAACAAGAAAACACGCACATTCGCAGTCTGATCTTCCATCCCTGATAGCTCCTTGCTACGGCATGCACCGGCTCTTCATTGAGTAGTTGTGAGTCAGCACTTCTCCTGTCGTGCGTGGAACTCTTTTTTTGTCCTTATGTTTTGCTCTGTTCTTGTTCACCATGTAGGTGCTAGCAGGAAAATATCTTATTCAGTTTTCATTTATACTTTGAGCTAGTTGCATACCAAGTTTGGTTATGCTTTTTGAATTAGTTAAGTGTCTCTTGAATTAAAGTCGTTAGCCGCTACACGGGATGAGTATTCTCTGCAGTTCGCCGAATGCGGTGGCCATTTCAAGAAATGAGACGCCGTGTACCCTCTTGGAAAAAGCGGTTAAGAAATTCACTGCGCAACACTGTCAGTTCCAAAAAAGCGGAATGGGAGCAAATGGGCTTGGTAGGTCAAGAGGAGGAATGATACTTTTGGTTTCTAGGCATTTTTGTCTAGACTGCCCGCTTGACGTGCAAGTCGCACAATGCGTGACGTCGCTCCACTGGGGAGTGCGGAAAAGTTTAAACATTGGTTTTTGCATAAGCTTCGCTCGCCGTTTTCTTGATAGCTATATTTAATTTGGAGACTGTAAATGGCACGCCGGGAAGAGTAAATCCTGGGTATTCCGAAAATGGGTTTAGTTTGGACCGCTCAAAAATCTGCCGGACTTTTAAGAGAACTCGGAAAAACCAGAAAACTGCTTGTTTGCGCCGCTAACAGTGTCGTGCAGTGTACAAGGACAGCCCACCTTCCTTATCATAATCGTCTCTGGAGGGCTGAGCTTCACCGTGACACTCAGGCCTACAAACGGGCTTCTTTCCAGGTACTCATCACGTCGCTGACGATATGCGCGAGGTGGAAAGGTTTGAGGTCTTCCGTGGTCATTCCACTCTTCTGGCTGCTGCTCGCCTTCTCTACCGGGCTCACCGGGTACTCCGACCTCGTCGAATACGCCCAGGTGAGTGATAACGCTCCGCAGGGAAGAAACTATAATTTGATTGCGCCACTGCCCCCATTTGTTTAAACATGATAATCGCCCGACTTGGACATTTCGTGTGATGCAATGAAGGTGAGGTAGCATTAATATTATTATTATTATTTTAAACTATTCCTATTATTATTGTTGTATAATATTATCTGCTCCGTCGTATGTGTTTATCTTTTCGTGTGTATTGAGGTAGCTCTTGACGGCATTTGTAACGAGCAGCACTTTCTTTCGAAATAATGTGCAATGTGACAGGTGGTAAATAAATTGTGGATGTATAAAGGACTTTCCTTCTTCATTTATGCACCTCTTCTTTGGGGGAATTGTATCTTTTTCTCTGCGCTGCACGTAAAATCTGGTCGTGAGATGCCTCTGTGCCTACTACTAACTTACTTGGCACCTCCGGAGGAAGAGAGAGGGGAGTGTTACTGCACTGAGTCCCCTCTCCTCCTCCACGTGGCACTACACTATTTGTCACTCGCGCCACAATGTCAAACCACAGGCAGTAGGGTCGATGACTAAGCTGCTGCATGATGCTGACTTTCCATCCCTTGGCTTTGCTTGCAGTGGTGCAACACGTGAGCAAGGAAGGACTTCGAAGAGTTCTCATACGAAGTTTTAAAAAAACACAACCTAGTAAAAAAAGAAGAAATTGTTTATACTGATTAGGACATGCATGCATCAAAACAAATGTGCGTTGAAAAAAAAAAGAAAAAAAAAATATTTTGCTTGCTATTTATGTTGCAATATAATTTTTTTCTATTTTTGGGCAAAACCGACATTGTACTGCTGTGGGATGATGATGATAGCGCTTGTACCCAACTAGTGTGGGCTAGGGGTGTCACAAACTATTGTCGAACCGGATTTTTAGGTTGAACTTTCAAGGTTCGTCTAGTTCGAACCGGTTTGACGAACCTTCCAGATTCGACCGGTTTGACTTTGTAGACAGTGTGGCCAGACCTTGATACAAGCATGTCTAGGTTTAGATAATTTTTTTTTTTATGCAAAGGGTTATTTTAATTTTATGAACAGTTGCAATTAAAAGAAACTAATTCTAATCACTGAAGAAGTTAATAAATTAATTTTTTGTACTGTATTAACTGAAATAACCAATCAGTGCTGCCCTTAATTCATCCCTTAGCCATCACCATCCAATCCGAAGCAAACTGGCCAGCCTGTCACCCACGTGCATAGCAGTCGAACCTGAGTCGAACCTTTGTCGAACTTTTCACAAGAAGTACGACAAAGTTGAACCTCGATTGGTTTGCAACATCCCTAGCGTGCACTCTTAGTTCGCTGGACATCAGAGTGCACACTACGTACAAATGCTGTCATCATTATCTCACAGGGGTACAATTTCGGTTCTGCCCGCAAATAAAAAAACTAGTACTGTAAAACCCTTTATTTTCGCGGCCCCTATTTTTCGCGAATCGGTCACAGATGACATAATCGCGACCACTAAATTTCGCGAATTCCAGACGCCTGCATTGAAAATCTTAAGGACCGAAATTTTCGCGCCCCCTTAAATTTCGCGAATTCTTCAATTCGTGAAATTCGCGAAAATTGAGGGCTCGCGAACATTAAGGGTTTTACAGTATTGTAGCACAAATATCAAGCAAAAAAATTTTTTTTTGTTTTTTCTGCAAACATTTATTTTGAGGCATGCCTGTCCTCACCAGGTAGAAAAGGAATTTTTTTTCTTAGATTTAGTGTTTTTTTGTTCTTTTTTAATGGGGCATTTGTTGGAACTTTGGCGGCAGTAGATGCTCGGCGTGTATTTGAGAGCGATCTGGTTGCTCTGACTTTTCTTTCCAGGGCCAGTTGAGCATCCGGGTGCTGTGCAATGTCTGCCTCTTCTTATTGGCACTGGTTCAGCTCGTCTTGTCGAGCCTGTCCGACCGCGTGTCGCCGTATGGGAGGCTAGGGGGACAAACGGTAAGAGACCACCTCTAACCGGGCTCGGCATGAATTGCTGTCCTTTTTGCTCTTTCATATTCTCACCCGACAATTGTTTTTTGTTTGTAACAGTATTACTGCGTCGTGAAGGAATGGACGCTGTTTCCAAGGCTGGTGTTTGCTTACATGTGGAGGTGAGGCAGTATTCGCAGCAGGGTTATGGTTACTGTATGGTTTTCGTAATAACCGAAGAGCCTTAATTGTTGCGACTAGCGTTTGGATTTCTGACTTTTAATGGCAAGCGTTTGTGATTATGAGTTAGTGGGAGTCAATAAAGTTACTTCCGTGAATAAACTCTATAAAGCCCCATCTCGCAGCAAATTGCATCCTGACAAAAAAAACTTTTTTTTTATTTGCTGCATGTATTTTTTTTTTTTTTTGCCTGTGCAAGAAAATGTTTATGTTAAATGAACATAGGAGGACATCCTTGGAAATGTTTGTGGGCTTTCACTTGTAAGAGCATGAGAGCAATGGTAGTTTATGCACTTGTTCAGACATTTTAAAAGTTTCGTTATAACTACATTATACTAGATTGATAAACAGTTTTGTTGCGCAGTCAGGAATAGACAAAGGACGTTCGGAAGAGCACCATCCGCAATGGACAGCATATTTTATTGTGTACAGTGTTTGAGCCTGACCAAGTGACATTGTTGTGGAATGGGTGATCTGTTGTCTGTCGTATGAATTGGCATGCAATGACTGTTTTGCAGGATTGTCATCCTCGGGTATCGAAATCGGCTGGAACTATCTTCACTGAACCCACTTTGTACAGACTTAAAGTGTTCAACTGTCTCGGCAACATTCCACAGGACTGCTTTTAAAAAATCCTTGAGGTAATTTCCCTTCGACTTTAATGTCTACGTGTAAGAGGATCTGTTACGACAGGCTCCTAAACTTAGCACTCTGATTTATGACGGCTGATAAGCTTTAAGTTTAATTTTGATTCTCATAGTGAACTTCATTATAAGAGACATTTGTATATAAATACACTTACTCAGTTGATTGTAGGATATGTTTGCTGTACAAAGCGAGTTGGCATGTGAAGTAATCTAGTTCATTGCTTGATAAGCACAAGTTCTGCATATTAAACACATTTCTAAAAATAAGTGGGGTTGTCTATTGATTGCTCCAGCTTTCGTTTAATGATATGGTTCTTTCCTCTTAGCTAAGCGTCAGAAAGATAAGGGCTTCAGGTCATACTTTTCAAAGAGAACTGTTGCTTTGCTTTAAAGGTGCTTTAAATGACTTGCATTAAGCAGAGATTAACAGTGAAACATAGTTATAGAAATACATGAACAATGTTATACAAAATATAATAATCAGTGTAAATAATATTTTAATCAATACCTTTATATTGCCACGAATGAAGGTGACGAGAGGACAAATGTTGAACTGAAAATAAAAGTTTAATCGGCGAACTTGTGATAAACAAAATAAAGAATGAGGTCGAGGCAGCAGAAAAGTGGGTGGCAATTTGGTGGCGTAACAACAAGCGAAAGAGAGACTGACTCGATAAGGTCACGGGGCAGCTCCTTAGAGAATGAACAGGCACTTTCGAGAACAAAAAACTGGGACGAAATGATAAAAGTTACGCCCCGAGTAGGAATAAACGCTAATCTAGAATTCTGTGACCGAGCGCTGCTTGCTCGGCTTTGCACGCGGCGCTAGGAGTGCCATGTCTAATAACTTGTAGCCATAACTGGTAAGTGTTTCTTGATAACTTGTAAGTTTTCCAATCTTGCAAGTGTTCATTGATATTATGCTTTCAATGCAACTCGACTTTGCCATTCACAGCGGCAGACTGGAATAACTTGCCTAACAGCAATGTAACCGTAAGAGATCACCAATATTATAGCGTTACTAACCGTCTCTGTGCAGTAAAGCTAAAATAGGCCCAACTTTACATAGTGCATTCTCAGGGGGGGGGGGGGGGAGATTGCAGTAGGGTGTAAATAGCCAGATAGTAACCTTTGCGAATGTGGGAAAGGCATAATAATTTCCTAAAAGATTCAAATACATTGTGGTTAGCTTTTTTTAACCAAATGATACTCGTGCCTCAGTAAGCAAATATAAAACACGAATCTGAGGGAGTGATTTTGGTTGTGTTGAGGGCAGCTAACGTAACCCAAGCTGCTATTAAAGGCAGACCTGGAAAAGTTAAATCAGCAAGGCTGACAATTTTTGAGGGAGAAAGGGAAGGAGCCAAATGGTGATACTGCTTTTTGTGGGAGAAGATAATATACAGGGTGTCCCTGAAAAATCTTTATGGTATTATTTTCCCAGCCAGAATAAACTATGCATCTCCCAACGCTCAACCTCCGCCCAAATGGGGCGGAGGGCAAAAGTTCGCTGTTACGTGATTCAAAAGCTATGCTTGATTTTCGTAAATCAAAAATGGCAGCCGACAAAGCCCAGGATTACAGTCAGCTACCGGGAACGAGCAAATTTTCTCAAGGATAAAGTCTCATATAATTACTTTGAACTTTTTAGTAACATTACGGTTAGTTCTGGAACTTGGGCACCAGGTTTGGACCACTAGTTCTCTACATTTGCATGGACACTGAGCATTCGGCGATGCCTAGTTTATTTTTGCGGTGAAATAACATTGTAGATTTTTTGGTCAGGCATACCATATATTGGACATAAGGGCAACATTTTGGGGGACCCCAAGGAGTTGGGTCTCTTGAACAAGAATACGGACACCAAGACATTGATTGACTGATTGATTGCTCTTTGCACTACGTGTGAAGTGTCGGTGTGGACGACGACGGAAACTGTGTGACCGTCAACGGACCGCTCCGTCCCAAACGGAGGTCCCTCTACTCCGTCATCCTCAAAATCTGTGGCTGGGAGGTGTTCCTTTCGTCCGTGGTGGAGGTGATGCAGATCGTCTTTAGCTTCCTTCCTCCTGTTATGTTGAGGTAAGGATCCTGTTTTGTACGGTGTTGTAATCGCTTTGTCTATTGAGGGCCCAAGCTAAGCCCTGGTTCTTTTGCAGGCTTTTAGTGTGCTGTACAAGATGTTAGGTCTATGAATGCATCTTTTCTGGCGGTTATACCAGAACTTGAATAGAATACGAGATTGTTTTTTAATCTTTGATGTAGGACACACTTAGGGCCTGTTCAAACTTACAACAGCACTAAATAGGAACAGCACTCACCGCCTGCAGTGAGGGGGGGGGGGGGGGGGGGGGGCGGTGCTTGGCCGCGGAAAAACACAAAGTAAACAGGCGCCACGAACGTGCACCGTGCAGCAGTTCTCTCCGCAGGCGGTGAGTGGCAGAGGGCAGAAAGCCGAGAGGACTTTTCTTTCACTGCTCAATGCTTGCTCACGCTGTGGCTTGCTTTATTTTTGCCTCCTTGCTCACTCCCGGCCCTTCCTTCCCCCCCTACCCCCTTTTTTTTTTTCTTTTCAAGGCATTTTGGTTTTGGTTTTATATCACCGCGGCGCAATGCCACTCACGGGGTCACAAAGTTAGAGAGCCTGCGCAAAGTGTGTTCTGTCGGCAAGCCAGATCGTGCCGCATTGCAAACTCCCCCTCGCCGCTCGCATGGTGGTTATGTCTACCCCTAAAACATTTCTGGGGAGAACCCTGACATAGACTAAAGGTGTCTTATCACAGTGCACTCTGCATTCAATCAGATTAACTTTGACAATCGCTCTCCGAGAGGGGATGAAAGCTTTAATGTTGCGCTGCCAGCTTTTCTCGATTGTCACCATCGTCTCCTAGATCTCAGTGCTCTGTGAGGTGGCGTTGGCGTTCCTCCTCGGCTACTCCCATTTATTTATTTTTATAATTCTCTTTCACTTTAGTTTCTCATACAGTATAGACCACTTACAACGTAACCGCTTATAGTGCAGGTCCGGGTATAACGCGGTTTTTTTAAACCACCGGTTCGTCTCCCATAGAACTCCATGTAATTACATACCGCTTAAAATGCAGGCGCGCGAAGGGAAATACCGGTTATAGTGCGGTTTCTGGCACAGCCCGCCGGCCGCGCCGACGACCGGAGCAGCGAGCGCGCTTCCCTGTGCGACACTAGATAACGGCGCTGACGGCGCGAGCCGCAAGCGTTGCGCAAGCGGCACTCGCAGGGCAAGGAGGGTGCTCGAAGAAGCGGGAGAAGCGAAGAGAGAGGCTTCAGTTGCCCTAGCGACGGAGGGACGCACGCACGTGTCGTTCACGTGCGTGCCTCCCTCCGCTGCGTTGGAAACAAACAACCGCAGCGACAGACCAATCGCAGGTCGAGGAGAAGTGTTACGCGCGTTACATGCCGGTCGCGGGCCGGCTGCTTCTATCCGCAAACACGGCGTCGGTTGTGATCGTCGTCGTAGACGGCGTTCATCTCATCGTTCCGCGTAAAAGCGCTATCCTTGACTGTGAATTTTCGTTGTGTGTCGCTATGATAACCCAGCACGTACTAGAAGGGAAGATCCACCTACTCGTGCGGCGATGTCAAGGCGGCGCTCTCAAGACGGCAGAAACGCCCGTGTCGTCGTGTTTGCTTACTTCGACTACAGTGGTGATTTCTAAGCATTTGTGTCCTCGAACATCGCCCGGATTTCATATTTGGCGCATTTCATGCGTGCGCTCAAGTTCAAGGTATTACTGGCGCGTACCGTGTGAAGGATGCGAATTTTCACGCGTTTTCATCTCCGGAGAAAAGTGATTAGGGTTAGCAATCCTGACCGCTCTCAACGTCCGTCCGCAACCCGCGACGCCGTTAAAAGGCTGCGCCAGGCAAAAGCTGCTCATTTCTTTCAAAATGTGTAACACACTTGAGACAGAACTGTACTAGTCAGGTGAAATAAAAACTTTCCTCAAACTAAGCTTTATTTTTCATCTAACATAAAATAAATTCTTTTCACAAGTGTAAGTTGTCTCATGGCATGTATTTTGGCCTGAAAAATTGATGTTTTGGTTATAGTGCGGTACCGCTTATAGTGCGGATTTTCGCGACTCCCGCGACATACGTTATATGCGGTCTACACTGTATCTGGTGACACTGCCTGACTGTCCTAAGGTAGCAGGCAACATTTTTTGAACAATGTCATTTCTTCTTTTTTTTTATTCTGGGACTCTAGGCAGTACTACTCTTCAGAGATGAAACAGAGCATCTCCAAGCATATTTTTATGGCTAGACTCGAGAAATTTATGCTTTGACTCTAGAAAAAGTTCAAAATACAATAGCATCTGTTCTCATCTGTTTTGAAATCTCGGTGATGTCCGTCGAGTTGGTGTCATAAATACTCGTTGTTTACTGCATGCTGTTTCGTCGTCGCATCTAAAAAACGCTCCAGAAAAGGAGGAAGTTTGATTGCATGGTAACAGGAACCCTGCAGTTTCTTTTTTTTTTTTTTTTGTGTCAAACCAGCCTTTCAAAGCCCTTCACTTAATGTGCGCTTTCAGTTGAGTGCTTTGACGGCGAGTCTTCAAATGACTGTGCCAATGTCTGCAAGTCATATCTTTGCAGATGCAAAAGCTACATTGTGTACTCTTTGCCTTTCAGCTTCATTTTGGAATACCTCCAGAACAAGGAGTATGGCTGGCACGGCTATGTGTACGCCTTAGGATACGCCGTCTTTCAGTTTTTGAGTGGAGTCATGGATGCACACGCTGTATACTTAATAGGAATCGGTGCATACAAAGTTCAGTCTGCTCTTGTGGCTGCTCTATACAGAAAGGTAGGTCTCCTCCTTTTTTTGTTCCATCTTCGGTGCTTGGCCGATACAGCAGCACGTCTCTAGTTTGTCAACGATCTGTTATAGTGTAACTATAGTGTCTCCTTAGTGACGGTGCCACTACAGGAGTTTTTATTTTGTGTACTAACACTAATCTACAAAGGAGAAGTCCTTTCCACTCCAGAGTTATAGCTCCTGTGTATCTCAAATGCTTATGCAATTCACCCAAAGGGCATTGGTTATTCTATGAGGGTATGTTATTAGACCATTTAGTAATTTAAAATAATCTAAAACCTTTGATGCCCTTGACGGCTGGCAAATGGACACATTGTCTCCTGGTATCAATAATGGGCATCTGAAAGTTTTCACTGGCATTGAAGGCAGTGAAGTAGACGCTGTATCTCCAGGTATTGATATCAGGAGATATTTTGAAGGCATTTGGGCCTTTCACTGCCTTTAACGGCACTGAAATGGGCGGATTATCTCTTGCTATTGACGGTAGGGATCTGCAAGCTTCCACTGCCATCAAAGGAAGTAAAATAGATGTGAAACCTCGTATCAGTGTCACCAGAAGATATTTTAAAGGCCTTTCAATGTTTGGGGTGGCAGTGAAATGCTTTTGTGAAAGCTCCATTTAGGTTCTGCTTTCGCATTTTGTGTTTTAACACTTTGGCGGCCCTGTCTTTCGGTTCCGCTGTGGCAGGTCTTCCTGATTGACAGCCGCTCGAGGCGCCAGTACACAGCCGGCGAGATCATGAACCTGATGTCGGTGGACGTTGAGGAGGTGAGCCAGTTCCTGCTGCTGAGCACCCAGTTCTGGACGGTGCCCCTCCGCATCATCATGACCCTGGCCTTGCTGTGGCAATACCTGGGGCCCTCGTGCCTCGCCACCGTCGCCGTCATGGTGCTAGTCTCCGGGGCCACGTCGTTCGTCGCCATGCTCTCCGACAAGTACCAGGCAAGCTTTGTTACACCTCTGTTACTGTCGCGGGCCCATTTTTCTTTTATCGGGTGGTCGACTTAATGGGCTTTACCATCGAATTGCCTCACCGAGTGCATCGTGACCTTCGACACGAATCTGCCCACATGAAAGACTTACGTTCTTCAATCATTGGCTTTTTGTATGCAAATGGTTCGAAATATCTTCATATGAAAGGAATTATTTTTAGGTCCTGATGAAAGGAAACGTTTTAACTCTTCACAAAAGGAATAATTCGCCTTACTTAGAGTCATATTGAGCTCCACACATGAAGGGTAGTTTTGAGCCTCTCACAAAAGGAGGTATTTGACTCTCCTCGTGAAAGGAGTTACATTCAGCTCCCCCACGGTGGAGTCACTTTGTCCTCCTCACGAAAGGAGGTATGTGACTCCTCACAAAAAGAGTTGTTCTCCTCACATGAGGAGTCATATTGAGCTCTCCATGTGACAAATCATTTTGTACTCCCACAAAAAGAAAAAAAATTTTAGCTTTATTTTTGTTAGTGGAAATGATGGAGGTTAGTTCTATTAAATGAATAAATGGCACTGAGAGCAGATGTAACTGTTCGACCAAACAGGGGTTTGTGCATGTAACAGTGTGCGCATGCAGGCACATGCCACAGTCGGAGTGATGGTGCCCAGGGTGATAGGCATTGTCATCATTTTCTGGTCTCATAGAAATGAACTCCTCGGCAGTACAGAGGGATACCATTTTGGTTTTGTGAGAGTGCCTGTAGACCTCTGTAGTCTTGCATATTTATGCCTCCATTAAAAATTACAGCTTTTGGGATCTAAAGAGACACTTTGTGGCATATTAACAGCACATTTAAATCAATCTCCATGCTTAATGCTTCTTTTTTTTCTGTAAATATAAAGTCTTCTTCGAGGAAAAGACCTTTTTAGTGGTGCTTTACAGCTAACTTTTGTAGTCACCTAAAACTTTCACTTGACTCAACCTCTCCTCTGGTGTCGGATCATTTGATGAATTTTTTTCTCTTAGACAAAGCAAATGGGCTTCAAGGATATACGACTGCGCCAGATCAACGAGATTCTCAACGGCATCAAGGTATGTGGCCCATCTAAGGCATTTCTGTGCTTGGTGTAGGATATTGCCCTGGGTGTCTTGAAGCACATTAAGATGCAATTAAAGTCTTCCCAAAAGTATCTTTCTTCTGTCCGGGTAACAATGTCACTTGTCAATGTGTTGCTGCGTTTTAAAGAGCAAGCATGCTGCTTTTTTTTTTGACGTGGCATCCACATCAGGACAGCACTGTATGATGATGGGGTGGTTCGTTGTTTTGACTTAGTAGTGGGTTCCCCGACAATGTTGATGTCACAGTGACTTAGGGTGACTGCAAACAGTCTGGGCATACAGTTAAACCCGACTATATCGAACCTGTTTACATCGAGTTATCTCTTATATTGAACAGTTTTTGTGCACAGTAATGTTACAGTGATAATATGTGCAAAACCTACGGTTACATCGAACAAAAATAGCAGCCGCTACCGATATATCTAAGTGCCAGAAGCGCCGTTTTGCTCTGCAAGCTGGCTTTCCACCAACGTGCGCGGCCGTCTGGGGGGAAAGCCAGCTTGCAGAGCATGCTGGCTTTTTTATATTTTTTTCCGGGCGGCCACGGGAGCGGGCAGAAGGTGCTCTGTGCTCTCTCTCCCCGCTCCGTCCGCAAAAGATAATATTATTCTTTCTTCCGGGCGGTGGACGCGGCCGCCTGGAAGTAAAAAAAAGCGAGCTTGCTCTGCTAGCTGGCTTTCCCCCAATGCAGCCGTCAGCCTTAGGGGAAAGCCAACTTGCAGAGCAAAACGGCGTTCTGCAGGAGAAGGTGCTCCTGCTCGGATGTGCTCCGTGCTCTGTGCATAGTTCGACGCTAATGCGCAAATATAGAAGGCAGCAGCCTCAGCATTTTGGAGTCCGTCGATAGCGTAAAAAAATATTGTCATCGCGGATGCAATGAAGAAAAAGCAGCAGAATACTATTTCATTGTGTAATATGTCAGCAGAAAGTGAATTTTTGAGCCAAATTCATTAAAACTTTTATATCAAATTATCCGCTATATCGAGCTGGTGGACGCTTTTTTGCGAGTTCGATATAAACGGGTTTGGCTGTACTTGAGTTTCCAAGGTTATCCACATATATCAACATATAATTGTGCTGGCTCCATGTGGCCCTCTAGCTTGACAGTGACTGGAGCAGCTTCATAGCAGTGGTCACACTTCGTGTGACCGGTTGTGATTTGTGTTACGGAGAAGGAATGGCTGTTAATTAATATTCCAGGTTTTTTCTTTTTTGTTGTAATGGCAATTGCATGCAGAAGCTTTATTTGTTCTACAAATGAAGGAAAACAAAGAAGAAAAGGAAGTGTGTCATTTGTTGTTTTTCGTGGAAGGATATCTCATCTGTTTTGTTCTTTGTATTGTTTGCTTCTGAGCTCATATGCACACATATGACATGTCAAGTTGTGTTTTCTTCAGGTGCTGAAGCTGAGTGCATGGGAGCTGCCTTTCATGGAGAAAGTGAAGGAAACTCGAACCAAGGAGCTTTCATTTCTCAAGAGGTTTGCCTTGTTGGATTCGGTCTTTGGCTTCCTCTGGGGTGTTGCCCCCCATGTGGTGAGTGGTGAAGACATTTCTTTTCACAATTTTACGGAGCCGAGTAAAGCCGGGGAGGCCTTTTTTTATATGTTGAGGTCAGCCTAACACAACCCAGCCCTATGTATGATTGCAGATAAAATTGAGAGTGCCATTATTCATGCTTACCGATTGTAGAAAGCCTAACCTGACTCAGCCCAACCCGTCCACACGTACCTGTCTAACGTCATGTTCACTAGGACTGTGTTCCACCATTTTTTCTATCTCACTCCAGAGCTAAAGTTGTGTGCCCTGGTGTTCGAAAAACTTCTCTCTTCCAGCATCACTCTATCTGTTATCACAAGATGTGACCCATATGACTTAATTCATTTCCACTCTAGCAAAACTTAAAACGGAGCTTAAGTCGATACATACTTTCATATGCTTGTGGACAACTTTCCATGGCTACGCAGTCGAAGCTATTGGTCCCCAGGCTCCCACACACTCTTAGTTCCGATCAAAGCTGTGCATGTGCATTCTTCACTCCATCTGAAATGCTATAGAAAGTTGTCTCTGAGTATGCTACCGTAAAATCCCGTAAGGGCACCCTTACTCGAGAGATTGCCCATCCTATTTTTCTGGCTGAATATCTTAACATAATAATTCTGAAACATCGTCCACCTTGTATTCCCGTCGGTTGTCACGCGATGTCCGACCGGAGTCGCATCTACAGCGATATCTGCGGTACTGGTATGTATGACAAGGAAGATCTTAGCGGAATCACACATTTCTGTTAGCAGTCTTTGCACACAATATTTGCCTGACACGCGTGTTGATCTTGCGTGCTTATTCAATCTGGAAATGGATGTCTGCTGCGTCCGCAATCTGTGGTATTCGTTCCCGTGACAATGCGAGTTTCTCGCTCGTTCCCGCGTTTTTTGTCCGCGATCTACGCACGCGATATCGGTTCCCGTGACGTACGAGTTGTCCCCGCATGTTTATTGCACCTTGAAACGCAAATCTGCTGCATTCTGAATTTGCGGTATCGATTCCCATGACACGCAAGTTCGCGGCAGGTTCCCGCGTATCCTTCACACCGTGTAAAGCGAATCTGCTGCGTCCGCAATCCGTGCCATATTTTACCATAACACAGGAGTTTGTTGCGAATTTCCTCATGTTTATCGCATTGCAAAACGGAAATTTGCCGCGTCTGCAATTGTGGCGGCACCAGTTCCCATTTCACGTGGTTTTTAAGGGATAGCTCGGTGTTTTATCACATTATTTTATACAAACGTTTGGTCTCGCATCCTCAAAGATTGCCCACCCTATGTTTTTCATAATTTATTTCTTCATTTTGGGTGGGCATCCTTACGGGGGATGCTATGACTTTTTACTTTGAGATTTGTCCTTCACTTTCTAATGCTGCAATCTGATGGGCTGCGGATGGATGATGAGAAGCTCGGTGCTTGCCGCGCCCAGCGCTTCTTAAGTTGTCAGCAGATGCGGCATCACACCCGTGGCACCCACCCTCTCGTCCCATTTCAGGCTGCCTTGGCATCGTTTGCCACTTTCCTGCTGGTGAGCCCGAGCAACCAGCTGACGCCGTCCATTGCCTTCACCTCTTTCTCGCTCTTTATGCTCCTCCGATTCCCCATGGGCATTCTGCCGGACGTCATCTCCAGGTTCATTAGGGTGAGTGCCGCCGTGAAGCGCAACGTTCGCCGGGGATTAAGAGACGTCGCCCGTCAGCCGGTCGTGGTGATTTCAGAAGTGATTGAGCTACATCCCGTGTAAGCACTTTAGTTGCTGCGTGCCTATTAGCACCATGAGGGGAAATGGCTACCCTTTGTTCGTGTTCGAGGAATTGCTGTGATGTGATTGCCACGCCAAACTGTGCCAAAGTGTTTACCCCGCTACGTCCTGCGACGTTCCGACAAAGCATTGCCCCCCCACCTCCCGGAAAAATGCCTTACCAGGTTACAAATGCGATTTCGTCTAGCGAACAATTATTCGAAGTTAACTAGCTGGGATTGATGGAGCGCTAGGTTTGCTAGTTTCCTCTCAAAGTGCAAACCTAATGGTGAGGCTTCGTGTCTCGTGCAGTTTGTGGTTTCCCTTGGGAGACTGTCGAAGTTTCTGAACGAGGCTGAACTTGACGAGCACACCGTCGGGAGCAGTCCTTTACCAGGTAACCATGAACAGAGCTGATGCTGTCATGGAAAAGTGACTAATGTTGTTTCTGCTGAGTTTTAAGAAAGAAGAGTGTTCAAACATGCCGCCCGTACTCTGGGCATGGACTTCATGTTGTTATGCATATCCTATTTAGTGAAGGAGTGTAGGAAACTGCTATTTTGGTTTTTGCTCTTTCATAGACTAAAGTGCTGGTTTTTTTTTTTGCTAAGATGACTTCAAAAGCAGGACGAGGTTTATTTTTACCATTATGCTGAATGGTCTATTTTGGATGCTCAAATTCATCAGCCCAGCCTTGTTTGCAGCAGTTGCTATTTGAACTGCTCATTTTTCTTAAACTGGTTTTGCGAATTTCGGAGTGCCGTCGAGACTCGCAATCTAGGCTCTAGACTGATATTGTTTTCTTTTGGGCAAACGGGGATGAGGGCATATCGGCGTATGACTTAAATAGACGTGTGTTAGTTCCGTCATTGATTTGAGCAGCCGTACAATGCCCATGACCATCTTCATAATTATCGGAGAGGGGACGAATCTTTTTGGGTAGGGGTTCAAGCTGCGTCCGACAACGCAGTTCCGCAGCCTACTGTCCCACGCGTATGGCGAATTATAGATCAGGATGACACAACCCAGAAAAAATAAATTTCTGCAAAAAAAAGATGATTTTGAAAAATACCGCTTTGACATCCACCAACATCTGGAGAGTATTCCCTTAAAGTTTCATTTGTTTACACTGCATAGTTATTTTTTATAAATTATTTTCAGTCCAGTGATGCTAAACAAAAGGTAGGGGTTCAAGCACTTTGAACGCATTTCTCTCAGTTACACTTTTTGGCATAAATTTCACTTTAATAAAACCATTGTTTCAGCATGAAACTATCGAGGGCCTAAATGTTTGCGGCTTATGTGCTGAAATTTAATGGACCCGGTTACTATAAACTTAGATTTGGCATTTTCATGTTTTTTTATGAAAAATTTTAACTTGCAAAACTTAATAAATGTGAAACAAAGTCATTTTATACATCTTTTTTAACCTGGAAACTGCATATTTTTTTTAAATTTCTTTTCGTAGTAACTGGCAACAGGTTTTCCAGTATGCATTCCACCAGAAAAAAATATGTGGTTATCAACAGCATTTCTCAATGATAGATTCATTGAGCAGATTCCATGCAAAGCTATGCTTTACTTCGTTCTGGGGATATACCACCTCATAAAACTGGTTCACAGGGTTGGACACTACCTGGGAATGTTTACTTTTGAATCGTCAGGTTGTGTTTGTGGCCAAATAGAAGGAGGGCATGCAAAGTTTCATCCCTGTGAATCAATATTATGAGGTACTATACCTTAGTAAAGCATGGAATCTGCTTATTGAATTTATCGTTGAGAAATGGTGTTGATGACCACATATTTTTCTGATGGAATGCATACTGGAATATTTGTTGCGAGTTGCTATGAAAAGAAATTTCAGAAAATGTGCATTTTCCAAATAAAAAAAATGATATTTTTTTATTAAGTTTTGCAAATTGCAATTTTTTATAATAAAGGAACATGAAAATGCAAATTCTAAGTTCATATAACCGTCTCCATAAAATTTCTTTATAAAAGCCACATAAATTAAAGGTGCACTAAAGACATCTCTGAGATTGTCTGTTCTTAGTGATAACTCATTCTACGGGCTCAGGCATCCCAGAAATAGAAAAATTATGCTTGTGCGACATCCATTTCCCTTATAAAAAATGTGATAGAAGTCTGTGTCACGCCCCTTTCTAAGCAGAAAAATCTGAACCACAGAATTCAGCAGAGGTGCCGGTGGCGTGACGACGGGCGCGCGTCAGCCAATCGCAAGCGCTGAATTCTGTGATCCAGATTTTTTTGCTCAGAAAGGGGTGTGGCACTAACTTATATCACATTTCTAGTAGAAAAATGGACGTCGCACAAGCATAATTTTTGGATTTCTAGGATGCTTGGTGCACCTAAGAAAAGCTATCACCAAGATCTCAGAAACGTCTTTAGTGAACCTTTAAGTCTTTCAATAGTTTCATACTGAAACGGTAGATCTTATTAAGTGAAATTTATGCTAAAAGTGGAACAGTGAAAGACACTTTTGAAGTGCTCGACCCTCAACCTTTTCTTTAGCATCAGTGGACTGAAGAGAATTTATAAAAAAAATTCTTATACAGGGTAAACAAATCAAACTTTCTGGGAATACTCTCTAGATGTTGGCGGATGTATATATGGCGTTTTTAAAATTAATTTTTTTTGCAGAAACATTTTTTGTTTTCTGGGTAGTGTCTCCTCTTTAGAGAACAGCTTTACAGTTTGAAAAGCGGTGTTTCATTTTTATTTTAATGCGATAGCGTTATGTGGAAATCTTGCAGGGACCTTGCTTGCTTGTGTCAGTGTTGTTTGCACCATAAGACAAGGTCATGGACAAGAGTGCCAGTTAGCTGTGTTGCAGGGTAGGAACTGCATACTAGCGCCATCACACATGTATTGCATCTGGTTACAATATTAAATAGGAATTGAAAGGTCACAGTTCCATTTGGAGCTGTAACTCCCCATGGTGTGCAAATAAAGGACAAGGGTTCTTGTCTCTCGCAGGGGACTCTGTGACTTTAAAGCAGGCCACCTTTGCGTGGTCCAAACAGGACTCCCCAGTGCTGAAGGACGTGGACCTAAACGTGGCGAAAGGCAGTCTGGTGGCGGTCGTCGGGTCCGTGGGCTCTGGAAAGTCGTCTCTCCTCTCCGCCATTCTCGGGAGCCTCGAGAAGATGTCGGGTTCCGTCGACGTCCAGGTGAGTTGCCAGCCGGTGCGACCAACTGGTACACTGGAGTTGAAATCGTCGACGCCAAACCAGGCACCCTCTCCCGAAATGAAGCCTTTGTGCACGACCTTCTGCGCCTTTTACAGCAAAGCTGTGTACCTCTACCAGCCAAGGGAATTTTCGTGTCGTTGGCGTAGTAAGCAAAAAAACTCCCGGCGAACAATTAAAGGCAAAACAGCATGTCTCCTTTGAAATCAAGCATACAGCATACAGCTCATTATCCGTTTCAATAAAGAAAACCACAGAACAAGCATTAAAAGCACACGATGGATGATAAGGTGCGTATGAACAATAGGAACACCCTCCCACGCGTTCCGGTAAAGATTAGGTTTGCATTTGCTTCGAAAGGGGTTGACGTCATTCGAAGCCCTCGTATGAAGTGCAAACCGCATAATGGTTGGTAACGGCGCCTGCAAACAATGCAAAGCACGTTCCTTCTCCCCGTGTGAGTTTCCCTGTAAAGATTACAGTTGCGTAAGCTACTCCGAGTGGAAAAGTATTCAACAGCATAGAAATCACGTAGTGACTTCACCACGCTTTTCGAGTGACGTCGAAATGGGTAATTGTTGTGGGTGTCGTTTGCAGCTTTGTTGTCGAACCACCTTCACAGCGTGAATTGGAGCCACAGTTGTCTTTTAGTTGCACCATACATTTCGCGCCTCCAAAGTATTCATCGCTTTCGAGGGTGGCAAATATCGAATTGTAGAAAACTTTCCACAGCTGGCAATGGCTTAGTGGCACGATTTAGATTTAGGCACTCTTATTATTTTGCGAGGCACTCTTCTGTGCCCGGCCTACATTTCTGGAGGTAAGTAAAATGATTTAGCTCGCATCGTCTGTACAAATGCCTGATAGGAACACTATGTGAATGCAGGGACGTGAGCAACCAATTTAAAGGCTTCGTTTGTAGCTCCAGCATATGCGTCGAATTCTGTTGCTTTGGGGGCTGTCTAGTCAAAGTGCTAGTTGAAGCTAGACTCGTGGAAAACAAGTTTTATGTTCTAGGAGGCCAGCCACATTAGACAGCCTTGTTATAAGAGTAGCTAGGTATGCTGCGTCTAGCGGCAACCGTGTGCGAAACACTTTTTAAGAGGGCTTACATTTCCGCTTCTCAATGTTCACTACATAATAATTTATTTCATGGAAAAGCGTGTTGTGTATTGGTAGTGCGGAATATCTGACGCAGCTGAATTTGAAAAGTGACGTTGACGCCTTCTTTGAAGGGGCAACTGGCGTACGTGCCTCAGCAGTCGTGGATCCAGAATGCGACGGTGAAGGGGAACATCATTTTCACGAATGCCGTGGACGAGGAGCGCTACGAGCAAGTGGTGGATGCCTGCGCCCTCAGGCCGGATATTGAGATGCTTCCTGGAGGGGAGAACACGGAGATAGGAGAGAAGGTACTCTTTCGCGTTGGTCGCTGTGCATCTGCTTTTCTTGGTCGTGAATTCTGCATTTGCTGGCCCACAGTACGTACGGGTACATTTTAGTTGAGGAAAACCGTTTTTCTTTAGATAGTTTGCTTTCGGTACATCCACACCTGGTGCCTATTTGGCATTTAAATTATTCTCATACGCAGTTTACCTTGACGAATGTCTGCTTTATTAGCTTGCAAAGAAGCTTGTATTGCACGTAAGTCATCCTTAGCATGCTCTGTCGTTCTCAAAATCTGTCGCATCTCGTTGTAATTAACGATCTAGAAAAACAAATCTTGTATATTCCGCACCATGTAAAATTAACTTTTAAATGTTTATAGCCTGCAGACTATAGTCTGGGAAATATGGTACCTATATGGATTTTATATGGACACAGCATTGTGTTTTCGAGCGGTCAGGCGTTGTCTTTAACAATTTCAAGGTCGGGAATTGCTGTTGTTTAAAGCACCTGCGTTGCTATTCTTACAATTCAATTTCATGTGCAGCATACTACAAGCTTTGAATGCTTTGAAAGAAAAAAGAATGACAGGGTGCAGGCTGAATTTATTATTTATTTAAAGTTTCTTGCTTCTCCAACTGATAATAGGGCGTGGAGCGTTCGCTCGTATATTTACCTTTTTTGCAGTAGTGTTTTTGGGGTCACTCTAGCTTTGTTTTCAAGTCGGGAAAAGGTTACCTGGAGCGTAAAAACGGGGCATTGAGATCCTTATTCAATCGGCGTCTATCAATAGGGGCTCTTCCAAGCATCTCTCCAGGTCCTTTAACCAAAGCTTCAGTCAAAATCTTAGCTGTCATCAAACCCACAACCGAGGGTCCTCCCTGCTGTTCTAGCTCTGCCAGTGACCATAATGTCTTTTCAAACCATAAGCTCTCGGGATTGTGATGGACTAGAAACATTCTACGACGCTCACACGATGCGGTCCTTGCAGGGCATCAACCTGAGCGGTGGTCAGAAGCTGCGGCTGAGCTTGGCACGCGCTGTGTACCATGACGGCGACGTCTACCTGCTGGACGACCCGTTCAGCGCCGTCGACGTGCACGTCGCCACGCACCTCTTCGAAAACGTCGTGGGGCCGACCGGACTCCTAAAGTCGAAGGTTTGCGAATGGCCTGAATTGAGAAACCAGTTGTGCAGATGTGGCTCACTTTTCGGGAGTCGGAGTTGGATTTTTGGTGTCAAAACTTTTATGGCGAATCTCTAGGCAATTGTGCTGCTTACGTGAAACGTTCTAGCACCAAAAACGTTGAGTGATACTCCGAGTTTCCAGACGCTAGATGCCTACATTCACGGTGTTCTTCATCCGATAGTTTAATGCATACCATGCGTACGCTTGATAGTTGTTTCTACAATGAAGCGATAGTACCGCGAATCTGGCTGATAAACCTGGCAATCTTCCAGAGCCTCCCACACTCGAGCTCCTCTCTGTCAGTGCGCACAGGTGGTTCAGCTCCTCCTCGCCTGCCCCTCTGGTCACACGACCTCCCCGTTAACCAATCAGCGTCGAACACCTCACTCCCCCTCTCTTACCCGTCAACCAACCGGTGTCGAGCCTCGCGGCCACGCTTTTATCCGGCTTCACGAAATGCCAAACACCTTGCCAAAGAATCTAATTTGAAATGGTGGATACTTGGGCTAGTTGGTGGTTGCTATACATAATTAAACAGCGCACAAGGAGAGGGACAGAAAAGGAAGACAGAACAGGCAAGCGCTGACTCGCAACTGACGATTTACTATGAAAAGGAGAAGGAAGAAAACTACACACATGAACATATATCGGAAAAGAGAAAGATGTGAAAAAGCTAATACATTAAATAAAATTACACCTAAAATAATTATAGCTGAAAAGGAAAACAAAATAAAATGAAAATCAATCTCTCAAAGTCCTAGGCATGTCCAGTGCCGGCACTCCGAAGCCTTGACCATACACCTATTTGTGCGCAGCTGCCCCCATAAACTCATACTCGCTGTCTTGTAGTGTTAATGATGGCTGGCTCACACATTTGGATTCGAGCTTTCTTATCCAAAAGGCTTCCACTATTTCTCTTGTTGTTTTTTCTTTATGGGAAGCTAGAACAGTTGTTGCACAAAAATCTGGATCACATCCACAGGTTCTGCAGTGGATGGCTAGGTGGCTTCCAGTGGTGGTTTGAAGAGACTGTTTATGTTCCCTCAAGCGGTCGTTGAGGCACCGCCCAGTCTGTCCGACATAGGTTTTCCCGCAGGACAGAGGAAGATGGTAAACCACTTGTAGAATGCAAGACACAAAGTGCACCTTGTGGTTTTTCATGCAGCAAGCCCTGCTGTGATACAAACCTGTAAAGGATCGACCAAAAGAAAAAAGAGCAAAGACCTTACCAATATCCGACCACTAGTTATACCATACATCCACAAGACGTCGCACAACTTAAAAAATGTTGCCAATAGATACAACGTGCCCATGGTGTTTTCAGCCCCAAACAAACTGGGTAGAATTTGCACGCTTGTGGACAAGAACAATGACAGCAGGGCTTGCTGCATGAAAAACCACAAGGTGCACTTTGTGTCTTGCATTCTACAAGTGGTTTACCATCTTCCTCTGTCCTGCAGGAAAACCTATGTCGGACAGACTGGGCGGTGCCTCAACGACCGCTTGAGGGAACATAAACAGTCTCTTCAAACCACCACTGGAAGCCACCTAGCCATCCACTGCAGAACCTGTGGATGTGATCCAGATTTTTGTGCAACAACTGTTCTAGCTTCCCATAAAGAAAAAACAACAAGAGAAATAGTGGAAGCCTTTTGGATAAGAAAGCTCAAATCCAAATGTGTGAGCCAGCCATCATTAACACTACAAGACAGCGAGTATGAGTTTATGGGGGCAGCTGCGCACAAATAGGTGTATGGTCAAGGCTTCGGAGTGCCGGCACTGGACATGCCTAGGACTTTGAGAGATTGATTTTCATTTTATTTTGTTTTCCTTTTCAGCTATAATTATTTTAGGTGTAATTTTATTTAATGTATTAGCTTTTTCACATCTTTCTCTTTTCCGATATATGTTCATGTGTGTAGTTTTCTTCCTTCTCCTTTTCATAGTAAATCGTCAGTTGCGAGTCAGCGCTTGCCTGTTCTGTCTTCCTTTTCTGTCCCTCTCCTTGTGCGCTGTTTAATTATGTAAATCTAATTTGTTAATACAGCATTGTAATGATAATAATAATAATGTTTATTTTCCGTCAAACTGTAAATGACGGAAAGAAACAAAAAAAAAAAAAATAGCTGCATGATGCAGCTTTACGAGGCCTCGGTCCCCCTCCTTATATTTGGCAGCAGTGGCACAGAAAAATAAACCTATAAAAATGCATTAAAACGCAGCAATTAAAAAAAACAAAAGAAACTAGGGCTGTGTGAATATTCAAAACTTTGAATATTTTGCTAATAATGCTTGCTATTCAATTCGCTTCCTACTTTCGCTTTTCGAAGTATTTGTAGAACTTGAATAGTTAGAAAATTGCGAATAATTTGTAACTCGCGGTCAAGTTCCCTGTTTCGAGCTTGGTGAACCCAAAACTCTTATTTCCTAGCTCTTTCGGTGCAGTAAGTTTACAAGTTTGCCTGTGCTACAGCTAGCAGTCTAGGGGGTTGGCAAGTGCAAGTCTCATAGACAGCTCTTACAAGGCCCGCACTCAATCACGCTTCCGCAATGAACGACGTGAAAACTTTAGAAGGATATCTGCAGGGTGGGAGCAATGTATATGCATCGTCGGATGTGTTCAGTACGGAATTCACAAACTAGGTATTTGTTTTAAAATTTTGTTAACCATTTTTTTACCGAGTGAAAAACTGGATCAAGTGCAAGAATGGCACTCACCTGCCTTATTTCAGTGCGGTAGGAGTGCAGCTTGTACTTTGCCACATGACTGCTAATAGTTTTTAATGGTTAGATCCAGAGCGGTGGTTCTCAAATGTGGGTCCATGGGCCCTTTGGGGTTTCTGAAAGCCTTCTTAGGGTCCCTGAAGCTTTAGAATTTCAGATTGTCGGCCAAGACGGGCAGTAATGCTTCTTTTTTTATTGATGCTGGCTGCCCCAAAAAGCTAAATAGACGAGACCATGTGCACTGAGTGAGTAGGGGTGATCATTCTGTATTTCGGGGCTGCAAAGTTGGCTTGCATGCTTTTAGGTTTCTTTATTCGCCCTTTTATCATCGTAATTGTCTATTTCCCCCCCTCTTCCCTGGTGGATGGTGTCCCCCCTCACTTCCGCCGATCCAGAAGGGGTCTCCAAAACGTTAGCAGTTGATTGTTATTGATATTGAGGAACTCCCCAAGGTGAAGAAGATGTATGCAAAAATAAATTGACTTCCGCTTGAGGCGGAGCACGAGTTGCACTTTGTCTCATGTTAAATTCAATTTATTCTTTCGACTGCTGATTGTTTCCCCGACATAATCGCGAGAAATTTATCTTTCAGACGAGGATTCTTGTGACCCATTCGGTCACTTTCCTCCCGCAAGTGGACTGGATCGTGCTGCTTGACAAGGGCGTCATCAAGGAGCAGGGGACCTACAGCGACCTCCTGGCAAAAAAGGGCAGCGACTTCTCTGCATTCCTCCAGAAGCACGTCAAGGGGAACTCCAGCAGCGCCAGCCTGGACTCTGCCGACGAGGACGGCAATGAAAAGTTTGTGGACCTTCTTTTATGGCAATAGCTGTTATGGGCTTTTCCCACCACAGAAAACGACACCCGTCGTTGGTGTAGTCATAGCGGGGCGTAGCGTGTTTGTCGTCGACGTTGCCGAATCCTCGAAAAAGATTGCCCACCTCCCACGGGATTCGCACCTGGGTCTGCTGCATGCAAAGTGGAGGCATTACCTCAGAGATACACTGCAGCATTAACAACCTGTCTTATATATGTAGGGTTTTTGGGGTACTCAAGAGCCACTGCATGTGGTCTGGAAATATAAAAAAAATTGCAGGTAACAAAATGCTTCCGCAGCACCGTCAGTGCCAAGAGCTTTTGTTAGGAGCTGCGCTTTCATGTGCTCTGGAACAAAAAGGAAACAAAAGCGGTCGGAACAAAACGGTCAGATGTTCCTTTTGTTCCGAACGCTTCTGTTGACGCACCCCACGGTGCGCGAATGCGACGCCAATGCCCAACTTCGCCGTGACTACAGTGCAGTACAGTCAAAGCTATCTCTATGACTGTACTGCACTGTAGTCACGGCGAAGTTGGGCATTGGCGCAGTACAGTCATAGTGATAGCTTTGACTGTACTGTGAATTAACACCAACTGCTAATTTTTTTATATTAAATGCGTAGCATTTATTGGGCCAGCTCTTAGGACGATATTCACGGGATGTAGTTTCGTTGAAGAAGGAGGGGGAAACCTTGCTGAAGCAGAGGCATCCCGCTAAAGTTAGCGGGCAGACAGCGGCACTGATGACTTTATGCGACACTATGATACTTGAGACTGTGACATCACATGACACTGTGATGTCTCGTGACACCAAATCATCACGTGATGTCATGGTATTTCACGACCACCATCATGCTGATGACCTAATGTGGCATCTTCATGTCTTGTGACACTGTGACATCACATCACGCGAAGTCATGGCATAATGTCATGGTATTGCATGAGCACCATCACGCTGATGACCTAACGTGACATAACGTCTCGTAGCATTGTGACACTGACATCACGTGACACCGAGTCATCACATGATGTCATAGTTATCACATGACCATCATCACATTGATGACCTGACGTGACATCATCACGTCTTGTAACATTGACATCATGTGACACCAAATCGTCACATCATGCCATTGCATGACCACCATCACGCTGATGACCTAACATGACATCATCACATCTTGCAACATTGTGACGTGTGGCATTGACGTCATGTGTCACCAAGTCATCAGATAATGTTAAGGTATTGCACGACCACCATCACGCTGATGACCTAACATGACATCACCATGTCTCGTAACATTCTGACATCATGTGGCACCAAGTCATCAGATAATGTTAAGGTATCGCACGACCACCATTGCGCTGATGACCTAACGTGACATCACCATGTCTCGTAACATTCTGACATCATGTGGCACTGATGTCATGTGACCCCAAGTCATCACCTGGTGTCATGGTATTGCACGAACACCATCCCGCTGATGACTTAAAGTGACATAATCACGTTTTGTAACATTCTGACATGCAAGACATTCGCATTGCATGACACGTGGTTTCATGGTGTCACATGACATCAGGAGACATCATGAGGTCACAAAGGACCCATAATTGCTATGCATCTGAGTGCCTTTGACATATACCAAAGAAACAGGCAGTTTTTTTTTTGCGTATGTGCTCTTTTGGGAAAATTTTGGGAATAATAATAACAATAATAATAATATTTATTAATGTGTGCCCAAAAACAACCCAAAGATCTTCACTTTGGTGCCCAAAGAATGAGTAAATGCCAAATTAACATGAAACAAATAAAACACATTACAGATAGGTAGCAATCTCTTGCAATTGCTTGTGGTAAACACTGAATATTTCAATACCTGGATTGTCAAAGCGATTTAACAGTGGCTGCATGAGGGTCAAGGGTGAAGGTCACGCATGCATTGGATGACGGGGGAATTTTCCACTGTAAAATCCCAAGCAAGTGCTTGTTCAAAGTTGAAATATAATCATGTAAAACTGGAGTATGGATGCTCCTTAGATAAAAATTATGTAAAGACATGTTCCTTATGTATTTTCCGAATGTTACAAAAGGAAGGAGTGGACACTTATTGTAGAATGGGTGGATGCTCGGTATTGCCGTAGGTGTTTCAGGGAATATGGGAGAATTGTATTGGAATTTCGGGGAGTGTAAGAAAAGCTGGTGGAACTGTTTGGAATATTAGGGAGAATGAGACAATGGGAAATTGTCTAGGTAATTTAGATGTAGGGAAGATGTAAAGCTGTTTGAGAATTTAAGGAAATGTAAGGAAGCTGTGAAATTGTTTTGGAATTTTGGGGAGCATAAGGAAAAAAGGAATTGTGTGGGAACTTTTTTAAGTTTACGGAATAATTTTAAGGCAGTCTGGGTAAAAATATGGCGAGAGTTTGAAAAATCTGCACGTTAGTTGTTTTGTCTTGCACTTTCTTAAACGGATATACTTTGAACAGCTGGCATCCATCTTTTCAGTGCGCAAGGATTGCCATCAATCAGTCTTGAAGTTGAAAGCATGCCATTGGGAGCTCCAGATAGGAATTCAGATTTCTTCAAGCTCCTAAGATACAGTAGGCTGCGACAGTTCAAACCCTGATATTTCTTAAGTCTGGTTGATTCAAACCCATTTAGAAATTTTGGCAGTCCCGCTATGCTTTTAATCCGTTCATAAGCCGTTTAATTAGAATGGCGTTTTCATACAATTGTTTTCGCTCCCGCAGCCCCATTGAGTGTGCTTCTTTCTTATCTGCGGTGCCCTGCAGGGAAGCAACTTCGCAGAGCTTGTTTCCACGGGTGTTGCTTCTCCACAGTGCAGCAGTGCTCGGTGAGAAGCGCACTCAACGGGGCTCAAGCAGGGTACATGTGCGCTCAGAAAACGGGCACAACGCGAAAATTCCGACAGCAACTTTCGCGGACGCTACGACGTGGCAGCATGACGTAGGTCCACGTCACAGCGTCCGCACAAATTTGCTGTGAAAACTCGTGTGGTGCCGGTTTTCATCGCTCATGTGTCACCCGCTTAATAGACAAATTCTTGGCCTGACGAACAAGCTTAATCTTGTTTTAAGTTATCATGTGCTGTCCAAACAGTCTGCGATAAACACCATTTTCAAGGGATAAATAAACTTGTGTCCTACATTTCACAAATGTTACATCTGTGGCATATCTGCTTATTATCAGTAAGCCTATGTGGAGGAAATCTTTAAATATCTGCTTTGTGTGTGTAGCCATTCATATGGCAAGTCATAATTTTATCTTGCATCTGATAATTCAAACAAAATTCGTGTCGAGTCTACTTATTGTCATTCCAAAGCCTGAAACAATCTTATTGTCGTCATTATTGTTTGCTTTTTCGGACTTCAGAGCTAGTGGGAAAACCTACTATACCTCGTTTCACCTGAAGTCCAGACACAGCCGACACTACGAGGTAATAGGACCAATCAAGCAGCATCAGAAGCGTAATGTCGGCTGCATCTGGACTTTAGATGAAACAAAGTATAGCTAGAAATGGTCAGGAAATCTCTCTTAAATGGTCGAGGATTGGGAAATTATAGTTATGGTAGACATCCCACAGTCTGTTTTTCACTCATTATTTTTAAACATTCCCGAAAGTGTAGGTCATGACGAGTTGATTATTTTTCAGGCCTGAGGAAGAAACGAAGGATAAAGGCGATAAAGACCAGTCCAGGTTGACGGACGAGGAAGCTGTTGGCACTGGCTACGTAAGTGGCACGGCAGTTATTTTCTCTTTCACTCACCTTTATGAAAATTTCTGTTCCTCCCTCTTCATGTTTCCCTATCCTTGTGTGCAATTGCTCCGTGCAGATTGCTGCTAATGAAGCCCTGTAGGGACACTCAAATTTTCTACAGCACGTGCAAGACGCTTCACATACCCCACTGTGGCTGTCCCTGACAGCCTACATGGTTTTTTTATACATGCAGGAACAGTTCATCTTCTATAAAGTTGTAATTTTCAAAGGTCACACAATTCCTGGCCTTTTCATTGAAATTGAAGACAGGCAAGATATTTGAATTCTAATTTGCACCTTGTCTTTTTTAATAGATGTGACCGGTTTCTGGATTGGAGTTGTGTAGCTGTGACAGGCTGTACAAATGGAGTGTGTAGTGAAACATACCATTTTAGTTCTACAAGTGTTGTGCTGCTTTTGCTTTCCCCCTCTCGCAGGTTGGATGGCGTGTCTACTACGAGTACCTGAGGAGGATTGGCTGGAAGTTCCTCCTGCCTTCGATGCTTGCCATGTTGATTTGTTATGGCAGCGAGGTGGGTTCTCTGTGACTTTCGGAGTTGTAACTACAGCGCAAACTTTATACAAAAGGAAAGGATCTGCAGTCTCGTGGCACATCAATTCCACCGGTGATGAGCTTTATTTAGTATATTTGGCATGCTGACCTGTTTTAATTTTCTTTCTTCTCACAAACAATTGAAGAATGATACAGTCTTTGTGAAGTGTATGTCAGTTTGTCTTCACTCAAATTTTTTAAAGCATTGGAGAGCTGTCTGCAAAAAGGTAAATGTGTGTTTATTGTATTACTATTGTTGTATTTCTATATTACTATTATGCATTTATTACATTTAATTATATTTTTGTATAATTTCTTGCGCAATAAAATGTAGTAACCCCTTCTGCCACAACCTCCAAAAAGGGTTAGCAGTATTTGTAAATAAATGATTACACAAGTACACTTAAGACTGCTTACGTGTAAGAAGGCGAAAGCCAGTCAAGGACGACATGTAGGACGACTTTTGGGACACGCTCTAGGACGACGCTTATAGGACGACGTCAGGAACGACTTCTAGGACGATTTCAAGAATGTCATCTAGGACAACCTCTAGGACAGCTTAAGGACGAGGTCGAGAACGACACCTTGAGGAAGACACTTATGAGGCTATGGCGTATTTGCGTGGGCTACCACGTTTGCCTGCGGAAGCCGCCATAGATGTAGACGCGATCGCCTCGCAGTCCATCGCTTGAATCACACAACGAGTATAAATGAGGTCCCAACCGCACCTTTTGCACACGGCACTCCGGCGGTGACATGACACTGATGTATGATGACACTTGATGACATCATGCTGATGACGCTCGGTGACATATTTTTATGGGCATCTTTCGGGCACAACAATGCCAACGCCGCCTGTTTCTCACGTAATGTGACAAATGAGGTCGTCCAAGAGGTCTAGGACGACTTCTAGGTTGACTGCAAGGACAACGCAGAGGTAATAGGATAAATAGGGTCGCCCACTGAGCGGCGCGTGCCGTGCAATCGTGTTTTTATGGCCATTTACTTCGATTTTTTGCTCTATAAGACAAGTAAGCCTTAATAAATATAAATAATCAAAGAAAGAATGTTTAGAAAGATTTTTCCTGGTGGTCTATGACCACACCTTGAGACTGTAACCTACTTTTAGAAGTAGGACAGGAACATATCTGAAAATTTTCATTACATTGCAGAGTTCATTAAATAGAGGATCCTTGCATTGATTCTTAACTTTATTTTGGTTTCATTTAGAGGGCGAAATAGGGCCTTTTACCCCCCAGAAACTTCCGTATGACCTGGTCCGATTTGACTTTCCTTCCAGTTTGGATCAAGCGTGTGGCTGAGCAAGTGGTCCACGGACCAGGATCCGTCGCGGAGGAACGGCTACCTGACTGGCTTTGGCCTGTTCCTGGTGTCGACGAGCATCTTCAACTTTGTGCTCTGGATTGTCTTCATGCTGGGCTGCTTGCGCGCTGCCGCCTCCTTCCACGAGCAACTCCTGCGCTCCGTCATGCGCTCCCCGCTCTCTTTCTTCGACACCACGCCAATGGGACGCATTGTCAACAGGTAGGCTGCCAGGCTACGTCGAGGCAGAGTTTTTTTGGACTCGCGACGTTGGACCCTTTTAAATGCGCAGATGCAGACGCAACAGTGTGCTTAAGTAGCAACAATTAGTCAGAGTTCTGTTTGGGACCGAGGCAATGCGTGCCACCTGGCCTGAGCCTGGCCCACGTGCCGGGTTGCCATCAGGTCTTTAGACTGGCCCTGGCTCGTGCAGTGCTCTAAATCCCCTGCCTACTAATAGTGAGTGTCCCTCGTGCCACCCCTTATAAACCATGAAGCCCGACCACAGGTGTGACCCGCGTTTGGGTTTCGGCGCGCTCCTGGCAGATGGCGAAACCACCCTTCGTGCTCCGTTTACCTTGGGCAGTTTGCTCGTTTGTTTTGCTGTTTGACAGAAAGAAAATGCTCCATTTAGCTAAAAAAAAAAAAAATAGTTGCTTGTGAGCGTTCATGCTAAAGCAACGTGGCTTTGTCAGCTGAGATCCACTCTAGCCAACAAAAAAATACAAAACCTTTTTGAATGGGATTCACGCTTACCGTAAAATTCTGGGCAAGCGCCCACTCAAAATTTAGAGATAATCGCGAAAAAATGGGGGATGGGCGCTTGTCCGGTCATCAATTTTACATATCAATGTACTGTGCATATTTTCTCAGATCTTACAAATTTGGGTATGGGCGCTTGGCGTGGTATGGGCGGATGCCCGGTATTCTATGGTAAGCACATGTGACGACAGAACCTTCTGCCTTTCTGATTTTTCGGAATCGGACAATAGTTTGATGGTCAGCGACAGGAATGGTGAAAGCAATGGGAATCCTGCAAGCATTCCATCAACTTAGGCTTCTGCACGTCAGTAGTACTCGGACCAGAAGTCCTCATATAGAGCAAGATATGACACCTGGAAGTCGAGGAAATATCTGTCTCATTTTAATGCAAATTGCCAGTTTAAAATAAAATTTTGCTGTTTGTTCGTACGTTTCTTGAAGAAAAAGAAATGAGCAGGCAAGGGGTTGACTGTTTTGGACGAACCTAGCTCGTCAATGTGGAGCCAGGCTCGCTCATGGCTTAGTTTGGGGTTCTGCCAGTTTGGCAGCACTGACCTTTTTTAAAATTTTGATCCCATTTTGTTTGTGGCAAGAAATCTGATTTGGAAGGCACAAATTTGATGTTGAAGACAACAATTTAGCAGTTTGAAGTCAGAAATTCCCCAAAACTAAAAATGTGGCAGATTCAACGCACTTGTTGGAATCTGCGTTAAGCGAAGTTCTCTCTTCTTTTGTCAGGTTCCATTTAGGTCCCGTCTGCGTGAGGCATGTAAAGCACCCACAAACACACCACAGAGCGCAAGTGGGTGCATTAACATACCATAGTTACTCGCATAATGAATGCACTCTCATAATGAACGCACCCCCCACAACGGGTATTGATATTCAGATTTATTTTTTCCCCTCGCCTAATTAACAAACCTCCAATTTTCAGCTCAGTGAGTCTCGAATTGCGTCCAATTTAGCTAGCCACCAAGCCAATTTTCTTCAGCTGCTAAGCAGTCGGGCCAAGTCAATCCAAGGCAAGCCGCTCTCGTAATGGCTGCAAGTGCGTAGTTGCGGCAGTTGCAAAAGTGATCAACCGTGAAACCGAAGGGCGCACACACTTGATAAAGTTTGGGTCAAGAAATTGCCCAGTCCCGGACGTTCTTTGCCTATCGGATGCATTGATGTAAACAAACACGCCGTCGTCTGTGGTCCGCTTTCGACAGTGAAATCGTTAAAGTCGTTAGTCCTAATTTCACATACTCCAGGTAAAGGCTTTTATTTAATCTGTCACAGAACAGTGCAAAAGGTACACGCTGCGTCGTAGGTTGAGAGTGCCTGGTAGGCCCTGATAACGGCCGTCTCTGTGAACGAAACATGATCCGTGCGAGCGGGTCTCGGCATCGGCAGTCGACTTCTTACGGGTTCTTATATGCGTAGTCTTGGTATATACTTTGTAGGGGTTCTTATACGCTACCGAATACTAGCAGTATATCACCTAAGAACGGTCGCGTTGATTTCCGTGCTGAGTGAGCCTCTTAACGGCGCTTTTCCTTTGACAGAAGGCACGCTGAAAGCGCCCCATAAAGGTTTGCAATTTATAAAGCATAGTTACTGTGGCGTGCCCCCGGCCAGCCGTGGTTGCACCTCCATCATTGGAGATGTGCAACAGTACCTTGCCGTGTTATATTGGCACCTAATTTGACATTTGTACAAAATGTGTAAATTCAAAAATTTTACCTCGCTTAATGAACCCCCCCCCCCCCCTTCCTCCCCCACCCCCAAATATGTGTCAATATTTTGGGAAAGAAGGTGTGTTATTATGCGAGTAAATATGGTATCTTGAAATTGCACCTCTGTCCTCAGGTTCAGCCGCGACATCGAGTCGATTGACAATGACGTGCCCCTGTGCATGAACATGACCATGGGCAACATCTTGTGGGTGACGCTGCTCTCTGTGCTTGTCTGCATCCTGTCCGTCTACTTCATTGCCGTCGTGGCCTTCACCCTCTTCTTCTTTTTGGGCCTAACGGTGAGTCTGTCTTTGGTGTCGCACTCTTCTCCCCAACCCATACTGTTACGATCTGGATGAGCATCGTACTGGCATGTGATCGTGTATCACTATTGCGTGTTGTGCGTGAACGATCTCGGGCTCGCAGAGCGTGTGAACTGCGTGCAAAACTTGCTTTGTTACAGTGAACTCTCACTTGAGCTAACTTTAAAGGCCCGTTCACACTTTTGCGACTGCTTACGACCTCTTAAACCTGGGTTCCTTAAAACTTCTTAAACCAGAGAACACACTGGCGCCATCTATTGGGAAGCAGTGTAAACTCGGCGGTCCGGCATATTTTTTTTTATTTCTCGCGCAATATCCTTTCTTTTTTGGCTCGAAAAACTTTTGTCAATGTTATAAACGAGCCTTTCTATGGGTATTACGCACATTTGACCTCGGAAATCCCACAAAACCTTCGCTTTTGTGAAATGCAGTTCTAGGGTCACCGCATAGATGGCGCCACAATGTCAGTGTGTCCCCTCATTCTAGAAACATTTAAGAAGTTGTAAGAGATCTCGTCTCTCTCAGTCGTACTCGGTCGCAAGAGTGTGAACGGGCCTTAAGGGACCCAAGGAAATAGTGTTGACTTAACTGAAAGTTCAATAAACTGAATACATTCACTAGAACATGGAACAGCATAAGGCACAGCTTACATCGAGTCAGAAGTGTGAAATGCAATTTATGGAGTCATGTACAGTGCTAATCACACATTTCTCTAACGCGCGAGCATTTGACTTTCTTCGTGGAGCGCTAGACGGGTGGCGTTCGCGAAAACTAAGCTAGTCACATGGCGCAACATGGAACGGCCGCTCGAGGGGTGTCCTGCCCACTCTATCATCTTGATAAGCGATAAAGGTAGTGCTTTATGATATATTTTTGTTTTTTGATGACGACATCGTTGATACGCCTTCATCCTTTAGTTTGTTTATTGTTCGAGCAGTGATGCTTGTAAAAAGCGTGCGAGCAGCCTTCCTCGTTCGCCGCCAGCTGATAGAGTGGGCAGGACACCCCTCGAGCGGGCCGTTCCATGTTGCGCCACGTGACTAGCTTAGTTTCCGCAAATGCCACCAGTCTAGCGCTCCCCGGAGAAAGCCGCACGCTCGTGGTTATAGACAAGTGTGATTAGCACTGTACATTTACATATACAAAGTGCATAACAGTTACGTTTCTGCCTTTCCCGTTTTGAAAAAAAAATCTAATTTTCATTTGCACCGGCGCTCTTAAAGTGCATGAAGTAACAAACTGTCCAGAGAGTCTATGTTTTTTTGCACTTCCTCCGGCGCAGCTTGTTGCTGTGAAGTAGCCATACCAAAATGGCATCGTCCGCTGGCTTAAAATATCCCGTGCAGAGTCGTTTCCTATTGGGATTGAAAGCACTTTCTTCTTCAAGCTTCGACCTTTGTTTCACTATCGTTGACAACGTTGACGGTGGAATCCCATAGTCCTTCGCGATTTCCACTTTCCTTTGACCATTGTCCAGACGCTGAAGGGTTTTGAGCTTGTCTGATTGAGACAAGCGCTTCCGTTTCATTGTAGTCATTACGAAAGTGGGTGCACAAACTGCTATCCTGCCGTCTTTACCCAAAGCTAAGATGGCCGAACGGAACCGATGACAAAGAAAAAAACAGATACACCACACCACCGCTTTGCTTTGGCAACACTCTAAACGCCAGCGATGATACTCCGCGAGCATCGGCTACGCCAACACTGCAGAGCACAAAACTTCAATGAACTGATTGCAAAAATAATCCTGGGTCCACAGATCAAGTTCATTGAACTGAAATACCGTATTTATTCGAATATAAGGCAATCACGATTATAAGGCGAAGGGGCAGTTGAAGGACCCGAGAAAAAGAAGAAAAAAAATCGCCATATTGCTATACTGAGCTTCGAATATAAGGTGGGGTATGACTTTAAGACTACCGATTTTAGAAAAAAACCTCTCCTTATATTCGAATAAATACGGTATTCGCTATTCCGAAATTCGTTTTTCGTTTAACTGAAACATTTTTCCATAGAATGCATAGGAAAACGGCAGGGGATTTTTTTATAGTTCGTTATTCTGAAATATTTGTTAAACCGACGTTCGCTGAGGTGAGAGTTTACTGTATACTTGGTTCACAGTGAGTGTAGCCAATATGCATAGCTTCTTTTTTCTAAGCGAAACAAATTGACAAGGAAATGGACTGGACTCATTAGCCAGCCAATTTTGTTGTGCCGTCTGCCGCAAATGAGCTAGGGAACTTTATCTGCACATATGTGGTGGTGTCAAAATGGGAAGGGAAGGGGAGGGGGGGTGAGATTGCCCTTTAGATATATTAAAAATTGAATGGAAACAATATGGAAGAGGGGGCTGAACTTTAGCCCTTCCATCTTTATCATAGTTCCGAAGCTTTTGGCCAAGTGACGTGGGGCAAACCTTGCTGAAGTTCTGCACCTGCTAGGCACGAGGCAGTACGAGCCATCACGAGACATCGGTTTATTAACTGCACACTTGTTTGAAAAATAAACACAGGAAAACCTTATTATATATATTGATCTGCAAAAAACATTTGCACGCCGTTCTAAGTGTATACAATTTGCTGCAAAAACTGTGTCTGAGCTGGCTCCACCGACAACTCCACCTCTCGCCACTGTCCCCCCAAAAAGATTGCTCAATAGAGAACTTTCATTAATATTTGTCGGCAATGGTAAAAGCTGTTGCAACCTGACCGATGTCATGTTATTCACTTACGTCGTACCTCGAGAGTTTCTATAAAACACCCACGGGAAGAGAGGTGAAAGAGGGAGAGGGTTGGGCCGTGCAGAAGCTGGAGGAGCAAAGCTTCGTGCGTCTCTCCACAGGTGATCTCGCTGCCGTCGTTCCGCCACGTGCACCGCCTGCAGTCGGTCACCCGGTCGCCGGTCTTCACGCACTTCAGCGAGACCATCTCGGGGGTGACGTCCATCCGGGCTTTCGGCGTCAGGACGCAGTTCCTGCGCACCCTGGAGTGTCGCGTCGACGACAACATCAACTGCTGTTATCACTCCACGGGTCTGGACGGGTGAGTCGCTGTCGACTTTTCCGCGGCACCCGGGACTCGTCTCCGGCCGAAGCGTTTTCTGCGTGACACTCGTGTTCTCTCCTGCTTTTTCCCGGAACTTCTACGCCCAGCAGCCAGTATCGCGACATCCGACAGCATGACACTCTGGCAATCGTGACGTCATTTGTTGCCACTTTGGGACCGCTTTCGAGGCGTGGGCGGAAAAAGACGCTAAACGCACCAGTCGGAGACGAGTTTGATGCACTGTAATGTCGCTTGGAGTATAGCCGGTGACAGGTTAAGAGTAAAGTGGAAGCTCCCCCCACCTCTTTTCGCTTCAGCAGAGCGAACGCTGGGAGGGTCAACTTTTGGACCCTTCGCTCAAATGGATTAGAATGTTCAGGGTGAATAGATTCCTATTAGGAACGATGACTTCTAAGGTTTCAGCCTCATAAGCCAATTCTACAACATACTATGCTTATTAGGCTCTGGAAGGAAATGACTTCATTAGGAAATGTATGAAAAAATAATAATAATAATAATTGTAATCCACTGTATTGTTTTAATGTGCAGTACAGTAGAATATGCGTAGTGCAAGTTATAGTAAAAATTTATTGTATAAAATGCAACTCTAAAGAAAAACAGTAGCACCCAGAATACACAAAACATTTTCACAAGTCTGTCTATTTTAAAATCTTTAATTTTCGTTTTAATTTTTTTTTGGGGGGTATTATAGGACATTCCTGGGGATGAAGTCTACACTTTCAAAATGCTAAATGACACATTTCCTCATGCAACATTTCCTGTCGAAAAGTGAAACTGAGAAAATTGCATTTGAAGTTTGAACTTTAGGTGTCTCAGTTTTCTGAGAGTCCTAGGCACACAAAATTCACCTGGAGCATAGGTAGCACCTTCCTCTAAGACTTCTAAAAGTGAAAGGTACTGTCAAAAGGGCACTGCTGAAGAGAACACAATATCGCGTTACCGGGCAGGACCAATTATTTGTAAGCCCTGTTTCGGGTCTTGACCAATAAGATTGCTCATACCATATTTTTCGCATTTTCTTTTTTGCTTGGATGTATGGGGTTCTCCTGGCCACTGATACTTTTAAACGGGAAGCTCCTAGTGGCTAAATCTAGAGCAAATGGCACTTCCAATGAGGACGAGATGTTCCTGCCATGTTAAACGAGCACAAAGCAGCCCTAATTAAAAATTTAAAGATTTGCTCCTATGCTGACACAAAGAAAAAAAATTTTGTGACAAAAATCTCGCATGTTTTTAAACGAGTTTCTGAAGCCATTCTATGGGAAGTTAATAAACATGAATATAACAATTTTCAAATAAGTATTTTTTTTTTTTTTAATTTTGAATCTTGGGGTTGTAGTTCCCCCTAAAGGTGTATCCACACGACGGATCGGGCCGCGGACCGATTGATCACGTGATGCGCGGCCCACGGGCCGCCCGGCTGCAATGGGCATCCACACGGCGGACCAAAAGAGCAGACGACAAAGCGAACGGGCCGGTCTAACCCTCGACCTCACAGCTCCGCCAAACGCATGCAGCGAGCTGCTTTGAGGCTATTTGTAAGGAGCCAGGATGGAGGTTGAACGAAAGAGACGTTTGGCCGCGGTGGTCCTGGCGTTGACTATTGAAGATGAGGAGGACTTAAGTGAACCGAAAGGGGCATGCTGCATGAAGCCCTGGATGTGCAGGAAAGATCGTGGTCTGCATAGTCAACTCTTTTCGGAGCTGTTAGTTTCAAACCCTGACGAGTACCGCCGGCTTCTACGCGTCAGCGGGGAGCAGTTTCTACAGCTCCTGGCGCACGTTGGGCCAAGATGTTCTGCCACAGGGACATCTTTAGATGATTATTTGAGTAGTCGTCGCGACTATTGTTCCACAGAGCGGGGAATTGCTCCATGAGCGCGACTAAGTAAAAAGTTTTATCGTCGCACAACAAGAGGTTCGTCTTCTTCGTCTTCAACAGTTGGCACCAAAAGAAAACGACTTTGGATTCCAATCTAAACAACAAAAGTCAGCTTGTTGCCAGACTTAGCGCTTCAATTATACTAAAAACGCAGCGGTCCGCCGCCAAGGTCCGGGCGAGAAAAGTCGCTTGCATTTCTCAGAAGCGTGGGCCGCGGACCGCCGGCGGACCTCGAAAACCGGTGACGTAAGATCATGTGATGCGCGGCCCGCGGACCAAAACAGCAATTTGGTCCGTCGTGTGGATACACCTTGCACAAACCTTTGGGGAATTAATTTATTTGGGAATTTTAGTTTTTTTCATCTCGTTATATATTTATTTAAAATGGAACGTGTTGAATGACACGTGCCTAATCATTTTGGGTTTGCACTCCTGGAACTGAGAACAAAATGCTGACTTCCAGTCAAATGTTGACGCAGTGCTCGTCTCCTCACTGATTCGACACAAGCGCCAGCTGAACGTCTTGCTCGAGTACATTGGAGGTACTTCCTTCCCGCAGGTGACGTCATGCGCTCAAACATAGAGCGGCGTTCTAGTCCTAGCAATGGCTAGAAGAGTGAGCTCCGGGCTTCCAAGAGAAGGAACACCAAAGAGAGACACAGAAAAGCAGAGAAAGAAAGCAGACGATAGGTTAGGCGCATTCTTTTTGCTGCAGCAAGTTTATGGAGCTTCGAGTGCTTGATAACTTCGTTCCCTTTAAACGACGCGCGACACCAGTGTTTGTGTTCAAAATAAAGCTGAAAAACAACTCGGTATTGACCTTGCGAGTGATCTTTTTCTGCTTCTTTATGTACATTAAAGTGGCTAAGAATGCAACGCAGCAGCGAGTGTCCATTTTGGCACTGTTTCAAAGTTCACGGTCTGTTTCCGCTGCCTTTTCGCCGACAGTGCATAACTTTGTTTTTTTTTTGTCGACAAGGTGCCGCATGGTGTTCTCCAACCTTCTTGCGCTGGTGATGACGTCTGGAGCGGTGCTACTAACCGTGGCGGGGAGGGACGCCCTGAACCCGGGTGTGGTGGGTTTGGTGCTCGCCTACACATTGCAGGTGTGTTACCTTCTCCTCAAGCACTCCTTTTAATTTCTTTTAGGCAATCACTTTGTATGGAAACTGCGCACAGACATTGCTTGCTCGCGTCGGTATTAGTCGCGCCGTAGCCGGGCGACAGACGTACCGATTTCACTTAGACTTTGGCGTCGGGTAGAGTCGCAGATCACATTTTTTCGACCGCACGTTATTGCTCTAATGCAGAACAATTTGGGACTCTGATCGAGCAAGATTGGGAATCTCTGATCTCGACGAAGACCAGCACGTCAAACAAATGCCGAGACGGCATAAAAAAGTTGCGGCTGCTTGTGAAAATAATTTTACTATATGCTCTCGTTCGCGCGGGTTTTTCCAAATGCGCTGAGGTACTCGCAAAATAAGAAAACGCACGTTACTCGGACGGAGCATCGAAAAACGCTCGTCTTGGAGCAGAGTGGCGCCTACTTAGTGGTGCGAGCAAAACGAAAGTATGCACGATGGTGCCCGGCAGAGGGGCGGCATCGCCTCCGTCGTGCTGCTTCCGCCGCTGCTGCGCCGCGCATCCTCGGTTTTGCGCTGAAATAATTTGTTAGTGTGCAACCTTGTGTCCAGATGGCACTATGTGACTATGCTGCTGAGTCCAGGCTTTCTATGCAGCAACACAGTCACGTAGCACCACCCATACAGAAGGTTGCACGCTAGCAAATTATTTTGACCTAAGACCGAGAATGTGTGGGGCGGTGGCGGCGGCGCAGTGTGCGTTCTTGGTCTTGTGCCAGTGTGCGATAGTGCCTCATGACGAGTAGCTCTTCATTCTAAGGACATTTGGAAAGTTGTCACTTTTAGGTCTATTCTTTGGTATAGTTTAGAGTAATGGTGTGGGTTTTCAATCTTTGCACCATTTCTGTCTTTGCCTTTCAGTAGCCGACTGTCATGGAGAGGGAAGGCACTTAAAAACGTGCTGAACATAGTGTGAACATAATGGAAGGTCTCTGGAACTACGATGCAAGAGATCTTGTAAGCTACTGGCTTGCAACAGGGGGAGCTGTTTTAATGAAGTATCAACTTAGAAGATTTCGAGCAGTGCGTTCGGTCGGGTTTCGCTACGTCTATTTAAGGAATTTTGGCATTTGTGAATCGCTCGGCACGAAACATAATCTGATTCAGCTTAGTTGCCTAAGTCGTTGCTTCATTTCATTTGGGGGTTGAAATGTTTCGGCGTGAACGTGTAATCTTCGGAGTTGACGGTGAACAAACTTCTTCCACTTGCATTTAGGTGTCTGATGCAGCGTCCTACACATACAAGATGTTTGCCCTTCTTGAAACAAGCTTGGTAGCCGTGGAGAGGGTAAAGGAGTACTTGCACCTAACGGAAGAGGTAATTTGGTTTTTGTTACTACCATTCGAAAGATCTCTGTGGCAGTGCTTACATCGGATGCCATATGTTTGCAGGAAACTAAGTAACTTCTTGATGTATGCAACGAAGTTCATTGTTTTTGCATGCGTGGACTACTACTATAAAAACAAGAATCAAGTGCCTATCTAATATTTCGAGGTTATCTTTAAAAAACTTGGCGATGGGCATTTGTTAGGTCCGAGAGCAAAAATGTGGAGCAGGCTCAGTGCAAGGTGGGCTTCACTGCTTTGCACCGGCACGTCCACATTAAGTTTAACTGCTCCGTACTGGCTTACTTGACACTGAAAGATTGCCCCACTTTATCTTTTCTCAATTATGATTACAAGCCGGACATTGCTCCGAATATCTCGCTAATCAGCCGCATGTCCTAATCAAGATTGAAACCATACAGCTCTGTTTGTTTGTTTTTTTACTTCCTGCTAACGCCTTGCTCCTGTCACTTTAACTGTACTATTCTTGTTTAAACACACAGTTGTGGGGACAATACTATAATGTAAATTTTTATTCGCTTGTATTTATTTATTACCTGAATTACGGGGCGACTTGAAAACGTGAAGAGAAACCATTTTCCATGGCATATTGGTGGTAGTGCAAATAAAACCAAACATAATAGATGAACTGCATACAGTAATAAAATTCAAGCATGTGCCAAATCCATACTAGAGATATAGTGAACTAAAAAAAAAAAAAAACTGTGAATTAGAATGCTACAAAGAAAAGGAAAGAGTGTTTTACCTCCTTCTCCCACTGCAGCGAGAAAAATAGGTTACAGTAAAGAGAAATTTACATTGAAGAAAGTCTACATGGGTATCGTAAGTCGCCGATAGATGACCAGAGTCGTTCAAAAGAAGTGCACGTTTCAAACTACTCTTTTTTTCGGCAACTTTTTTAGGCACCGTGGAGGAATGCGGAGGTTCAGCCTCCGGCGGAATGGCCCACCCGTGGAGATGTCACATATGCCGACTACAGCGCCTCGTACCGCGAAGACCTCGAAGATGTGCTGCGCCATATCAACTTCACGGCGCACGATGGACAGAAGGTAGGAGGATGCAGAAGTGTTGGTGTCTCAACCCACAAAACTCCTTTTTTTTTTTTTTTTTAAGTTTTTGTTTGACAGGAGGGCAGTAGGAGAAAAAGACTTGGCAGAAAATTTTCGTGCCTTTTGCCCCTTCCCCTAAAAAAACAAAAAATTTTAAACAATGTTAAATAGATTGGCAGACGAGTGCATCTAATTTCATTTTTGAGATCCTTATTACTTTAATAAGAACACATTTCAGTTCATACTTAGTTCATGGGGAAGATTCCAGGCTCTTGGGAGGCCATTTTGGCTTTCGAATCTTGCGGCGGACTTCGAGTTCCAAAAAAACACTCTGAATTACGAGTGCTAAATACCTATCTACTAGATGGCGCATTGGTTCCACGACACATATTATATATTTCCCGACATCTCACCTTAATTTTTTTTCTTTCCTTCAGGTGATTCATATGCGCATGCACGATTTGTAAAGACGTCATTATGCCAAACTGCTGGCCAAGTTCGTATGTCATGTTGATGTTTAACAGTATGCATCTCATATAACCGGGATGAAGATGCCCTAAGCCAAGGTTAACATGTTACTTGCATTTTTTGTCTGACCATGAGCAAAGTGAATCGAAACGTCTGGTGAACTTTGTGTCTGGTACCTTCGTCGTGTTTCGTGTAGTGCCTCCAAGTATGCTTTGCTTGAATCCCACGACAGATTGGTCTTGTGGGAAGGACGGGCGCCGGAAAGTCATCCTTTGCCCTGGCACTCTTCAGGATAATTGAACCAAGGACCGGCTCGATTGTCGTAGACAGCGTGGACATCACCAAGATTGGCCTCCATGACCTCCGCTCGAAGATGACAATCATTCCTCAGGTGAGTTCTGGCGCAACGTTTTCGGCGGCTATTTATTTTTTTATGCACGCTCTGCAGATAGTGTTCCGAGGTGCCGATAAACTAGCCAGCCTAAATCTGCCAATAATGGACCCTTTCCAAACTATAGCGCAATGTGGTAGCTCGAATAGTGGTTTAAATTTTGCCATACTAATTGTCAGGAATGAAGCGCTAGTCTAGTATTTTATTCTGCATCGTCACTTTCGCCACTCAGCGGCGGTTCTTTCTCTATCTCTCAATTTTGGCGATGACAAAGATACAACTGGTCAGAACAAAACACCAAGCCACATAGACACCTCGATCAAATTTTATACATCAAGGGGCTTTCAGAGCTGGTTACGGGCCGCCAACAGGTCGAAAGGACCCGATTTAGAAATTGATGCTCGCGAAGCTCTTATATATTCAATTCCCGCATCGCATCATACTAATGTCTCGAATGTATAGGCCTCGCATCATCCACCTAGGAGTGTCTTCAATGTTTTCTTCACCAGTAATCAGAAGGCTGCCATTAGCGACCACAGTGGCCAAAATGAATTTCGGAAGGGGTCTCGTAGCTGGAGCATGTGCTTTGCAATATCTAAAGAAAAAAAATAGTGTCTTGCGGTTTGCCTACTTGACTTCGGTGTAGTGAGCAGCCCTGAGAAAAGATTTCCATCTTTGTATCACTGTTGTAGCTCTTCATTTTTACGTAAAGGCTTGCTCGCACACTTGCACATGACTACGACCGAGACAAGAGCAGTTTTTAAGCGTCTTGCAATGGCTTACGACCGGATGCGCAGCAATGCAGCCAGTTGTAAGCCGTCCTGAAAGGCTTAAAAGCTGGTCTTGTCTCAGTCGGTCGGAGTCAAGCACAAGTGTGAACGGCCTTGTTTTTGTCATTTTTTTTTTCCCCCTAGTAAAGCAAGCTGTCTGCTGCTGTAATGTGGCCGAAGGCCGGTCGAGCTGCGGCAGCCTTTTTCTTAGTCTGTCATCAACTGTAGTCGCTGACAGAAACGCAGGGCGAGTCCCGGGCATCTCATCGCCTCACAGCCTATGAGAGTACAGCGTCAGCCCATAAGATCGCCGAAAACGAATCGAGATGCCGGAAGCGTGAACATAGAAGGCCACACTCTGTGTTTGCTGTCAGTGAGAGATAAACTGGTTGTTATAGTTATATTTCAAGGACAGCAAGGTGTCAGAAAGCTGCCTAGAAATTGTTAGTACCATATTTAATCTAGGGTAGGCTGACCTTTTTATGAAGGTCTTTATGTCTTCTTTCGTGCAGAACCCAAGGGGACCAATCATTAAAACTTACGAAAGGAGTCATGATGTGGCAGAAGCAGAGTTAACGTTTGGAACGAAAAGAAGAATGCGATCCACATGCAACTCATTTCTGTGTTCTGATGTTATAGGTGCCCTGTCATTCGCTGGGCGTCTTGCGTAAATCGAAATGATTAGCTCTTTTTGAGCGTTGCAGGAAGAGGAACTTTTTCGTGAACAGGTTGACCTTTTTTTGAATACGGCAGTTTTTTGCCTCTTCATCAACTATTGACATATACTCAGCTTGCCCTATCCGTACCATATTTTCCGGACTATAGTCTTCACCCGATGCATAGTCTGTGCCCAGTGCCTTGTCCACACATAAAGTATTCTCGTGCATGGCACACCTCAACAAATGCCTATCTTTATTAACTCGCAAAGAAGCATGTAGCATACATAAATCATCATAACATGCTCCGTCATTCACAAAATCTGTCGCATCTCGTCATACTAAACAATCTTGAAAAAAAGAAATCCTTGTTTATAGTTCGCACCTGTAGATTGTCTGCGCTGCATAGAATTTAAACTTTGGACATGTATACTCCACAAGCTATAGTTGGGAAAATATGGTAGTCGAGCATGTGTCGTCTTCTCATTGCCCGTGTGGCCGTGCGAACGTAGGACCCGGTGCTGTTCGCTGGAACGCTACGCTGGAACCTGGACCCTTTTGACGAGCACTCGGACGAGTCTGTCTGGAGGGCTTTGGAGCAGGCTCACCTGAAGGACTTCGTTGGGCGCCAAGAATTGGGGCTAAATCACGAAATCGTCGAAGGAGGAGACAACCTAAGGTGATTTCTCAGTCTGCGTGTTTCTCAGTTCCTTCACCTCAAAAAAGTTCCACTCATTGTTGCGATAGATGGGGACATTGATTGATTTATTGTCAAAATCACGATTTAATTGGCAAATTAATTGATTGACCAGCAAAATAATCAACGAGTTAATCAATATTACTTTGCAAACAAATAAAGAGGCTTAAAGTAATAAAATGGTCTCGCATTACACATGCTTCTTTGCAAACCTCATTCAATGCTATGTCGGGAAAATGAAGGAATCAATCGACTATTCGATCCATCATCCAATTTATCGGTCCCATTTTATGGATTGACCGGGTGTACAGGAAATTGATTTCACACATGGATTCAAAACATAAGTTGCCCACGTGAGCCAGTATGGTTTTGATCATTTCCTTTGCAGTGCTGGTCAGAGGCAGCTAGTGTGCCTGACGCGAGCTCTGCTGAGGCAAAGCAGGGTTCTTGTTCTGGACGAAGCGACATCGTCGGTGGACTTGGACACGGACCACCTGGTCAAGGAGACCATCCGCACCGAATTCCGCGACACGACAATCATCACCATTGCCCATCGGCTCCACACCATCATGGACTGCGATAGGTGAGTCGAGCTGTGGTGCCTGAAATGCGTCGCCGACTCCGTTTACCCCTAAGCAAATAGTGCGGTGGATGGCTCACACCGGCGGGACCAGTCGACCTCTGTCATTCCGTCACTTCACCCTGCTCTCTGCACTTGGGTACGGGCTAGAGCGTGGTCGTGTGGGGAGGGATAGACGTATGACTGATTCAGTGAGCATGTCGATTCCGCTGCACTGTCAGCTTAGGAACGGATTAGACCGTCCTGTACTGGCCCTTCAGTCACGTTCCCTGATGCAAAGGCAGTACAAGACGGTCTACACTTCTGTTTCGCTGCAATGAAAAAAAACTCTCATGGGAACCGCCATGGCATATTTCTTTGCCATTTCTTCGGCAGTCGGCTGGGACTTACAATTAATCTGTGAAGCACCAATCGTAGACGAGTACCAGCGGGATGCTGATGCATCACTTGTGTTCAATTTGTGCCTGGCACTCGATCGATGCAGACGTCGAAACGAATCAAGTTTGCAGAACTTGTGTTAAATGAACACCAGGCTCTGTGGATAACGAGTCAGACAGACCACCCTCTCTAGTTTTATCTCCTCACCATTAGGCATTGCTTTCAAGTGACTGGAACTGGTTATATTCAGGGACTGTGTCATTCGTTTTGCAGGTAGTAACTCTGTTCATGTTCAACTTTTCAGGATTCTCGTGTTGTCAGGAGGCGAAATCGCCGAGGAGGGTTCGCCCAAGGAGTTGCTTCAGAGGGAAGACGGCCTGTTCCGAGCAATGGCGAAAGATGCGGGGCTCGCGTAGTAATTCATTTTTCACTCGTATTTGTGTCGGATGCTTCATTAGCTCACCCGGGATGAGATTAGTATCTGCTGAGATGGAGCCGTTTTTGGCACCGGAAATGCTGGCATTTCGTCGTGTCGATATTAGTTGACATGCAGTCTTATCTTTAATTTATGTTTGCATGGTTCTAGTTCTCTCTTTCTTTTGGTTTACGTTTACAGACTGCATTCATTTAGCTTTTACGAGAGCGAGGTTCAAAATAAACCTGCCATTGTACCACGTGTCCTTTGTGTACGTGTGAGTATCTGGTCGTCTAGTTGCAGGTTTTGTTTTAAAATACCAGCACTGCAAACAACTGCTTAGCCCAAACTACCAACATGATTTTTTTTTGTTTAACTAGACATTAAGGTTGCCTTAAGCATGCTTCATGACTGTTTGGGGAGAGATGTTGAAGTAGACCTAATTTCACATCCTGCTTTATAGGCACATGATGGACAGCGAATAGCTTTGGCCTCGTCACAGTTATGCCCGGCAGTCGCAAACGATGCACGCGACGGGTTCTAAATCACGGGGCGTCATTATATAACAAATCGGCCCATCTGTAAGCGACAAAGAATGAGCTGCTTTTCTCGTGTCAGTTGGAATGATTATGTGCATCTTTCCTGATGGCCTAAAGTTATCTGGTGTCCCTAGCATGGTATCCAGTTATCTTTAAGTCACAAGCGTTTATGCGGTGCGCAGGTTCGTCTGCATAGACCTCAAACCAAGCTACCTTGAGGTCTACTAACTATTCTTCAATCAGAGCTCGGTGTTCTAACGTCATCACAACCCCTGCAAAAAAAGCAGACGAACTTGTGCATTGCATAAAGCCCCGTTCATAATAGATGGTGACGGTGCAGTATTCTTTGGGTCCAGAGTTGTTGAATGTGAGCAGACACCATAGATGGTGGGTAGCAAATAAAATGGCTCAGTGTCATGTGAAATAAACATCTTTTGATTCACAAGAAGGGGGCTTTACCTCCTGAATAAACAATTTATATACTATGGTACATTGATTTATAAAGAAACTTCCACGTCTTACGGAGAGAGGACGGCGGCAGTAAGTTGGAGAACTGTGTGGTGCAAATGAATGAATTTGTTTGTGATGTACAACTTTTTGTCCTGACGGACCTCGGTAGATAAGAGTAGAATGTCCGAAGCGTATCTTCCGTTGCAGAACGGGCAACAAAAATCGGCGCCTATGCATAGGAAGCTCAAACTTTTACCGAATGTGCACTAAGCAGGTCAGTTTTCTTCTGAAATTTCAAGGGACAGTTCTTTTGTAAAAACTTTGAGCAAAACACTTGCCAAAGTTAAGGTTGGGTGCACTCGCAGAGACCGAGTTAGCTACGCTGATTTACTCATGGTGCCATCTGATAGCCACAGCGAGCGGATGACGGACTCCGTTGTCTGCTCGCAGCGCCTATCAAGAGATGACACCACAACTAGTAAATTACGTTGCTAATTCAGTCTTCTGTGAACGCTCCCAACCTTGACTTTGGCAAGTTTTATTTGGCCTTTGTGGCAAAAGTTACGTGGCCCTACCTAACGGCCTAATGGTAACTTGTGCACGTGCGACATTCAACGAAGTTTTTAGATGCCTACTACTCAACCAAGACATGTAATTATTTTGTGTCTTTTGTTAACTGAGAGCGTCTGCGAGCACAACATCGCTTCGTCAACTGCGCGTCATCGCCGTGACTGAGCCGGCCAAAGCAAAACTGTGCTACGCCTGTTGGATGTAGTTTAAGGAAGGTGTGAAGGATTGTGTCGCCCTTGCTCGATCGTGCCCGGAAAAAAGCGGGTGGCATGTTTTGGAAGACAAGTGAAGCTATCCTGATCGTGACAACGTTGTCCTACCGTGGTGAACTCATGAATGACATTCACATGAATACAGTTGCAGGGGTTGCTGGTACAAACGTCGAAAGGCTATTTTAGATTCTAGAATCCAGGCGATAAGGTAAGAAAACTAGTAATGTGTCCGACTTGTTACAATCACGCGACACTCCTGGGGACATATCCCGTTTGTTCGACCTGTTCTGTTTGGGCAGACGCACACAAGTGCTGTTGTGTTTGACGACGTGGGCGAGTAATAAAATCGAAAGGATATGGTACCAGTGGTTTCATGCTATGTTTCACGTCTTGCTTCAATCGTGTTGTACCTATGTATCTGTCGGCTTGGTCGTCTGCAAAAGTCGGTGAGTCAGCCATAGCTTTCGGACATATCCTGGCAATTTCACAACCTTTGGAACAAGCAGAGTTCAACTGAACATTGCTTTTGTTGCGATGGACGAGTGCTGTGCCGTGAAACTTTCCTCCTGCGCCAAAGCAAAAAAAAAATTAATAAATGTGACTCAGCAAGATTCCAACCTCCGATTTTTACACACGGGCATCTTTAGAGTTTAGGTGAGCACTTGCAAAAAATTTTTAATAAAGAAAAAGAAAAAAAAGTTTCAAGTTGCCACCTGAACAATCTTTTGGCATAAAGACTATTGTTTATAAAACTAAAAACCCCGTTCTAGATACTGGGAAACTATGACAGGTAAGTTTGGCTTCCATCCTTGTAGAAAAAGAATGGGTGTTTCTCTTTGACAGAGTTCCTTACTTGAATATTTGGTTGATCCTGGATTTTGTCATAGAAGACTTGATTGAATCCAATGATATTAGGGGTGGGAGGGCACTCAAAATGGACAGGTAGGAGAACTTTTGAACCACCTCTGTGATTTGAAAAACCTGCAAAAGCCAATAAGACAACAAAGGACACATGGCCACATCGTTCAAATACCAAGAGGTTGGTAAAATAGAAGCCTTCATGACTTGGCTAACGTTTTCAGCATCAGCTGCTGTTCATGAACTTTGCACTACTGCAGGATAAAGCTGTTCATACTGCTTCGCTTTCAGTCATTTGCATGTTGATAGAGATTCGTTGTGTGTTTTGATGGGAGGTGACATGAAAGTTTTGTGAGAGTTGTCACTACAGCTCTGCTCACTAACACCGAAAGAAATGTCATTGATCGAACTTGGGAACCCGTTAAACTTATTAGTTTATTTTGTAGGTTAAAACTGGGTTAAAAACACCGAGAGTGACCTCTGCTGTTCAAGTCCTGTATAGAGTTTTGAAATAATTTCTTCTAAAAATAATTATAGAAAGGAAAGTCTTTAAAGGGACACTTCAACGAATTTTGAAATATTCCCGTCGTGTTCAAAAATGGGTTGAATATGATCCACAATATCCGTAAATGACAATCGCACGTTTGTATTTTGAGCCTGGTGGCTGTATTTTTCGTTATAAACGGCCCGCTCTGGCAAGCGCTCGGAGAAGGCCCAGCGGAGACCACGTGACATCCAACGCAATCGTGACGCAGGTCGTCTCAGGACGAGCAAAGCTACGGCAATGCTGACGTCGAGAGGATGGCCTAGTTGTTCCAGCCACCGAAGCGGCTGCTTTTGTACGAATTTTGAGTGTCGGATTAACCTTCTGTAATCTTGTAGGGGGACAATATCGACTTCTGTGACACACAAAAGGCATTCTCGGGAAAAGGGGAGTTCCTCCTGCCCCTCTTCTCTCGTCGTGGCCGGAGGCGAGACAACCTCCGTCACTAGCTGTCAAGGTTCCTAGACGGGCATTACAAGCGAGGCGTTAGCGACATCCACCAGGTGCTCTTTGCTAATCGTTTAATTAGTTTTAAAATACTTTTCATAACTTTTTTAACAAGATATTGGTATGTTAGATGTGATACTGCTCCTTTGAACTTATATAAACCAAAAAAATGAGCGCCGAAATTTCGTTGTAGTATCCCTTTAAACCACACAGATGAGAACTGGACTGAGGCTAAAAATTATTTGCAAACTGAATTTACACGTTCATTTTTAGCGCACGCAGACAGCACAGTGCTTCAACCGTGATATGGTAGCAGCACATCTAATGAGTAACTATCCTTTCAAGATGTATCTGGCCAAATCCATGCTAGCAGATATTTCTAACCCAGTGGTGCAATGTAGGCTAGAGGCGCTTGCATCAAGGCATGAAGATTCCATTAAGAAATACTTGAGTGTCAGAACCCAGATTGGTTCTCATTAAATTACTTATATGTCTTATTATGATGTGTACCGCTAATAGATCCAGCGGTCCAAACAGATGCAAGGTGAAGACTCATCAACTGTTGCCAAGCCACCATGGACGCTTCAAACAAATATATGAAGAAAATGCCAGCGAGGTGTCAACAAAAGACAAGTACAAGGTGTCACAAAAGAAAATTTACACGGACTTTTTAACCGCAAAAATGAACTAGGCATCGCCGAACGCTCATTCTCCGCCCAGAGGTAGAGGTAGAGGTCACAACCAGATGCCAAAGTTTCAGCCCGATCCGATAACTTAATCAAAAGTTATAAGTAATTTTCTGAAATTTTCAATGCGAAAATGGAGCCCATTTTTGCCCGTTTTCGGTTTCTGGTGCCATAGAGCCCCATGTGTTCGAAAACTCCGTCGGCCGCCATTTTCTCATTTGAAATGGAATGCTCATAGGCTACTTAGTATATACACCAAGTTACGCAATTTTTAGAGCTCTGATAATTGCAATATTCAATTTACGAATTTTTATAATTTTCATCTGGCGACCAGGCAACACTGCTCAAGTTAGTCACACCATGGTGTCCATAAACCACGTGACCATGAACACTCTCATTCTAGGCGCCCCCATGATCGCCCAAGCTCTTCTCGACGCGGTACGAACAAAACCGCTCGAACAGCTCGGTAAACTGAAAGCTATTCTCGCTCTCTCCCCCCGGCCAGTTGACCTTCCAGCCTGCATGCGCCTGAGGAGACATTACCGGACGACGGTGACCACGTCGAACTCTTCGTCGCTGGAGCTCGTCGCCAGCGGGTCGCAGTCAAAATGAACAGCTTCCAACGTCCCTTGATAGCAATCACTCTCATCGCTGCTGCGATCAATGTCGAACACTTCGACAAGGCGATCGATGTTGTAGACGTAATCGTCAGAGACCGGATGCTGGAAACGTGGAAGGTAAACGAGGAAGCTGAGGCTCGATACGCCAAGAGAGCCAAGACTGTGAGTGCGTGCAAGGAGACACCGCGCTGGAGGCTGGCTACGTCATCAGCCTCCAGGTCCGCCCGGATCTGCCCCTCCGAGGGGCCCGCACATAAATCGATTTATCCACGAAATTATCGCGCCTTTTTCAAAACAATTTTAGCAGGATTATAGGAACATACAATGGGTCCTAGCAGTATAGTTATGTAATATTTTATTTTTGGCGCGTCATAACCCCTTTAAGTTATCGGATCGGGCTGAAACTTTGGCATCTGGTTGTGACCTCTAGCTCTACCTTTGGGCGGAGAGTGAGCGTTTGGCGATGCCTAGTTTATTTTTGCGGTAAAAAAGACCGTGTAAATTTTCTTTTGTGACACTCTGTATATATGTCCAGCTGCCTACTTTTTCACAGTGCACCGCTGCACCGTGGAGAAGCGCACTCACTGACACGGCTGCTTGTAAAGCACCTAGTTTATGAACAGTGGAGGCGTATTCAGTGGGGACCTTTAGCAAACCGCTGCCGCACTCTGAGAACCGCACTACCGGAGCCTTTGAAGCACGCTTTTTTGGCGCGCGCCCCGCGGTCAGGGCAACCTCGGGGCGCGCGCCAAAAAAGCATGCTTCAAATGCTCCGTTTTTAACGAAAAGGGTTGCAAGTAAGCTGCTTGTATTCGCGACTCCAGCAAAACGGACGCCGCCAAGCGGGAAAACCGGGAACCAGCCGGTCCAGGTCGCTCCGCGCCCCTCCGCGTCTCTGGTGGCTTTCGCGGAGACGTGTTGTCGGCGCGGTGGCGAACAATGTAATTTGACGAAGGTCCGAATATGTCTTAAGTTTGCCTGAGTGATCATTAGTGTGGTGAAGCCTCAGTAAATTGTTTTCTTCTATTACGCGTTCGAAAGCCCGTTTACTCCACAGCACACGGTCGCGTGCTTTCGATTTCTTGGATGGGGAGGAATCACGGAAAAACTTTTTGATTTCTTGTCTGTCTCAAGTCACAATCAAAGTGACGACTGCTTGGTAACTGATACTGGAGGGAACATCAATGTTGCAGTCAAGTGAATGGAAAGGTTCGATAGCTGCTTTTCTTGAGTTTGGTTGTGTTCGGTTAGCTTCAAGTTTGAGCCACCCACGCCGGTCGGTGCGTTGGCTATTCATCTTGGCTGCTTTTCGCCGAAAAAGCCTCTGGACCACACTGAAGGAGTTGGGCTGATTTCGCAATTACTTGATTCAGGAAAACTTGCTCGCTGCAAATGATGAATGAGGGAAATTATCTGTTTTCAAAAGGTGGGAGACAAGTCTCGCAACGTTAGATGCTGCCACGGCATTTTGACCTATCGCGCTTCCAATATTTATATTACCAGGACGTCGAAGCCAGCAGTAATATACGTCTACATTGATCAGGTTGACCGGCCACAAAAAAATACTAATTTTCTCCGTTCAGGATTCGAAGCAAAGTTCAATGCAGAGAAGTTCTGCGTGGATCTTCAATGAAGACTCTCTTCAGTTTGTCTCCGTGCTGCCGGCTATAGAACCATTTGGCTAAATTTAAGTAGTATGTCTTCGTCTGTCAAATATACTTTTATTCAGCAGCTCACCTAATAGCTAGTCAACTAAGCTCATATTTCAACCCGAAGGATATACTAATATCGCTTTAGTCGAACCATAGTACGTAATATAATACATAACCCGCTCGTCAAAATGACTTCTCGATTGCTACTAAAACCTGAATTGAAATACGAGTATCAGCTGCTTAGTGGGGCGCCGGCGGGTTAACATGCTCCTTGGCTCAAAAAGCGGTTGCTTAATTTTTGTAATTTTCCTGGAGCCTGTGTTGATGGCCGAGCAGACGACTGGAGCTGTTTCGTAAACGCGGATACGCACAAAAGCTCGATTCCGCGGACAAATAAGTCGCATGGTCGAGGCATGCGAGTTAGCTGAAAAGTTACTATCTGTGGAACAATTCTATAGTCATCGCCGCTTTCCTTAGATGATCAAAACTGATTAGTATATTACCGTCTCTCCGGAGCCCATAGTTTCGGTTTTGAACGAAATCTCCGAAACGAAAGTTTGACACGAAAAGAACAAAAAAACACCGGCAAAACAAAACTATGCTTTGCAAGTTTATCTGCACCGAATACACTTCACCGTCTCAGTTCAAATACCTATAAAATTGGGCATTAAACAAAAGAAAATTTGTTAAATTGAACGCCCCACCCATTCAGGCGGCCCGGCCGAGCCGCCGCGACCTGGACTCAGCCGCCATGTTTGTTTGGTGGTGGCGCCCCCTATAGGTCGCTGGAGTCGCGAATTGAGGGAGGGCTGAACAGAGGCTTGGCGTTTCGGGTGATTTGGATGTGCATAAAATACTTTACTAGGGGAATACAGGACACCCCCGAGGATACATAGAAGTCGACAACGAAGAGGAGCGGGTTGGAAGAGAGGCGTCGCCAAATAAACCACTCCACCAGGGTTGGTTATGGCACGGCAGTCGGGAGCAAAAAAAAGTATACGTTTGGTTTCTAATCTAGGTGACGCAAGCTACCGCCCATTATAAGGGGACATTTTTGAGGTACATCTGTAAGCACCTTTGGTTAGCATGCATTTATTCATTTCATGTACTTATCAAATATGCTCCCCCTTTTTTTAAGTTACTGCATAATCAATGGAAAATGCCCCCAATTAAACAAAATTACCTCTACTTTTTAGTCTATTCATACAAATACAAAATAAGTAGACATACGCATTTGGCTGAACGTCTTGTGAATTGGGTAGCATTTTGCGGCACCTAGTTTCTACGGCTTCGCGTCACTCCGGTGTGAGTGATGCTTGTATTTCCGAACACGAGTCTCGTTTAGTGTTACGTCATCGCTATGTGACTGCGTGTGTGGACAGTGGGAGTCGAATGCGTTTGGCGATCTCTGTGGTTTCTGTCGGCGACGTTATGAGGTGTTCAACTACAAAGTGAATTTCTGTCTATAATGGTAAGTTTCACGTCGGCACATTCGTTGCGTACGAAACGGGACGCCACACTTCTTCGAAGTGAGTACTGTTAATTAAAAGCGTAATGCTAGCATCCGCCCCGGCCGGATTTGCGACTTGTCATGTCTCCGTCATAGCCATGCCACACAACCAGCAATCGTTCCTGAGTTCACTGACAGCTTGCCGTTTTAAGTCACACTTCATCAACGTTTAAGGTTCAACTGTGCCCCGAGAGTTCGATTTGTCATGGCACATCTTCACTGTGCTCACAGGTGCTTTGGTAAACCGCCGGTCATAGAAAACGGAACTCTTGCATGAAGCTTACATCAACATGCACTGCGAACTAACGCCGAAGATATTGCATTTCTTTTTTGTGCGCACCTCCGATTTAAAAATTTAGACAAAAGCCAGGTCTATCATTTTTTACTAGCAAATATTTTTTTTTTTTTTTTTTTTCATGGTGGTAGAGGGCTGGACATGGCTGAACTCGTTTATTTTTTTTATTCAAGTCTTTTTTTTAAAGAAAATCAGTACTGTTTATTATATGTCGAAGTTAATCTGTCGATGAGACAGACAGCAAATTGTAAGAAGACAAACTGTCGCTAAAGAATTGTTTCCATCCGAAAAGATGTGGTCAGTGAAAAACGTCTCTCGACAAATGTCTGGCTATGGTCAAAAGTTTCAGACCGGGTTTCAAACCAAACTTCTCGTCCGACGAAACATTAGTAGCAAGATGTTCTTTGACAAAGGGAATCATTAAAAAATGATTCCCAGACCTTTGCCGTGCTCTCGAATCAAACTGTGACGGCAGACGAACACCCTGCCGCACATGCGGTGGCCGTCATTGTGGCGGAGAAATTCCCCAGTCACAACGGCTCCAAAACCTAGCCTATAATGGCTGTCGCTGTAAAAAGAAAAGTTGTTGTTCTATGAAATGTTGTTTGGCGCAACGAATGTCAGCACTGAGCTGTGCTGTGGACGTGTCTTTGTTCCACAGAGGACCTTGTATTGCAGGACACAATGAGTACGACAGGAATCCGCTATTCGAGTTCTCCGCTGCCCTCCCCGATACCCAACCATATGGAGAAACGGAGTGCCAAGGACAAAGGCTCCAAGTTTCTTCGGAGGCTGGTCCACGTGCGGCACATGGACTTCCAGTTTGCCCTGTGGCAGATGCTCTACCTCTTCATCTCTCCGCAGAAAGTGTAAGTACACGGTGCGCGGCAGCACAGAACATACCGCGTGAGTCAAATGAATTGTTGGCGCTTTGAAGGGACTGCATAAATTGGTTTCCCAATGCATCACGCTAAGATTTGGTACAGAGGTGGCCAAAGAGGGTGCATTTTGTGCTGCAAAATTTCAAACAATGAACGTACCCGTGTAAAGCATAAAAAAACGAAGAGTGTGGATTCGCTGCCTGTGGCAGCCATCTGGAAATGAAAGACGTCTGGGTGATGCAACGGATGGCGGCACCTGTTGGCACATAGTCGAAATAGCCCTACAAAGAATATCGGTTTTCGTGTTCATTTGGTGTGTTTTATTAGTAAGAACAACAAAATTGTGTTGTACAGCAAAAAAAGCCGGCGCCGCATTTGACTTAAAAACATTGTCTGTTTTGGAGATTAGTGTTTGCACACCGCTCTTACCCGCCTGCATCTGTTGGCTCTTGCGCACCAATCGAACGCCTTCTGACAGCAGATGGGCGCCATAGATAGTGAAAACAGGCTTTTAATTTTTGACTCTACTCAAGTAAGCTCATTTCTTTAAAACTTCAATACACAAAAATACACAGTCTTTGGCCACATCTGTACCAAATCTTAGCTTGATGCGTCGAAAAGCCAATTTTTTGTGGTCACAGGCGAACAATCTGTTTGACTCAAACATAGTAAATTTGCAGACACTGTAACCCTGGAGCATGGGGAGGGACAGCGCAAACACAAATGCCAAGATCCATAGTGCTGTCCTTCCCCTTGCTCAACTGTTGTAATATCTCTTCCCAACCATCTCTCTTACGTACCTGCTTTGATGATAATAGATATACAGGGTGCTGCAACGAGAGCGTACAGAAATTCTTCGCTTGTATAAATGAACTGTGCATGACACATCGCTGAGACTTTACAAGAAGGTAAACCCGGCAGTGACGACAAAACACCAAAATCCCAGCCCAATAGTACATCTCCTGAATCTAAATTTGGAAGTGATATTCATTGTTTGGTTGCCAGCAAACCCATGCAGAATATTTGACACTACAGATTATAGATGGCACGATCACATGCAGTGCTGGCAGTTATCTTTTCTTCTGATTTCACAAAATATTTAATACTGTCGCTGGTCTACTCCACGGCATAGAAACATGGTGAGCATGCACTTTTTGGGTTTCCCAAACTCGGTTACTTAGAAAAATGTTCTAAAAGTTTTCACAGTAGTGCACTATACTAGAGTCTCTTGTTCCTCTAAAATCAAGATGCATACTAGCATGTAAATGATTTTCAGATTCCAAGAAGTAAACTTTTTAAACTGCTCAATCTTCACATTTCTTTTTTTTCTTTTTTGTTGTAAACTTGTGCAGGGTGCAATGCACTGTGCCAAGACCTCATGCTTTCTAATGATTGTTCATTTCAGGTACCGCAACTTTCAGTACCGTAAGCGTGAGTAACTTTTATTTTTATTTTCTAAATGTTTCCACACTAATGAGCCTCCAATGCCTTATGCACTGTTGTTAGAAAACAATAAGATAAGACGGTAAGGGAAATTATAGAGGCAGACCTGATAAAAAACTACGGGGATCGATGTGTCAGCGTGGCGTCGATCGATTTGGGCGACAAGGAAACACAGTTCTTGCGATCAGTGGCGTGGCATGGGATTGGCTGAATGGCATTATGATGCGGAGTATTTATACCCTTGATTATCTGACGATTAAACCAGTTGAAGTTAGCGCATTGTGTTGTCCTGTTCCTACTGTCGTGAAGCGCTATTATGTTCTCCCAGTAAAACAGCTAGCTCTCAACCAACAACCTCAGTTGAGGTAGGTGCCCACAAAAGTGAAGATGAAGTATCATAAAATGCTGAGCTCGTGCCCATGTTGCAGTAAGTGCTCACCACCTACTTTTAAAGCATTTGAAATATGGGCAAAAAACAGCATTCGTCCCTGCAAACTTCCGAACCCACTGGGCTAACCTCTGTGTCATCTGCTTTTTTGAGAAGCCGGTGCAAAGCGGTGAAGCCTTATGTGCATGTGTCGATGCAATGCGGTGAAGCCTGACGCGAGAGTGCCGGCACAAGACTGGCTTTTCAAAAACGGCTTAAAAAGCAAAGGTACCACCAGACCCCTGTCCTGCTCCTACACCGTCCTGTCCGATCGAAATCGAGGGCCTGCCCTATCACGTTTCCGTTCTGCTTTTCTGCTCTTGGATAGAACAAGTCCTCATCCTGATTTTTTCGTGATTACCTTCAACTTCAATGTGATCGCTCGCACGGTGTTTTATGGTTTACCCCCCCTTGCTCCACTCAAAAAGTGTTCATTCTTTTCTTTCTTTTTTTTCTTTTTTTTTGGGCAATATAGGCACGTGTATTGTTACCTCCAGCATAGTGTATGCATTGCATTTTAACTTTGTGTGGTACATGTAATCCCTCGTAAGAGGAAGGAGAGTCGATTAGGGGGAGAGAGGATGCTACCTACTGAGCAATCCTTATAAAGGTGCACTGTTAAACTTAGCCTCTTAGCCTTTTTTTTTTTTTTTACAGTTCTCGGCTTTAAATTGTTTTTCTGAATTTTTATTGCATGTGCAGCCAGGGTTGCACGTTTCCACCATTGGTTGTCATTTTTAAAAGGCGTGTGCATTAAAACTTTGCAGTACATGTGCTTCCATCTCTGGGCAGCACTTAACTAAGCTCTGAACGAGCTTGGCTCGTCCAAAACAGCCAAGGGGAAAGCAGGGGTGTGGGATGAACACACCTTTCAGTTTCTTCTAAATGTTGCTAATAAGCTTTTTTTTTTTTTTTTCGAAAGTGATTTGAAGCAGCACTGAATTGAGGCACAGATGTTTCAAGAGCCATGCTGATTTGGCAGTTCTTATTTCACACATCTCTGCTCTCTTTTCTTTTTTTCAGAAACAAAGGACCAGTTTGCAAGGGACGACCCTGCATTCCTGGTTCTTCTTGGACTTTGGCTCATAGGTATGGCCACACTTTTGACACCGTTCTAATTTGTTTTCCTCTACCATTCGCTAAAGGGGCGATAAAGAGGTGTCCGTGTTTGTCTTTTCATGGAGATATCTCATTCTGCATGCTCTAAGCGTCCTAAAAGTACAAAAATTCTGGCCTCAAATGACCTACATTGCTTTTAGAAAATGTCTTAAAGGTTGCAACACATGCCTTTTTTTTTAAAAAAAGGTAATAAAAAGAAGGCACATGCTGTGACTTCTTTTCGTCAGATCTTAAATAAGAAAATATAGGTTGTGTATTATCGCAATTTTGTGAGGTAAGCGAGTCTGTCTTCGGCGTCTCGTTGACGCCGGGGGGGGGGCATACAGCAAAAACAGAAACTTGTGTACCCGGTTTTGTGGTAAATTCCTCACACTCGATACCTCTTGGCACTCGTAAGTTTCCAAGTTTCGTCTACGTCTACAGTTTTTTTGTTGTTTTTTATCACCGCTTTCTTCAACGACGCGAAGTTGTAGTGTCAACTTTTATTGCAGCTTCTTCGGCAGTCTTTGTGCTTGTCCTGGGCATCCACTTTCTCGGGTTCCTCAAGTTCCTCCTTTGGGTCATCTTCATCGATTGCATCGGTGTTGGAGTGCTCATTGCCACTGCACTCTGGTGAGAAAATGGAAATTGAATGGCTATGGTTTCATCCATACATGCAGTTGCACTTGCAGCATAAGGTATGCAGGTGCACTCGGAAGCACAGCCTTCGCAAAAAGAGGCTCTGTCCCCAAAGTCACAGGGGAAAATGGTATTGCTCCGCCACTCCATAAAAAATGCACCATTTCTCTGATGTTGCGTAAGGGGATGCTGCTAAACACGCGCTCCTACACTCTGTTTTAGCATTTACAAAATTACTACCTAGCGTGCCATTTACGCAGCTCGTCGTGTGCACGTTCGTTGCTTCGGAAAGTAGGCAGACCGTGCATCATGTAGACAAATGCTGTAGCTGGCAGTGGTCTATAATCTTGAGGGTCTATAACTGTCTGTAGCTTGCAGTTAATTGGAAATCGGTGTTATTTATGGCCAGGTCCTCCGACTTTTTCATTTCTTTGACCTTTCTGTGATTGGCAGTAGAGGAAACCTTTTTGGGCCTCGGCATCAATGCAATAAAGCGGAGCAAAAGTGTATGTGCCTTCTAAACAGTAATTTGGGGGAGTGAGTTGCTCATTGTCATGAAATGGGTGGATCAGATTTACTAAAAGAGTGCATAAGCCGGATTCACAGGGTGCGATTTTGCTTGCGATTTAGCAGTTGCGACGTCGCTCTTGCGGCAAAGAAAGTGGCGGAAGCTGCGGTGCTCACAGCTGCACTCCCGAAATTGCGAGTAAAATCACATCGTGTGAATCGGGCTTTATACAGGGAAAGCATTATGTAGGGACAGAGACGGGGTGCATACCAGCGAGGGTACCCTGGCATGGGGAATTCGGGAGAACCCATGGTAGTACTGTGGGGGAACTCTGAGGAACCATGAGGGTGTTCTGAGGGACCCATGGGGAACTCTGGGGAATTCATGATGGTATTATAGGGAACTCCTGAGCTCCCAGGAACCCAGTTTGAGATTCCATGATCTGCGGCAGGGGTTCTCAACCTCATAAGTTTCAGGGACCCCCTTTCGGATCAGTGGAAGAGATGGAGGATCCCCATCCGCCTAGGGTGAAGGGAAATTATTGGACATTTACAATGGCAGAAGGGTAAAGAAAATTAAATTCGTGCAAACCAAGTTTGAAGTTCTGAAATGAAGAATGGTAATCAACTCTACTCATTTGATGAGCATGGTTTGGTTTATTTAGCTTAAAAAAGAACAGCAGCAATGAAAAAAAAAAAAGGATTATTGCTTGACTTGACTGACAGCTGAGGGCTTTGAGCGCTCTAAGAAAGCCCTCTTCAGGGACCCCAAGGGTTTCACGACCCTTCAATGGTGAACCTCTGGTCTATAACCTCAAATGGTCTATAACCTAGAGGGGCCTATGACTAGGGTTCCCTGTTTTCAAAATTTATTTTTCTGCAAATTATTTATTTATTTTTTTGTGTTTAGTGCCAGGCAAGAAATTGGGGTTGATCAGTGCAAATGTTACAAAACAACTGCATGCTATTTATAAATTTGTTACCCCCGCCCTTGTGTCCTCTTTCCCCCCCCAGTCCGTGGAACTTACTGTAAAATACCACAGAAGCGCCCACTTCGTTCAAGTGCCTGCTATTAACATTTCCTAAACTTTGAAATTCTGTAAATTATATGTTAACCGCCTGATTTGGTGAGACAAGTGCCCATATCTAGATTAACCCAGTTTTCAGTGAAAAGGGAGTGGGCTCTCCCCCCGGATTTTACAATACTCCCTTGAACCACATACTTAAAAAAACATCATCAAGGTACCCTAGAACAGAGGGAGACGGGGCCAGGGACGTAAGAAAGAAGCAACCTCAAAGACAGTATAAATCGTGTCCAGGTTCACAAAAGAAAAAAAAAAAAAAAGTTGCATATAAAAGTTTTTTTTTCCAAACCCAAATATTTCCCTAATCAAGGACAGCTTCGATTCGGGGGCTTTTGGGTTTTCTTCGGTACCGAGAGAACCACTTTAGGAGTCATTTATCGGGGGTGTTCACTGGTATTTACCGAAAGCACGGAACCCCACCTTTAACCAAAAACAGTTGCTTGGAAATTAATGTTGTATAATCTGGGAACTCGTCAGCGCAGTGGTGTTTGCACTGCGCACTATTTTACTGGAAGAAGGCCGTCGGTGCACCAGCCCTCTGCTGTGTGGGTGGATCTTCATTTTTTGTGGGCTAAAATCTTGCGTTGCAACCAACTATATGTTCCGTCTAAAGTAGGTTCGGGTTTTCACAGTTTCCTCTTCGTGCGTGCACGTGCCTTGTGTTCCCAGGATGGTCAGCAACAAGTACCTGCGGAAGCCGACGTGCCGAACGGAAGATGTGGAGTGGGGCTACGCATTTGATGTGCATCTCAACGCCTTTTTCCCTCTGCTCGTCATTCTGCACGTCTTCCAACTTTTCTTCTTCAACGGTGAATTGCGGCTGCTCTGCTTTCGCATCTCTCTTCTTCTTCGTGTATGGCCAGAAATCATTGTCGCCGTTGTTTTTAAACACTCTCCCAAGTTTTCTATATACGTTGTAAGGGATTTTTATTGAGACCATACGTTGCAAAGATGTGTCCGAAACGGTTTCTCAAAGGAAAGCGCCCATGCACATTTTATTTCATATTTTGCAAAGTTGTTAGTTTTAACATTTCTAAATTTTGTAGCCTTCTCAACCTGGAATATCTCTTTAAAAAATATGAATATGGTATGAAATTCAGTCTCTAGTTGCTTAGGAAACAACATTTTTTTAGTGTCAGGTGTCATGTTTAAAGTGTGAGAAACTGTGGGAGAGATTTTTTCAGCTTTATTCCCATATATAGTTTTTAAAAGATATTTATTTAGGAATCACCCAAATGGCCTGTAAGGAATGCCCAAATTAAGAAGTTAAATTTTGTAATATCCCTTATTTGGAAAATACATATCTTAAATATGACTGCTAATTCAAAATCAGCGTTAAGAAATACACCTACATGCTGGATTTGAACGAGTTACAATTAAAAAAGAAAGCTTGTTACCAGAAGCTAGGTGTGCAAGCTTCATGCTTTGACTTTACCTGCTATCATGGTGGGATTTATGGATGCATATTGCTCGGTCCTTTTAATTTGGTGACAGCTTGTGCCACCTAGCTGATCAAGAGTTAAACTTTTTTGTATACTATACAAAACATTAATGTAAAGCCTCTTTAATAGTAATACTGTTAAAGCTACACACTTGTACAAGCCCTGGCCTGCATACCATGTATGCGGGCTTGCACTCCACCTTTATAGAAATTTGCAATACACGTAGTGAAGTAACTGGCTTCTGGGGGCCAGTAACTCAATTTAATGATATATATCGATCCACCAAAAGCTATAGCGGGGTAAGCTTCCGTCAATCACATCTGCTATTCTGCCTGTTTTTATTTCGCAGTGTTCATCCAACACCCGTGGTTCATCTCGCGCCTCTTTGGAAACACGTTGTGGTTCATTGCCCTGGGCTACTACATCTACATCACGTTCCTTGGCTACAGCGGTGAGTCCTTACTCAAGTCGACAAGTATGGGGCACCTACGGCGGCGATGCCGATCTAAAATAGTCACCGTCGCCTTTCAGTCGTAGTAGACTCGACGGCAATGTGTCTAGGAAAAGCTTGTCATATTTTTCGTCTGCGTTTTCCTCGCGTTTGCATTCCCTAGAAACCTCCACGATACGAGAGCTTCACATAGATTTGATGTGAACTGTAGGTCGAGCGGGGTAAAAGTTAGCGAAAGACAAATACCTAAAGCTAAGGCCAAGGAGAAGGTTAAGAAGTGGACAAAACAAGCGCTGCCGCACTTCGTCTCGCCGTAACTTGGCAAACAGCGAAGACTACGGTCCTTTTGAGCCGATCAGCGCGTTCACCAGGTAGTTGCGAGCAGTGCAGTCAAAGCCATGGCTGGATAGGGAGGGAAGCCGCTTTTGTATGAATTTCGAGTGATGGGCCAATCTTCTAGGGCGAGGAAAGCAACACTTGGGGACAGGCAAGAGAGGTCCAGGTAAGAGAGGAGTTTCTTCTCTCCCACTCCTCCAACTGCCTGGGTTACGCTCTCGCACCTTTAATGTGGGCCGTCACGTGCTTCGCCTCTGTCGCTCCAATTAGTGTAAAGGGGACAGTGGCGTTCACTCTTTGCCATGTTACTGTAAAAGGAAGCATAGCAGCTGATGTTTTTGTGCACGAGAAAAGAAGGCAAGAAGGATGTGAGTGGTGTGTGAACGTAAAGGATAGGATCTGGAAAGAAAACAAATAACGCCAAAAGATAGCCCACTTTTAGTGATACGTAGTAGTGTTGGGACCAACGATGGCCTCGGCATAAATGCGGCTAGTTAGCTATGGCGGGATGTAAGCGAACATTGCTGACTGGGAAGTGCAGTCATCTTTGCTTCGTTGCCCCTCACCACCACAGCAAGTACTTTTACTCTTTGCGTTTTTTTTTTACCCTTTATCTTCGCACCGCTACTCGCGTCCTTGTCTTTTTTCTCGTGCAGTCTTGCGCATGAATTAAATAGAGTAAATATTTCCTCGTCGTGTCAAGTAGTTCCTAGGGTTTCTGTCCGTGATGGCAACTGTCGGGAAATAACTTTGTGGTCAGAGCCGTGGCCTCCGAGAGTATTGGTGCTTAAAGCTCTCCTCCGGCCATCCCATACGCCGAGATCTTAAAAATGGCTCATGGCTGTTCCCGCTGTGCAGTAGTGCTAGGTTCTGAGCCGCAAATTGTTGTCACGGGGTTTGCATGGCTAGCTGCCTGGATGGTTAAAATGCGCTCGCACGCATGGCTTTTTCAAGGAAGTGGTAGGTTGAAATCCGAGTGTTGCTGTTTCAAAACCGGGAAAGACGGAACAACTGCATGCCTATACCCGTCTTCACCTCAAAAAAAAAGCAAGTTTTGCGCATTGTTCATAGGCGGCGCGAAGTAGTTCTTACGAGATTTGCTTGTCGGAGGAAGAAGCCATGCTTTTGGCATTTGAAACGCGTGCGTCTTGATAAGATAACATATATCTAATCTAAAATGGCCCTACATATACCGTAATTCTCAACATAATGGGGGTAATTAGTAATACTCCACGAGGAGTGGACTTTTTTTACTTCGGTTCTTGAGGTGAAAACGGGTATAGTTGTTTTCAGACAAACTGCGCTCCCAATAATTTTGGCCAAAAAATAGTGACGAGTCTGTCTCAAAAAAAGTTTTAACCCGAAAATATATATATTTTTTTTTGTTAGTCTGAGCAGGTGGCATGTCATGCTCATTATTCCCTTGCAGTTCACGTTACTGAATAGGAGGTAAGAAAGGTACTTTGGTCTCGTTATTCACTTGGTACATGAAATTGCTTTGTTTCTTTCGTGATATTCTTGCTCGTCTAATTTTACCTATTGTTACTGTTCTGCCGATTTTTGCGTTTCTCTCAAGTGTTCCTCCGATGCTGTCTCACCATTCCTCTACTATCGGCAGGGCTTTGGCGGCTTCGGCCTTTCGCTGCAGTGAAATTTTTCGCAGCGACCTCTCCCACTGTTTACTGATGATCAGGGTCGGCTTGCTAAAAGGCGCGTCCTTAGCAAAGGCTGGGCGAAAGAAAGCACTGCCAGAGCAGTGCGCGAGCGATTGTCAGTTCAAATTAAAACCCCCCATCAATAGACGTCTTTTCTTGCTTTCCCAAGCATTGTAACAATGTTATTATTGATGTTTTTACTATCGGATTCAGAGTGTCAGTAGTGGCTTGTGGCATCTTTTGCAGCACTTCCAATTCTGAAGAACAGCCAGGTGTTCCTCTATCCGCTGGTGCTTTTGTTTGTCATCTACCTGTTGACTTTGGCAGGCAACATCAACCTGTGTAAACTGCTGATGGACTTCTACAAGTTTCGGGTCATGTGAGCCAACCGATTTGTGTGTTGTGTCATCGTCAAGAAGCTGCACACTCTGGGCCGGGCGATCCTGGGTGTTGTGCGCATGGAACATTGAGGTGCTCCAACCACCGACCATGCTGTGTCCGATGTGTCTTTTCAACAATGTGGCTGGGGATAGTGCCTCCGTTTAATTGTCTGTATATGCATCTAGTGAACCAATAAAGCCTGCCTTTCTACGGTTTGTGCTGGATGTCTGGCTTTTCAGGGCTGCGACTGGGCGTTGGCAGCTATCCACTCTTTGTTTGAAGGTTTGTCTGGATATCTCAGCTGTCAGGTTTGTAAGAAAGGTGACCAAATTGAACTGTACATCACGACAGTTTGAGACTTCACCCAGATGTAGCTGTAGTGGTTTGAGATAAGATGCCAAAGTTTCTGGAACCTAACGCTGTCCGTTTCAAAAGTTGGAGTCGAATTTCTGAAGATTTCAGTGAGAAAATGCTGCCGGACTAAGCCTGTCGATTATTGACGACTAATATTGTCTGCTTTCAATCGAACCCTGGCATCTTTTTTCTATCTGCTAAGGTTGGTTTGCGCATTTGTGTTTGACTGCTTTACGTAAACCTCTGACTGCGCACGACGAGATGACGCACTTGTGCCATTTATTTGCTTAGCCTTGGAACACAGCTCCGACCTGCATATGACTAGACTGAAGGTTTTGGAGTATTTGCGAGATCGTATCTGCGCACAATCAATGAGAAATGATTGCTTGGAACATTTTCGGAACTTTTTAAAGGGGCGATGCAACGATTTTTGTATTTTGCGCAAATACCGCTTAGAATGAATCCCTGACGTTAATGACCTGTAAAATACCCGTTCGTCTTTGACTACAAGCTATCGAAGTCGCAGAAAAAAATAAAGAAAAAACGAGCAGAATTCATCCTCTCAACTCGCAGCCAGAACAAGCGGGCACGTGATCTGGAGCCAATGTTGATCATAGCCATGCGCTGGGGTTGGCAAGGCACAGGACACGCGCTGAGTTCCAGGCACTGTTATGGTTCGGCTGTTGTCGTCATTGCAGCGATTGGACACAGGACACTACCCGAATGCTTCTCGAGCTATAGATTATCACGAGCCCAAATCGAGTGCCCACGCAATGCTCGGGTCCAATCTATGAGCCGCATTCAAATATCGTCACCGGGCGGTACTGCTACCGCCGAGCTACGTCATCAGGTTTTACGAAGGAGAGATTGAATGAAAACGCTCGGTTTTGTCCTCAAAATTACAGCGCAAAAAAAGAGTTTCTTGGTCAGTGGCATTGCGTGCGAGTATCCTTGAGTCCCATTAGTGCCAGTAAGCTCGTGTAAAGTGAAAAACATTCCAATTGAATATTGTTGCACTGCCCCTTTAAGCCCTCGGTGAAACAATGATGCATAAAAAATGATCCAGGGTTACACGATGGATGGCGCCAGCATGTTATCTTGTGTCGTAAGCAGTTCTAATCAAACGTAAACGCGTGAACCTGCCTTGATTTTTGTATCTTGACGGAGTTGAAGCTCCATGATGCGTAGCGTCTGTGTCTAGTAGTGCAAAAAAACATGTGTCGCTCTACGCAAACAGGTCATAAAATGTCATCACACACAGCGGTTCAACTTGTGTCGTTGCTGCGCACCTTGAAGATGATGATAAAAACCACGTATTTTGTGTTGAGTTTTTTTGCGTCGTAGATGTAAGAGACGGAAATATTTCGCCAAACACGCATTGTGAGAAATTTGCAGCTGTGAAAACCGATAATCGATCGACCATCGGCTGCGCCAGAGGTTCTTCAGTAACCTAGTGTTGTGCAAAGTTGCACAATCTTACGTGATAATTTAAAAAAAATATGTACAGGGTGTCACAAAAGAAAATTTGCACGGTCTTTTTTGCGGCAAAAATAAACTAGGCATCGCCGAACGCTCTCTTCAAGCAGCACTCTTCAACATCGATGTTGGGGAAGCGAGTATGTTAGCGTGGAAACTGACAAGACCGAAGACAAAAACAAACATAAAGCACAAATGAAAATAAAGATTGATTTGATTTATTGTGTGTGTGTGTGTGGGTGGGTGGGTGGGTGGGAGTGAAATTTGTGCAAGACTTTGTCTCGTAAAGCGCGTAAGGGTGCGGGGCATCGGAACCGAAACAATTCATACGACAAGAAAATGAGACTTCTGATTTCTTAAGATTTAAATAAACTCCTATTCAAATACAATATAGCCAATTACAAGAGAATTTAGGTCTCTTCGATTATTTTAGTTAAAACTTGTATTTTATGCTTGGTATCTAACAGGCGAAACCGAAAGCAGGCCGAGCAGCCATATCGACATACAACAGCCACAAGAATCCAAAGTCGAATCCAATCCAAGGTATGGGGCAGTGGGTGGGCTGCTTGTGACATGGGGCACGGGTCGTAATGGGGTCGCTTTAAGAGGAAACAAAACGTCACGGCAGAAATTCGAGGAGAACCAGACCCCGAAACTCAACGGCTGCGACCGCCGATGACCCACGGCATGTCCTCTACGCGACACCGGAGCCGCAAGGCGCACCCTTTGACAGCGCAGCGACATGTGTTGGCCTCCGCTCATAAGTCCACGTAGCTCGCGTACGAGATGACGACACAGCCGACGCGAAGTTCTCCCGTTTTCGTCGACGGCTGATCGTCATGTGCCGGGCGGCGCGAGCCTCGCTCACCATCATCGCCGCGTTGGTCAGCCTCGGCCTACCCGCTGCGAGCTACGATGTCTTCTTCTACAAGCCGGGCTTCTACGACCGCAAGTACGGCAGCTTCCCCGAGAAACTCCGCCTGGAAATGGCGCAAGAGGCGAAGCTCATGTTCGAGTTTGCTTATGACAGCTACATGAAGTACGCCTTCCCCAAGGACGAGCTGAACCCCATCTACTGCACAGGCAGGGGTCCCGACTACGACGATCCGTCCAACATCAACATCAACGACGTCCTCGGCGACTACTCGCTCACCCTCGTCGACGCCTTGGACACTCTGGCGGTGATGCGGAACGTGACGGAGTTCAAGCGCGCCGTCCAGCTGGTGCTAGACAACGTCTCCTTCGACAAGGACAACGTGATTCAGGTGTTCGAGGCTAACATCCGGCTCCTCGGCGCCCTGCTGTCTGCTCACCTCCTAATCACCGACGAAGAGCAGCCGTTTGGGGACCTCCGACCAGATGGCTACAAGGACGACCTTCTAAGGCTGTCCAATGATCTCGCCACCAGGCTGCTGCCGGCCTTCAAGAACACGAGGACAGGGATACCCTACCCTCGCGTCAACCTGCGGACTGGAGTCCCGCCTGGCGTTTCAACCCACACCTGTACCGCGGGTGCGGGGTCGTTACTCCTAGAGTTCGGAGTCTTGAGCAGGCTGGTTGGGAATAAGGTCTTTGAGACTGTGGCCCGGAGGGCCACAAGGGCCCTGTGGGACCTCAGGGCGAAGGACACGGGTCTTCTGGGCAACATCGTTGACGTCAACACCGGCGAATGGATCGGGAAGATGAGTGGCATTGGAGCAGGCTTGGACTCTTTCTATGAGTACCTGCTCAAGACCTACATCCTGTTTGGGGACGTTGAAGACTTCCGCATGTTCAACGAGAGCTACAGCCTTATCAAGCAGTACATGCGTAAAGGGAGGCTGCTGTGCAACGAGGGTCGTGGCGATCATCCGCTCTACGTCAACGTCAACATGCACGATGGCTCGACGTCAACCCTGTGGATCGATTCCCTCCAGGCATCGTTCTCGGGCATCCAGGTCTTGATGGGGGACATCGAGGAAGCCATCTGCAGCCACGCTCTCTTCTATGCCATATGGAGGCGGTTCGGGGCCCTCCCGGAACGCTTCAACTGGCAGAAGGTCTCCCCTGACCTGGCCTTTTACCCGCTCAGACCCGAGCTGATAGAGTCGACCTACCTTCTCTATCGGGCGACAAAGAACCCTTTCTATCTCCATGTGGGACGGGACATCCTCCAGAGTCTTAACAACTTCACCAAGGCGGACTGTGGATATGCGACCATACACAACGTCCAAGACAAGTCACTCGAGGACCGCATGGAAAGTTTCTTCCTCAGCGAGACTTGCAAATACCTGTACCTCCTTTTTGACACTGACAATCCGGTGAACAAGCGGTTCGCCAAATACGTCTTCACGACGGAAGGGCACATCCTGCCGATCATCCGCCTCTTGAGGACAGCTGCTGAGCAACAGGTGAAAGAAGACATGCACAGTGTTGTCAGCAGCGATGTACCTGGCGTGGCGTCTACTGTGATTTCTAATAGGAGACTTAACGAGACGGACCGACAGTGCGGAAAAGTGCCTGATGAAAGGCAGTACCTGCTGCCGCTTAAGCACAACTACCTCCAGCAGATCAGCCAGTCGCTGGGACTGGACAGGGATGTCTTTTAGGCATTCCGTGCTTTGACGAGACTGCGGAATAATGATCACTTGTGTGCCTGCATTGACCAAGCAGTTGAGCTGCCTGTGGTTTTTTTAGACGAAGCTCTGCCTGGGGCATGTCACTGAATTAGAATGTGGAGGTTCCTAGTTACGGGGAGATTTTGGGGCCAAGAAGAGCTGGCACTGAACAGGCCTGAGGTGCTTTGACTGTATTGGAGCAAAATGTGTGCAGTCGTGCATGTGGGAAGAAGGTGCCAGCTTCTTATAAAATTGCATTTGGCCGATTTGGTGATCACATATTTGTGGTACTTATGCACAAAATAGTGTTTTGCTCAATATGTGCAGATATATGCAAAGTCATACCTTAAGTGCAAAAAAAAAAAAATAATAGAATGAATATAATGCATATAAATGCATTGCCATGTTTTCATCTACATGTGGGTTTTTGATTTGTAAAGGCGGTACTTGGCTTTTATTCCTCGGCTTCATGTTGTCACAGTCTGGCTTGATTGAGTTAAGAGGAGATATTGTTTTGGTGATATGAAAATAAATATAATTTTCTCTAGAGTCGGCATCCATTACTTCTCACTACTTTTTATCGGTGATTGCTCTTCACAGTGCACAAGAACGGACACACCTCAAAAGTTCACTCGCACAAAGAAATCGTGAAAATAGCTGAACTGTTCAACCATTCGATGCGTTCTTCCAGTGGCGTAATTTAGGCTCGGCTTATTTCTTCTCGCGTAGGATAAAACTGCTCTTTAAACAAACATGAAACAATACTTTTGTTTTTCGCATCATTACTTTAACCGCACCAACTAGATGGCGCAGTACGCCGCCCTATTAAGGCGTCCACGTTATGGTTTAGACGCTTACATAGTCTACACTTCACGTATACTATGTGTTCATGTATCTATCCACACCGCTCTTATTCAGCGTGACTGGGAGAACTCGAGCGCTCGATCTCTCAGTGGCGTTTAATTAATTCTATTAATCAGTTTGTGCCTGTCCGAGACAGCTGCCATTGTGGCCGATGTGGTGCTCGCAAACTTGTGCTGCCGTCTGCCATGCTGCACTTTCTCGGAACATGGGATACCGTCAAGAAGATCGTGACCTCAGCAAGGAGTGATATCAGCTGTTTTCGGTGAACCTTGGGCAGTCCATGAATCGCTGCTAACTCGTGTTTCGGTGCTGACTGGATCTTACGCGCCTGATATCGTAAAGCATGACCTCCCAGAACTAACTACGGATAGGAGGGTTGGATTGCCGGACGCTAAAACCCCAGGTAACTAAAACACTTCGTGGTTCCAGAAGCGTGAAGATCACAGGATATTTGACGCAAATTCAACTTTCTGTTTTCTTCTTATTAGGTGCCGGAAACTAAGATATCAAAATAACTTAGATCAAACAAAAAACAACTGTTTTTTTGTGTTTTTTTACTAATTAATTTTTGATTGCCGCTCTTTCGATCCCCCAAACAAGATTGTTTTAGGGCCGCCTTAGTAGTAATTGTAACAAACTCGCGATGTCGCAATTTTCGTGGTTATATTATCTCTCATTTTGGTTCTGGAATGCCTACGCGCATTTAGATAAACTAATACACAGGCGACACAGGTGACACAAACGAAGAAGCTTTACCTGTGTTGCCGTGTCACTCTTTGCTCCTTGTTCATTCTCAATTCCCAGCATGTTGTTTCAGCATCGGTTTTGCTTCAACCTATCACAGAGCATTCCTGCTTTGGAACTAACCTTGATCAAATTATCTACAGGCAATGATTGTAGATCTATTTCTTTACAAGTATCTCTTGATAGAAACCGGCTGGTTGCTGTAAGTGGTGACAAAAATGAAGGGATGAATAGAAGTTAAATTTTATTATTGTGAAACATTCTTTGGCTAGGTGTTCAGCATTTCGTGAAGCCCAGATAAAGGCGTGGCCGTGAATCTCGACGCTGATTGGTTAATGGGGTGGTCATGTGACTAGAGGGGTCGGCGAGGAGGAGCTCAACCACCTGTGCGCACCGAGGGAGAGGAGCTCGAGAGTGTGGAAGGCTCTGGAAGATTGCCATTATCGGCCCAATTAGCGGTAGTGCTACATTCTAGGAACGACTATCAAGTGTACACATGGTATGCGTTAAACTATCTGATGAAGAGTGTCGTGAACGTAAGTGTCTGGTGTCTGGAAACTCAGAGAGTCGCTAAACATTTGTGGTGCATGAACATTTCATGTATGCAACTCAATTTCTAATAATTTGCCATAATCTTTTCAATTGGCTCAAACATTTGTTAATTTAGACCTAAAATTACTCTTCGGATAGGTGGCGCAAGTCAACAACCTATTAAAATAACATCTGTCATGCATCCATTCATCCATCCATCCTGCATTGTGTATAAACTAAAGGTGTTTTGTTCATTCTTTTTTTAGCGTCCAAGATGCATCGGATCCTCGCAGGAATCGCAAAGTCCGATCACCCCGAAGATGTGAAGCAGAATCTAATCGAAAAGAAGCTGATACCGGCAGCGTCTCAGCCAATGGCTCCCGACGACTGCGAGTCGCTGCTAGAGGTTTCGTGGAGCCTTGCTACCACTGGAGAGACAGAATTCCTTCAGAATGGGGGCATTTCGGTGAGCAGCTTTTTTGGTGGATGGAGAGTGCCATCCGTTGTTACGCACGCTTACATACTGATGCGAATTCAGAGCGTAAATGTAAAGGCAGGCTGGAGGTCCACACCTTTCTCTTCACCGCAAAATAAATGTATAATGTAAGGGCTGGTTCACAAGCTTTCATTTTACTGTAAGCATGTGACTGCTTACGATGAGATGACGCACTTGCACCATCTGTTGGGCAACTCTGGAGCTCTTCTGATCTGCGTGTATTCTCCATCTTTTTTCACGTGGGCCTGAAAAATATTTTGATTGTTATAAGTGTCTATTTCTCATAGATAGTGCGAGATTTGATTTTGCAAATACTGAAAAACATTCAGGTCAGTTGTGTCTCTTGTGACAGTAAAGTCGGGCTCCATTGTCTGTACTCTTGGCATTTATAATCAAAAATAAATAGTGCGCAAAAATACAGACAGGGACAAAGGAAGATGCAAACAACATTTTTATGTTTCTTTTTATATTTTCATATTTGAAAAATATAATTTTTATAATTTTACATTATCCTATAATTAAAAAAAATCTGAATCGTTGTTAAATTGAGAGCAGGACATTTTTTAAAGTTATTAGTACACTGCACGTGCAGATGTTTGATGACTTCAATATTTACTTTTCCTGGGGTAGCAATTTTGGCCCGATAGAGAAAAAGGGGGCACTTTCGTTGCATGAAACCGTCACAACAACCTTCGGTTCTTTCAGTATCCTCAATGTGAGACCTCAGTTGCTCAAAAGAGATTCTCTTTTTTTTTTCTTTTCAAATGAATTGAGGTGTGGATGAGTCAGTCAATTCATTCAGAAACTACATGTGCAGCTCGAAAGGTTACTGACAAGGTGTTTTGTCTGGCCACTCTTTGCTAAGGTTTTCACAGCATTCTGTGAACATCACAAGAGTGCACTGGCGCAGTTCTTCACCCAGTCTCACCTCATCACGGCCCTTACTTCACCAGGAGTCATTCACAAAGACAGGTACGACCCTACGACCCTCCACTTCGTAATCATCTGGAGCTTTTCGTTTTCTTTGTATCTCGTTACCCTTCTGCTCCGTGTGGTGACGAAAATTTAATTATTTTCGAGCAAAATGTTTCTGCCACAAGGAAGACTGAATAAAACAAAGAGATTGTTACAACTCATGATGGCTGACTAGCTTATCTAACTTTCTTGCCACTGTCCCCCTAGATCAGTAATACCACTGATTCGGGACTGGCAGGATACTTGAGAAATAAAAGTATGCGCCCAACAAAAGTCCGAGAGACAGTTCTCCTCAAATTTGTGTTTTTGTGGGTTTAACAGATTTTATATTGTCGACCATGAAAGACATTTATTGGCTTTTTTTTGGCTAAAACCGGGAAATCTATGGTCTATTTCCATGGTTGTCCAGTGACACATTCTCTTCGAAAAACACTCCAAGAGTTTTGAAACCAATGACTGTTTCGTTTGGAGACGAAGCTGTAGAGTTTTCATCAGTATGACAGGCTTATTCTTTGCCACGGCGTTCCTTGAGCGAGCACGCGAGCGAGTGCTTGTCAAATCCCGGGTGTAAAGGCTGGTTCACACAGCACCGTTTTCTATTGTGACACATAAGTCACCGAAACATCTGTGTCTCTAGTATCATGAACTGGTAGCCAGGCTTAATATAAAGCCCAAATGTCCCTATGGCTCGTACGTAAGCTTTTGTAACGCAAGAATACGAGACTGTGTGAACCAGCCTTAACTCGTCCCTCGTCGCAGGATGCTCCAGCTGCTCACGGGAGTGCTGTCCCAGATGGAGCAGGAGCCCGTCTTTCCCAAGCTGTGCTGCGTCGTGCAGACGCGCTGCATCAGCCTGCTCAAGGAGACGTGCGGCTCGCTCTCCGTCTGCTGCTCCATGGTCGTCATGCTGGAACGCTTCCCCCAGTGCCTCCCAAAGGTGAGGACAAGCCTCGAGGACCCCGTGTTGCCGACAGAGTCGCCACGGGGCGGTTTCACGCGACACGCTTTCGATTTGAACTCTCACCAGATGCCATGTTGGTCCACTTTTGCCGTGCGCCGCATGCTTGCTCTTGACCGGTGTAAGAGACCCTAGGACCCGTCAAGCTGCCTACTGCAGCTTTTTTTCATTTTGGGCCCCCCCATCATAATTGATGGAAACAAAAGTTATTGTTATTCTTACTATTATTATTATACGCGGAGGCAGCGTTTTCCAGATCGCTCGAGTTCTTCCTGGTCGCGACCGATCGTACTGGCCGGAGCGGCTGGGAACATAAAGGAGCATTGGTTGGTGCTCAATATTTATGCGTAACAGTCTCTGTTCCAACTCGGGACGAGCTGGTGATCGAGAAGTCGTTGCGTCAGTGACCACGCTACCAGGGCGACTCTGAAAGGAAAAAAAGCTGGAGTAGGCGTGGGTTTATGCATTCCAAATACATCCTGGGTCGTCCTTGCTCGTAAAATACGACCTGGGTCATCAACAGAGCCACTCGGCATGCTTCTGCATTTCACCAATGTTGTAAACGACGCTACTAAGTAATTGTTTGCGTACAAACTAATGAGGAAAGGAAGCACTGTTTATCAACTTGGTGCGATGTGCAGCTAATCGGGAGTGGAAAGGTGTTTGGTGAAACTGCCCTAATCACCTAATGATATTACTACTAATAATTTTCACTGCATAAAAAAAAAAAAAATCATGTACAGGTTTGCAAAGGTATGGAGGTGCTTGTGTGCAAGTTGTACAATAATTTTTATTTTTCTATAAATAATGCAAAAAAGGAAAAAAAAAAAATAGAGAAAGCACATAACTCTTCATTGACAAGTTATACAAGAATTCAGGTATCACAGATGATACACCACACTCCTCATAAATCCATCTCGTTTCCAAAAATCATGAAAGGTGCGGCACCGACACACACATGTCTTCGTTGTGTATCTTAGGCGACAAGTTGGATTTTATGAGGAAGCGTCGTGCACACGTACAACGACGGTTTTTTATGCATTGTGTGTGTCTGAATCTCTTTGGTTCCCTTCTCTTTGCTTTGCTTTTACGTCCCTTTTGGAAAGAAATGGTTGACGGTCGGTGTCTTGTATGTGTGCCCCGTTCCTCGTGTCATCCGTCTTTTTAACGCTGTTTCACCTTTTCGTAATCGTGTACCAACTGACCCGACTTAACGCCTCCATTCTTAAACTGGGGACTCCCTCCTGTGTGGTGACACCTCTGTCGTGTGGTGCAGGAGGAATTCCGGGGCAAACTGTGTTCAGTGCTGACCCAGTGCATCGTGGCTTCGCCGTGTCCTTCCCAAGCGCAAGACCTCAAGCCTTACATAACGGACATCAACCGCGTGTCCACGTTCCTCAAGGTGACTAATCTACACCTTGTCTGTCTTTGCTTGCACGCCTTAAAGCATGGGCTCTCAGACTTGTTTCCTAGGAACCCAGGTGCACTCCAGAGTACCTCCACGGGTTCCTTGGAACTCTCAAATTTTCTCGACCGCCCAAAGTAGCGGTTTTCCAGTTTAACCATTTTAGTGCGTACGAGCCTTTCATTGATGCACAACTAGTGTGTGCCAAGGATTGCCTAAGTGTGTGCATCATTGTTTACAAGGTATAGGGTAAGTCATGGTTGTAGAGAGCAGTTGGCAGCAAGGTGTACAATGCTGTTTTTTTGTTCTCATCTCTTAGCAACCTCTCCTTTTCTATCCCTACAGCGTTCCTTCTCCAACACTTATAGGCTAACCCACATGCTCACATCTGCATCTTCTGCAGTGTAGCACAGTTTACACTAATGTACATTGGTGCGTCTCAGAAAGCTTTACTGACATGTTGTGAGGGTTGCAGCTTTTGTGAATGTTTTTAAATGTTTCTTAGGGAAGAAGCATTTGTAGAAGTAATTTCATGTTTCGGTATTTAAAGCAGAGCTCTGGTGGTTCTCTGAGCTACTCAAACTAACTCAATTTTTGGAATACTTTGAAGTCGACTTGTCCCAGCATACTATCTATTATCGCTTACTTCAGAATAGTTAGAGAAAACGGCAAATGAAAGTGATGCCAAAACCAGCGGTCAAAAAACACAGCATGTTGTGCATGTTTTTTTCCTTCTGCTGAAGTGTGTTTTGCCAAGAATGGGGGGCTGAAATTTACGAATACATTAACTTTCTAAAAATAGTTTATTTCAACCTATAAATTGGGCTACTAGGTCAGCCTTGTCTATTGCTGTGTTGAAAAAAGGTTTTTGTGACAAATCGGTAATCGTCAACATTTTACCAGTTTTAACCAACTCCTTTCTTGCAGTCTGTGTGGACACTTTCGGAGCCATCGCTACGGAGAACGCTTGAAACTGTCTCGGTCATACTGACCAGCAAAAATGAGAAGTTTTCATCAGCTTTGGCGGCCATTGTTGATGTAAGTAGGCATCCATTCTTATAGTTGTCTCTTTTCGAATATTAGTAACTAAATGTGGTCTTCCTCTTTACTCCTCTCAACTGCTGTTTTAATGCTTGACCACCCTAAAGAATGATGTGTGATTTTTGGGTAGGCGGACTGGAATCATGAACATGCTGCTTTTATTAAATGCTGGTAGTTATTGAATGGCAGCATTTCAGGAGTGACTGATTTATGATACTGTCAGTATATCAACAGTGGTAACATCAAGGTACTGTAGAAAATATTGCATTCTTTCTTGAAAAATCACAAAATGTTTGTAACAAATGTAGAGATTCAAATTCATATGATTGTCACTAATATACGGGGAGTTTCACGAAAGGTGGACAAATTTGATATTGCGAAAACTACGCAGCGCACCAGAAAAAGGCTTGTGTCATTTTGGTTCTAGGCCAGGGGTCTATTTGGGAAAATTATTAAAGTTTGGGATAATTAAGTTGTTAATTATTTTCACATAATTAATTTTGTAAATATTGAGTTTAAGGGCATGGTTTCATTTGGAAACTTGCTGAGCATCATCAAAAAACACAAAATGAAAAAATTGGTGTGCGATAAAAGGCATGCATTGCATTTTACAGTTTTCTGAAAAACAGCACAACTTCGATGGGTTTTTAAGCTTGGGTTTGCAATCAGAGTACTTCTCTGCATCGACGGTGCTGCGCCCCGTGGAGAAATAGTGCCATCAACATCTGCTACGCTGTCCTCGCGCAACGCAGCAGAGGCAGGTTGCACTATTTCTTCACAGGACGCGGTGCCGTCAACGCCGGGAAGCGCTCCGATTGCAAATGATTCATTGATTGATCAGTTGATTTATTAATTACTCAATTAAAAAAAGATAGAAGAAGGGAAATTGACTGTCTGAATTATTTATTTAACATTTGAATGGTTCATTGTATGATGTAAAAAAGCAGAAATAAAGATGGATCAAGTGCAATAAAGATGAGAAAGTAAAGATTGATCATCATATTATTGATTGATTAATCCTTTTGCCGTATAAGGAAAGAAAAAAAAAGATTGATGGATTGATTGGTGATTCTATCAATAAATGATTGATTTTTATTGGAATATTTATTGAATAAATAAACACTGTAAGGATAAAGATTGATTAATTATGCAATAAATAAGGGCAAAGGAAGAAAGATTGACTGTCAGATCTGTCAGATATAATCAAAATATTAAATAAGATCTCACTGTATAGAGACAAGAAAATGATGATTGATCATCTTATTGTTAATTGATTGATTAAATTAGTTTGTTGCATTCGGGCCCGTTCGCTCGAAGCCAGTTAACTTTATTTGCAGCAAAAGGTTAACCGCCCTTCCTTACTAGGTTCATACATGTACCTAGCCGGGTTTGTTGAGGGCTGGATGCACAGTAGCTTGTGTGTTTCATTATGGGGTGGTAGCTTGTGTCACCTACTGGTTGTAGCGAATATAAGTGGCTTTCGTGGAAAACCTTTGGAAATAGGGGTACCCGATTACATGTTCTGCCGGGTTTTCGCAACGCTGCACAACACACATTTGTGGACATACTTTCTTTTTTTTTTTGCTCGTGGTACAAATAATGGGTAAGGTAAAACTGAATCGACCCGCATTTGGCAAATTATTTGATGATTGGCCGTCTGAAGTAAAGACGAGCCTCGTTGAAATTTCTTTCCCAGTGCGAAAGAGGACGACGAAGTTCAGTGTAAGAAACAATGGCAAAGAAGTGAGCAGTGAAAAGGCGGATGGCACATCGGCAGCATGGTTGGCCAGCATGTAAGAATTGTACATAAAACCTTCTTCACAAAATGAAAATGGCGTACTTCGGCTCCAGTGGAATTTGGTACGCGGTCTGCTTTTGTGTGCCATCAATGTCCGGTTGATTGAATCAAGACAATGGGGCAAGATTGTTGCTCATACTTAGCAATTTAATGGCGAATTCGGGTGGTCAATCGTCGGCAACTTATTTTGCCGGAAAACCGGCAATAGTGTTCGCGTGGTCAGTTCCCGGCCGGCGCGCACCGTTCGGGTGGTGGTTCTCCGGCAAGCACCGACAACTTTCCGGCGCTTTTTCCGCCCGAGCTCCGAACGGCCGGGCGAGTAGGCGCCAGACTGTATCCGGTGTCGTCACTTCCGAAATGAGAGAGAAGGTCAGTGAGAAAAAAATGAACGAAAGAGCGAAACTGATCTGAAGTAACTTTAGCAGCCGCTACGAAAGTCAATCCAAGTCGTTGGGACATCAGTGACGGCGGCGACAGGCGCGACAGGCTTTCGCTAGCGGTGTCGCGCGGGCAAGGGGCGAAGTAAACTGCCACCGACTGGCGTTTCGTGTTCGGGTGGTGAGGGTCACGTGGTGTGCCGCCGGCGCGTTTCTGGTTGCCGGTTCCGCCGGCTCGTTCTCGCCGGCGACTGACCACCCGAATTCGCCATAAGTGAGGTAAGGCAAAGCAAAAGCCTCTTGCACCCAGTGGCAATCTTGAGGGAGGGGGGGGGGGGGGGGGGGGGGGGGTGTCCTTTAAAACCACATTGCTTATTTTTTTTATTTTTTTTTACATTTATTTGAAGAATGCGGGAGCACTCTTGTTTACTGGAAGTGGCCAGTTGACTTCGACGATGTACATCAGTTACACTTCACAGATTATTTCAGGTTTTCTCATTTCTCTCTGGAGGAGAATGTTAGCTGCGCTTTGGGGTCTTTTTGGTTGAGGCGGCATCATGTGACATGGCGGTGACAGCAGCGACGTAATCTTCTGGGCGCTGCGACTTTTGTAGCTCCCACCGCCTAAATTACGACCCCTACCCCCCCTCCCCCCCACCCACTGAACCAATATCTGGAATTCGCCCTCCCCTAAAACCAATATCTGGGACTGCCTCTGCCTGCACCATTCATTGCTGACGAACGTGACAGATAGTGCAGCGACTACTACATATTAGTTCCAAGCGAGCGACACTCGCTTGAAGGGGCACCGCCATGTTTCCCCGCCATCCCTACTCTGCCGGTCACATGACCTAAAATGCCCCCCTCGTAGGGAAATGCGGTTAACCTTCTGCCGCGGTTAAAGTTAACCAGCTTTGAGGAAACGGTCCCAGAAGCGAATTAAAGATGGACCAACGGGTTGACTGATCTATCGATTCACCGATCGAATGGCTGACCTCGTTCCCCAGCTGCTCCCGTCCAGCCTGGTCCCCGCCGCCACGAGTTCACTGAGCAGGAGCCTGGCGGGCGGCGTCGACGTGGAGCCCCTGGTGCTGGCGTCGGAGCGGCTGCTGGCCTGCCTCAGCTGGCCCGGCACCTCGATGGTCCACGTCTGGGTCCTGGCCGCCCTTCAGGGGTTCCTCTCCATGGGGCGCTTCGGCGCCGTCCGAGACCTCTTCGAATCCCAAGTCAAGTCGGTGCGTCGGCCGGGTTCGGGGACGTGTCCTCGCACGTTCCCTTCCTCCTTGGATCGCCTTGTCGGGAGGTTGGCGGTTTTCACGTTTGATGTGTCGGGGTCTCGGGGTGACTCTTCGCTGCACCTTTTTACAGCGATAGCTGTTACGCGGGCTCTTTGCACCACTGGAAATGACACCAGTGTTCGTCGTAGTTGCAGTAGTAATCCTAGTCGTTGACGTTGTGGTTAGCATAACGGGGTGTAGGGCATTGGTCGCGATATTACCAACTTCTCGAAAAAAGATAGCCTGCCACTCGCGGGAATTGAACCCGTGTCCGCCGCGTGTGAACTGGGCTCGTTGCCACAGAGCTATGCTGCAGCATTAACAGCCTGCTTTATACTTAGGATTTTCGTGTAACAAGAGCGAGTACGAGTCTTGAATAGTGCCCGCCAGGTGGCCGCAGTTGCTGCGACGTCGCGATAGAAGATTCTTCGTCATTCTCGATTAATTCCAAATTAAATCTGAGTCAATTCCGGAAACTAACAGCTTCAGCCAGGCGGTACGAACCACTGCCCGATTAAGAGGGTTCGGCCGTATACATTCGTCGATACCACCTTTAGAAGAAGGGCCCGCGTATTATGTCATTGTGAGTGAATCCCTGAGCGACTCCGGGCGGCAAACGCACCGAAACTCGACGAGAGTGCGGCTTAAAGCAGCAGACGCGGGCGTCTTGGCGTTGCCTCATGCTGGCGTCGCACTTGTGGCAAGAGGCCAAAAGACGCGCAGGCAACAACGACGATGCATCTCGACGTTCGTGGCAGGGAGAACCGCGAAATGCACGCTAGTGAGAACGACGGCTCGGCAGAAAAACGCAGAAATGCTTCATGCATTTCGCAGCCACGACATGAAATTTGGCAAGAAAATGTTGTCCGCTAAATTTAGAGGGAAAACGCTTGCGTCCAATGTTATCGTGCATAGTCCGTGTGCAGCGGTGTGTGCGTCCAATCTGTGACTGATTATGTGGACCGTTCGTCGCCGAGAGATTTTCGAGAACATTCGATTTGTGCTGCTCATTGTACCAACGGCACAATTCAACTAGACATCGTCCCTTAATTTATGTTAAGAGAAACACTTCGCGTGGAAGGCCGTGGACCACGCCAGTGGGCTGGTGGCGCACTAGGGCCTTTGTCACCGTTGTGTCCCTAAACCCTTAAACATCGTTGTTTATTTGGGTCTGTCACGGGTAAACGACGCCAGCATCACATTGATGCTGGCGTCTGCAATAATTTTGGAGAGCCTGAATCTGACGCGTTGATCGAACGTGCAATGATAATGGTGGAGCCTGATAAGGTGTTGTCTCTGTTGCACTTTTGCAGGTGTTCGTCAGAGTGACTCACCCGCTGACGCGCAAGTGTGCGTTTCCGGTCCTTTCCTTCATGCTGCTCTCCTATCAGCACTCGCCCTCCCTCTTTCACAAGGTGCGACTCTTTTATCTCCTCTTGTTTTTACAAGTGCCTCTCCCTTGTGTGCAGCCAGCAATTCTTTTTTTTTTTCTGTCTGCAAATTATGTGTATCTGGTAACAATTAAAGTGAAGCTTGCAGAAATAGTCTGTCCTTGATTTTCGCATTGGGGTTTTGTTTTCGCCGTCGAATGTTTGATCTTGCAATAATTTTTTTTTCTTCAAAAGCGGTTTGCATGGCATAGTTATTTGGGGTATGCTGGCAACGAACGCCTATAAAAATATCCCTGAAAAAAAAAAAAAAAACTACCAGAATTACCTCGGGCTGTCCAGGTGGTTTTTCTTTGACCTAGCCTTTAAAAAGGCTAACTCTCTTAGAAAAAGTGGCTACAAGTATCAGTTTTTTTTCTACGAGGTCTTTTCCCACTGCATGTCCATGTGCTTTTATTAGATAATTTTTTGTCATTTTTCGTTAGGGGGGACAGATGACTTTGGGTCACTTTGAGCTGAACCCACTGAGGGCATTCATATCGTCCATTCACCCCTAAGCAGACAGTGGAGTGGAAGCTTGTTAGACCATTCGTACATCTATCTTGCAACATGTGATCGCGCCGTCGCCCGCACCCTTGGCAGTGAGAGGGGTCAGGTGCTTAAAGGGAGGAGAATGATTAGTTCGGCAAGTGCGCAGCTCTTGCCGCATTGGGAAAAGCTCAATACGTCTCAACTAGTTATTGTTTGTGGAGCAAACTGCCAAAGAGCACAACAGTTATGTTTTGGAGAAGTACATAGGCATGCCAGGGCCAAACCGAATAGAATATTTTATCAACTTTCTCCGGCATTCAAGTTCGTTACAAATCAAATACATAGAGCTCAGCTTGAAATTAGGAGTCACAATGACAGCAGAAGGAAACCAAGAAATTCTGAATTTAAATCTTGGGGAACGTTTTACGCGATCTCTTAGTACCTTCGGCGCCTACTTTCGAAGCGTTAGTTGGCACCGTCTAATCCCGTTCTCGTCCTGCCTAGGTTGTGCCCGACGTGCCCCAGCTGATGAAGTTACTGAAGAAGGAGAAAAACGACGACGCCGCCCTGGAGGTCGCCAGTTTGTCCCAGACCCTTATGTACGTCCACTCTGGCTTCCCGGATCTGTACGATCCCGTCTTGGACGCACTCAAGGTAGGCCTCCCTTCAGCGTATTTCTCCTCGTTTCTCTTTCTCGCCCCTTCACGTTGTCGCTCGATTTGCCGATTCAATACCCACTGGGGACGTCGAACCAACCTTTCGGGTGCGATTGTAGTGATTCTCTTTCCGCGTATCATCCTTTGCTGCGGATTTTGCTCTAAAGCCAATGACATGAGGAGAATGGCAGCGCGTTTCTTTCGAATGCCCAGTCTCCAGCACGTGCTCGTCGCCTTCTGTGGTGCTTTGTCGAGACTCTCAAAACACTGAAGCATCGTCGAAGGTGGGGAAGCTCGTGCCGAAGGCGAGAAAACCGATGGACCTTCCCGCCATTCCAATCCCATCGCAGCGTCAGATCCAGAGAGAAATTACCGGGATGCAGTTATCGCGACCCGATTAGCGCCAATTCCCGTTCGGTGCATCCCCCGTTTCGTTCGCTAAGGGTACTAATGCCGCTCGAGCTATCGAGCTGCTTATATGCTAAAAGCCCATGGTTTTTGGGAGTGTCTGTGCTGTTCAAAGTTCTGGCACGAGATCCTTGTTGTGTTTTGAATTGTTCCTTCTCATTACCGTTGACTTTATTGGTGACGTTGAGGTCTCTTAAGGGACAGGGCGCCCGGCTTCGAAGGAAACCGTTTACCGAGCCTGGCTCATTTGTTCTGCTCGTGCTTGTCCCCCCCTCCTCACTGCTTCTTTCTCTCGAGACGGACAGAGCTTCTCGTGGTGGTCACTATTCTGCATTAATATTAGACAATTCTAATGAAACTCGTTTGCTATCGGCAGGAGTTTCCGTCGCCTCGCCAAGAAGAGATGCAGAACCTTCTGGCGATGTACCGCATGGACGTGCCGCAGAAGTACGTGGGGGGCATTGTCGGGGACGTCTCGACAGTGTCTCGGCGGGAGGACGAGCTCGTGGGACTCGTGAATCTGGGCAACACGTGCTACGCCAACAGCGTGCTCCAGGCACTCTACATGACCTCGCGGTAAGTGGACGGCAGAGCTAGGAGGTATAGGAGGGTAGCGACATCTGCTTTCCCCTCTTGCACACGCATCGGAGGAAACACATTTTTTTGTTGTTTACGATATCGAAAGGAAATTTTCACAGTTTAGGGTGCTAAATCTTTTTTTTTATAAATCTGGTTTTAGCTTTGATGTAGCTTGTCTTTATAGGTTGTCGATGCAAGGTACATGCAGACTTGTGCACAAGTGAGACATGGCAACACCTTCGAAAAGCCTAGAAAAATGAACTAATTTGTTCCTTTTAAACCACAGAGTGCAATGAACAGCAAAAATAATGTATGTGACGCTTTCATTTTAAAATAATTAAAAATAGCAAAAATGCCATATCAAGGGGCTAACATATAGTTGAAAAAACCCCGAGACTGCGGGTAAACGACACAACACTAAAAAGTCTCTATACATTTTTTTTAATTTTTCATAAATGTAAAGAAATATATATACATTCCAACCAAACATGCATGCCAAATTTGGTTGTGATAAGACAATATTAAGAACAGAAATTCTTGTGCCCAAACTGTGAAGAAGCCCTAAAATTACATAAAAGAAAAACATGTTCTATTGTTACCATAGATGTGTAGCAATACTCTTTTGCAGCACGGAAAATAATATTTTGTTAAAGGGACACTGACAGGGTATTTTTGCTTGCCAAGGTTTTTATTTGTGTGTGGCATATGAGAGCCCAACAGCCTAGAAAACAATTTGCGGCTCGAAATTCGCTTTCTTTCCGCCCAAAAACTGCTGACCAAGAACTGGCCGATTAGGTTCGTGCTCATTCTCTTCTCTGTGGTCATGTGCCGTTTTCCGAGGTTTAGACAAAAACCACCAAATATAATCGAAGTCGTGGGTCATCGAAAGCACACGCTCAATATTAAAAATATAAAAGAAATATGAAACCCATTTTTTTGTGGCTTGTAAAAAACTGCAAATACATTGATTAAAAAAAAAAAAAAAGTTGCACAGTTAAGTGATTTTTGCCAACTCTCTCCTTTTCTATATTTCTTCTTACTCTAGTCCACTTTCGGTTTCAGTTTCGAGCAGTTCCGTCTTTTTACTTTATTAAAAATATATGTGACGATGTAGCAAAATATTGATTGGGTAGTCTTCTGATACCATAATGAATTGCCTAGCAAAAAATTAAAAAAAAAACAATTTTTGGGGGGTGTCAGTGTCTTTTTAGGGGGGGACACCACCTGGGAATGTCAATTTCTGAACCGCTCACTCAATCGGCATGATATTTGCAGGTTGTGTTTGTAGGTGTTATGTCAGGAGTCGCTTACGGAAAGCACAACGAGTAGCTTTACTCTGCGATCGTGATGGCGGCGTGACCGAATGTCCCTGCATGCGCAGGCACGTGCACTGTCTGATGTCGCAGAAGAAGACGAGGCGCGTCTTCTTCTTTTTCCATGTTATGCCGGACATAACACCTCCCCCCACTAGACGTCATGTCCATATCTTTGAGGTGGTCGCCGGTCTCGGGAACTTCTTCGAGTGCCTGAAGTGTCAGGCTCTGCCGGCGGCACAACAGGCAGCGATTCCTCGGGAATAGCAGTTGTGCTGTTGTCCCTGATGGTTGTCGAGGGTTGCGGAGCCAGGTCATCACGGCTGTTAATGTCCCATGCGGGTGCCACAGCTGTCTGTGGAGGTTGATTATGCGATGCCACTCTTCGCGGCCGTATGTGGTTGGTGTGCCGGCGAATTGAACCTTGCTCTACCCGAATCATCCAAGAGCGATGTCCCAGCTGACGTTCGATCACTCCCGGTATCCACTTTTTACCGTCTGGAAATGTTTTAACCCACACTGCTTGGCCTACATTCAGCTTGCGTGGGTTTGTAAAGGTGGCAGTGCTTTCAGGTGTCTCGGGGCTGAGCGTCTTTAGTCGCTCGAGAGCAGACGGAAGTTCTCTCCCAAAAAGCATCCAAGCAGGTGTCTTTCCTGTTGCCACATGGATTGTTGTATGTTGTTTGAATAAAAATCTGGCAACCACACAATTCAGATCTTCTCTTCCTCTTTTAGCTAGTGCCATTTTCAGCTCTTGAACCATGCGTTCAGCCTGGCCGTTAGTTGCTGGATGGTATGGCGCGCTTGTGATCGATATTACACCGTTATTCCGGTAGAAGGTCTTGATGTCGTCGGACACAAACGCTGTGCCGTTGTCCGAAACCACCTTCCGGGGAACGCCGAAAGTTGCGAAGATAGCCCTCAATTCTCTAATGACGGCAGCCGACGTCATGTTTCGCATCACTCGGACTTCCACCCATTTAGTGTATGCGTCCACGACCACCAGAAAAACTTGGCCTTCAACAGGACCCGCAAAGTCCACGTGAATAGTATCCCAAGGGTGGGAGGGTCTGTGCCAGACTGGCATGGGCTCCTTCGGTGGTGTCTTGCGGTGGGTCTGGCAGGCAGTGCATTCTGCGACGAATGACTCTATGTCTGCGTCGATACCGGGCCACCAGAGGTAGCTCCGTGCGCATGTCTTCATTGCTATAATTCCGCGGTGCCCCGCGTGAATCAACGTCAACGCGTCCGTCCTCAGCCGCGTGGGGATCACAATGCGTGCCCCCCATGTCAGACAATTTCGGTGTGTCGACAGTTCTGCCGCCTTTTTTGTGTAAGGTGCGAACTCTGGTGATTTGAGTCGATGAAGAGTGCCCTTTTGAATTGCTTCTAACACTTCAACCAGCACAGTGTCCTTTGCTGTCGCTTCTGCTACCTGTTGCGCTGACAGAGGAGGCCGTGACAATCCTTCAAACATCAAGATGTCGCCAGGTGGATTCAATTCGTCTTCTGTGTGTGGTAACGGAAGCCGACTGAGAGCGTCTGCGTTCTGGTGACGATTTCCTGGCCTGTATTTCAGGTCGTAGTGGTAGGCTGCCAGTTTCACGCACCATCTAGTCATCCTTGGTGATAATACTTGTGGAACAGGCTTGTTGGAGCCGATGATACCTAGCAAAGGCTGATGGTCTGTGAATATGGTCACGTACCTCCCAGCTATGTATTGATGGAAGTGGTGAACTCCGTACACGATAGCGAGGCCTTCACGATCCAGTTGCGAATAGTTCCGCTCGGCACTGCCTAGCGTTCTGGATGCAAAAGCGATCGGAGCCTCCCGCCCATCAGCATCTTGCTGTGCAAGTACGGCTCCCACTCCATATGGTGAGGCGTCGCAAGACAACACTAGAGGTCGTTTTCCATCATAGTGTGCGAGCACAGTGTAGTTCGCCACTAGATCTTTCAGCTTTTTGAAAGCCCTTCGGTGTGTTTCTTCCCACCTCCACTCTTTGTTCTGTTCAAGTAGTTCGTACAGTTCCTTCGCGATTGTCGCGCGATCCTTTAAAAACCTGTCGTAAAACGCCAGGAGGCCTAAAAAGGACTGTAACTGCGTCTTGTTCTCTGGTTCTGGGGCTTCGACTACTGCTTGGATCTTGTCCTGGGTTGGATGAATTCCTTCGGCGTTTATGCGGTGACCTAAGAATTTGACCTCCTTCACGCCGAAGAAGCACTTGCTTTGCTTGAGCTTCAGCCCTGCCTTTTCCAGTCGTGAGAGTACCTCATCCAGCCGACGCGCGTGCTCACTTGGAGTTGTTCCGCTGATGATTATATCGTCAAGGTAAACGCTAACTCCCGGAATGGCCGCGAGTGTGGTTTCCATGACTCGTTGAAATATCGCCGGGGCGGCCGCGATTCCGAAAGGTAGTCGCTTCACTCTGTAGAGCCCCTTGATCGTGTTGATCGTCAGTATTTCGGCGGTCGTATCCGTTACTCGCAGCTGCTGATACGCTTGCGCGAGATCAAGGGTCGAAAAGATAGTTCCTCCTTGAAGGTTTGATAGAGCCTCCGTCGGTGTCGGGAGCGGGTAGGATGCCGGCTTTGCTGCGTCGTTCACGGTACTGCGGTAATCCCCGCAGAGCCTCACGGATCCATCTTTCTTCCTGACAACCACGACAGGCGTTGCCCACGCGGAGTGTTGAACCGGCTCTATAATGCCTTGCTTCTGCAATGCTAGCAACTCGCATTCAACTACTGGCCGTAGTGCAAATGGTACTTGTCGGGCTTTAAGGAACTTGGGTGTTGCTGTTTCTTTCATCTCCAAGTGTACCGTTGGTCCGATGTACCCTGTGATCTCAGACTTGAAGACCTCACTGTGCGCGCTGAGCACCGTTGTGATAGTACGGTCTTGCTCAATGTGGTGAATACCACTGAGTCGAATCTGCAGTGCTGAAAACCAGTTGCGTCCCATCAGGTTGCATCCTGTTCCAGTTGTGACTAGGAGTGGCAGGATATAGTCCTTAGACTTATGCTTTACGTGTACCTGCGCTGAACCGAGAACTCGGAGTCCTTCACCGGTCCACGTCTGCAGCGTCATATCCTCTTTCTGTAACGGAGGTGGCTTGTTTGGCCATGTTCGCCTGTAGGTCTCTTGGCTGATGACCGTGACTGCTGCACCAGAGTCAACTTCAAATTCTAGTGCTCTTCCTTCTACTTTAAGCGTTATGAGGTACTTGGGAACCACGACGCTGGCACGAACAGCGTTAAGTTCCTGCATGTCAAAATCACTTACTGACTGATCAGTCTCGTTTTGGTCATCGCTCACCAGGTTGGTCGAGCGTTGTGCAGCTCCGGATCGAGCCTTCATTCGGCAAGCCTTCTCAATGTGACCCGTCTTTCTGCAAAATCGGCACGATGTTTTGCGAAATCGACAGGTTTGTGCGCTGTGTTGCTCATTGCAGCGGTAACACGGCGTCTCCGGCTGACCACTGGAAGTGGTGGCTGCCCGGTTCGTAGTTCTACACATTTTGTTGAGGTCTGGTTTGGGGAGTTTCAGCTCCTGTTGTTGTTGCACTGCACTCTCAAGTCTGATGGCAATATCGTAAGCTTGCTTGAATGTGAGTTTTTGTTCTGCAAAAAGACGTTGTTGAATACGCTCATCTTGAACTCCGCAGACGAAGCGGTCACGAAGCA